CTGTCAAATAGTTATAAAAAAAAAACATAGTTTAAAAAAAAGAAATAGCTATTAGAGATGAACAATATTTTTATTTTCACCATTTTAATTGGCAACAAATTAATTCGTAAATGTAATGGAATTGCAATAATAGGGCATACATTGAGCCAACCAATGATATCGAAATAGAAGTCGAAAGAAAATTGCTGACAGAGTAAACATGGTGAGTGACAGAGCTTAACGAAAAATGTTATCTTGCGTTTTATAATTTTAGTGAGTCTACATAAGGTTGTGTTTCTTAGAAATCGCGTGCGTAAATAAATACACAATTGATCTCCGCTTGTGTGACGTTTTATGTTTGCCGTGTGCGTCGGTCGATTGTAAGCTGAACAATAGGCGAATTACAAGACGATTGATGCTTAAAAATAGAAGATTTCAGAGAATAATCATAGAACGTGCCACCCTGAACAAAACTAGAAGGTTCGAGATTGTACATGCAACACTCTGTATTCAGAATTTAAAACGACGGCTTATGTGCCGCCAAGTGATCAACTTTTTGACTATGCTTTATTTATTAGCTCGACTTGCATCTGCGTCTATGACGGAATCTTTCAACGTAGTTTTTATAGATTTAAAAAAAATTCATGCATTAAACATAAAATAATAATTCAAATGTTAAATTCGGTTTGTACCGCAGTGACCGGCATCCTGGGTTATCGACGATCAGTTACCGTCTTCGTCGATTACGACGAGAACTTAGGCGAGCGAGCTATAGACACCACCCACTCAGTTTCTCGCCGGATCTTCTCAGTGGGTCGCGATTCCGATGGTAAACTCTATGAAGCACTGCTCTTGCTAGGGCTAGTGTTAGCAAATACTCTCAGGTTGAGCCCGTGAGCTCACCTACCCGTCCAGGCGTAGTTTGAATAACCCCTTAGGCCTCCAGCCCTTCGAAAAAAAATCGCCTCAATAACTCGTCGTTCGAGAGTCCTCGGGGTCGCGCCGCGAGTCCACTAATTGTAGTGTTGACAGCAGGAACTCCTTAATTAATGAGTTAATTAAATATTTCATATAAAATGTTTTGTTTTAACATGTTCACGAACTCTCGCGCACGTGATCGTGTTGATTTGCATTAAATTCATCATTAAATTCTACATACTTTCTACCACAACCCTCGAACAGGTTAAACAAAATAAATTTAATAAAATTTATTATAGGTACGCTATATTATATTATAGTTTTCGATCATTGCGAGTCGCGGAAATAATTAAAGCTATTTTTACGGTTTAATCTCGTAATTAATATTTTCCCATTTTGTAAAACCTATATAACCTTGAATTTGATTTACCTAATTACGAATCACACAACTTAAATGAGCACTAAAGTAAATTGAAAGAGGGAAAAGTCCTTTCGGTGTTATAGCCAATCAGCCGAGCCCAAACATTACGCGCCAAATTGGTGCGCGATCGATCACTACCACCAATTGATAGGTCAACTGTCGGTCAAATAGAATTGTCGACGGGCTTATTGGTAAAGAACTAAGTTTAGGTACACGTCATTTGCAACACTCTAATTTCTTTTAGTGCTGTAGATGGACCGACGAACTATCGGCCTAAGTTTGCCAACCCGTGGTCGGAGCCCAGAGCCCGCCATAGATCTTAAAACGAAAATTATGGTCATAACCTCAAATATAACTACTGTCGCGCACTTCAACTGGGACTCACTGACTCCTTGTTGTTAAACGGTTACCGGAGCCCATAAACCACATAGTTCACAACAGGCATGCCCTCACCTACATTGAGGCATGAGGCTGAAGTCTCAACCGTATTGTATAACAGTCATCCCCCTTCTAACGAGGCCCATGGTTGCTTCTAGGCAGATAAACTTATGCAGGCTGAAAAGACGCATTACTACTAATTAATTTTCACTAGTAAACATTTATTATTATTTCATCGGGGACCCAAATTGGCAAATGGGTAAATCTTTTGTGGTATGCACGTAAATACTCAGAGAGAATAGCACTAACCACAGCGAATACACCGTATGGACGATGTACTCATTTGATCATGCTTCTGCTTCTGTAAGCTTCTGTAAGCAGAAGTTCTTCTTCTCTTCTCTTCTATAGTAGTTCTAGTTCTTCTCTTTTATAGCAAGAGCAGTACTTCGCTCAATTTACTGCCAGATCGGAATCGCGATTTAGTGAGTAGATCCTCAGAGAGAAACTCAGTGGATCGTGTCTTTAGGAGTCTCAGAGGTATGCTAATAGCGCCTTATGAGGATAGCGCACCATTTAAAACAAGATTTCTAGAGTAATCTCTCTATTAGTTAAAATCTCGGTAAAAACAGGCAACGTTCATTTCAATTTTTTAGACATACTAAATAAGGAACATTTTCTGCTTAAAATTAATAAAATTAAAAAGGCGAAAGTTAATGTTTCGTCGTTAAAATCGTCATATCAATACCTAACAATAGCCTATCGGAACATCACTAGTTAATGAGTTTAATGCACCCTTTCCGATATTATTGTTTCGATAAACATAATTTTGTATAAATATCCATAGCTACTGAATGGCAGTGGTATATTGCCTTAAATTACCTACTTTCTATTTGACTAGGTACCTATTTTTTCCTGAACTTCGCCCTTTATTTCAACATCAATTATTTCATAATTTTGAACCCTTTGTTGCCTAAAGGTTAATACGTCTCGTGCATTCGTATCTAGCGACGCAACAGTATTCAAATCCCGCAGGCGGGTTCCAATTTTTCGAATGAAATACGTACTTGTGGCGGGTAGCCATCATACAACGCAAGATAATTGACAGATGCCTGAATCTCGCTTACGACATTTTCAAGATAAAGCGCATATATACAAGTTCCGAACAACAACATTCGGACCGTCGGTCTACCGAGCAATATCACCCGCTCGGTGGAAGATCTTCCCTTTGTCGTATATATTTCTCCAAACTGGTGACCTGCGACGTGATCTGAACACGCAACCTTCTGATTCATCATCAGCGCATCAAGAACTTCGGCTACCACAATCCCCGCATTCTCGCAGATAAAAGCAAGTCATCGACAGTCGTCCCACAGCAAGCCAGCATCGCAGCCTCAACAGGACCATCGCAGCCGACTCACCGCGCTTCCTGGTCCTACGGCACGCAACTTCACTGCCTCATCACGCAGCATTCAAGCTCAGTCTCGACTCACCACCGCAGACTTCGAGCAGCACTGGCGACAATCACGCAGCATTCAAGCTCAGTTTCGACTCACCGCAAACTTCGAGCAGCACTGGCCCTTGCAAGCTAATCTCAGCACGGACAACGCTAACTAAAAAATGACACGACCTCCATTCTCGGAGGGGAGTGATGTGGCGGGTAGCCATCATACAACGCAAGATAATTGACAGATGCCTGAATCTCGCTTACGACATTTTCAAGATAAAGCGCATATATACAAGTTCCGAACAACAACATTCGGACCGTCGGTCTACCGAGCAATATCACCCGCTCGGTGGAAGATCTTTCCTCTGTCGTTAAGCCTCCCCAAAGTACTTAACAAATGTTCACGATTGACATCCACGGTGAAGGAATAACATCATGTAATCAAACCCACCAAAATTATAATTTTCGTAATTACTGTTGGTAGGACCTCTTGTGAGTCTGCACGGGTAAGTGGTACCACCACCCCGCCTATTTCTGCCGTGAAGCAGTAATGCGCTTCGGTTTGAAAAGTGGGGCCGCCGTTGTAACTATACTGTGACCTTAGAACTTATATCTCAAAGTGGGTATCGCGTTTACGTTATAATCTCTATAGGCTTCAGTAAACACTTAACATCAGGTGGGCTGTGTGCTCGTACCCATCTAAGCAAAATAATAATAAAATAAATCACGAAAACTCGAATCCACTCTAAGCATTTGAATTCAGTTTATGAAGGTTACCCCCCAACAGCAGTGCGTTACGCATAAGGCTCCAAGCCTCGAGCCCAAGCCGCCCTATACATACTGATAACTTCAACTGATCCACTCCCAGTAATGTTGAATGCTGATAGGTCTAACACCAACAGTAGCCATACCACAAATCATATCCATGAGCCATCCATCCTGAGCCCGTGCTTTCCCACATGGTGGTGCAGCTAAGGTTATCAGCAAGACTTCAATTCCAAAAAAAAAAACATTTCACCATTCCACTTAATTTTACCTCGAAGCTTAGTGCGTTCGTTTTAATATGAAGCCAAATTACATTAATACGAAGGCATTCACTTAAGTGATTTCTGAGCACTGGAATCCACTTAACACCAGGCTAGGTAAACTTATATGCCCATTTAAAGCCCAAAAACTATGTCAGCTTAGGCAGAAAAGGCATGAATTGTACGAAGTATCTATTTGTGACAAAATAATACACCAGCTGGAGAGTGAAAAGAAAATAATTTAATATAATTTAGTCGACCACTAGTGATTCTTGATGGTGGTTTCGTGATTAATTACCTATACCTAACATGCAATGATAAATTACATCCACTGCAGTACTACTGAGTTAATACTAATCTGAAGGAATAGGAAAGAGTAGTTAATAAAATCACGTACGGTGATACAAGTCTAACCAACCCCTTGAGGTTACTAGCTGTAGGTATAATTGAGCCAATCATGATTTTAAAAGTTTTGATGATAATAATCATTAAAATTGATCAACATCGTAATAAATTATGCTCTTTTCGTTTGCCCACTGCGTTTCTCGCCGGATCTTCTCAGTGGGTCGCGTTTCCGATCCAGTGGTAGATTCTGCGAAGCACTGCTCTTGCTAGGGTCAGTGTTGGCAACTCTCCGGTTGAGCCCCGCGAGCTCACCTACAAACGTTAGCGTGAAGCTGAAATAGCCTCTCAAGGCTATCAGCATAGGTAGAGGAAAAAAATCTTTTCGTTCACTTTACACTACTTTGGCTAAAAAGACTGACATCCAAACTAAAAATAATGGCAACACTCTCATTCACCGTCACCTGCTAATCCTGCTATCTTGACATTCATGCGAGTTTTGTTCGATTGGTCGTCATTGAGTTTTACGACGATTATCGTCCTTTTGTAATGAGCTAGAACGTTCGCATAGCTATTAACTTTTACCTTTTTTATTTAGTCTTTCTATACAGTACACGTAATTATGCAGTAAAATAAAAATTGCCGAACTCTTCGCAAACACAAGTTGTTATCATTCGCCTAGATTCTCATGGAGATTAGCCCACATATATCACGACGTACATAACAGTAAGAGCCATCCGCCTCGGTAACTGTAATGGAAATCTACTTCAACTCGACCAGCAGACGGAAGAAATCCACCGTGGAAGGCTATAAGTGAAGTGAGCGGTGCGTGTTTAGGAAGTAATCGTGGAGGACTGGGAGATCGTCGACGGACGTGATCTATGTGCGCGTAACGGTGACATGAGCACGAACATCAAGCGGCGTGGAGCTAGTGGGTCCAGTTGTTCAGTGCCCGGAGTGCCGGCCCTCGTGAACGCGCCCACCGCCATGTCTGCCGACCTCGCCTCGCTGTTTGAGTGTCCCGTTTGCTTCGACTATGTGCTGCCCCCCATCCTACAGTGTCAGAGTGGGCACCTGGTGTGCTCTAGCTGCCGTCCCAAGCTGTCCTGCTGCCCGACGTGTCGTGGGCCCCTCGGAAATATTCGCAACCTTGCAATGGAAAAGGTCGCCAGTAATGTTATGTTCCCCTGTAAACATTCTAACACGGGCTGTACTGTGACTCTTGTGCACACGGAGAAAGCTGAACATGAAGAAGCTTGTGAATTCAGGCCGTACTCTTGTCCTTGTCCCGGAGCATCCTGCAAGTGGCAAGGTGGTCTTGATCAAGTAATGCCGCATCTTATGATGTCTCACAAAAGTATCACAACACTCCAAGGAGAAGATATAGTGTTTTTAGCTACGGACATCAACCTGCCCGGTGCAGTGGACTGGGTGATGATGCAGTCGTGCTTCAATCATCATTTTATGTTAGTTTTAGAAAAACAAGAAAAATTTGATGGTCACCAGCAGTTCTTTGCAATCGTGCAACTTATAGGATCTCGTAAAGAGGCTGAAAACTTTGCATACCGATTGGAGTTAAACGGTCACAGGCGTCGGCTAACGTGGGAGGCAATGCCTAGATCCATTCACGAAGGAGTGTCATCGGCCATCATGAACTCAGACTGCCTGGTGTTTGATACATCACTTGCACAATTATTTGCAGATAATGGCAACCTTGGTATAAATGTCACAATATCTATTGCCTAACCAATGTTTCTTTTTACAATTTATGTGAGCTAAAACTCTTGTATTAGATTCATAATTACGCAGTGTGTTACACGAAACATGACATAAAAGTTGGAACAAATTTGCAAATTTTAAAATGTAATTTTATTTAGTTTTTTTTTTTTTTTCTAAATGTAAATAATCTTTGTCCATAGATAAATGTAATCGTTAATTTTCTAAATCATATTATTTTATGATTTACTTACCATCTCACGTATATATGACTTGTACTATAATTTAAATATAATTGTTCAAATGAAAGTAAGCCAAAAAAATGTTTTTTTTTTTCTTTTCAACTTTTGTAAATGTGTGTTCAATATAGTTGTAAGTAGCAGAAGTGATTATTTCTTGCTAATTCAATAATTGCCTTGTGAACATAGTTTATAACAAATTATGACGAATGATGATCGCAAGAAGGGATTACTTAAATTCTGTAAAATGAACAAATTTGTATTTTAAATGCATGAAAAAATTTTTAGTTAATAAAATTTATAATAGAAATGTGATGTTGCTTTACAAGTCTACCCAATTATGCAGAAACTCGATTAACAAGAATTTACAAAACCAACAAAAAAGTTCTTAAGTGAAGAATTTTAGACACTGGTTTGACATTTAAAAGTAATTCAGTGTTACCTTTCAATTATAAATGATTACGAAAAAGGTACGAATCGCGCAGATAAGTTATGACAAAAAATCCATTTTTTTTTTTCAATTAAAAAAAATGTACGTACTAAATACTTTTTTCTAAATAAATGCTGTGTTGTCTGATTTTAATTTGTATTTTATGTAGATTATATCAAAAATACGATTTGACCTCTGATTCATTTTCATTTTAGCTGGATGCTGGTCGGATCTTTTCTGCATAACAGGGTCGAATGGTAAACAGTGCTCGAACCAACTATCACGGTCAACGCGTGACCGAAACAAACGTACCTATTATTTAAACAAATAAAAATACGCTGAACAAAATTGAATGCCTTAGGACTGGTTATAGTTTGAACTGGATCTTGCCCACGGTACTTATGATTACAATAATATTCTTAGATAGAAAACATTAAAGGTTGAAAGTAGATCATAACGTTTCGAAGATACGGCTTAGTTTAGCCTGAGTGTATGCTGGCGCGTATAACAAAACCTTTGGATATGTAAATATGAATCCGACAAAGTTTTTTTTTTATTACACTCATTATTCATTATTAGGTTCATAATCATAATTTTCATTAGTTAAAAGAAGACCATGTTAATTTTAAACAATTAATTGGAGAAATATACTCTGACATTCAATAGCAATAATTATGTAACGAACGGTCACCAAATCAACGTATTGTTTTTTGAGTTGGCAGCATGTACTTTGTTATGTTTAATGGCTTTGATTACCACTTAACGTCAGACTGCCCGCGAGCTCCTTTTCTCATCCGCGACAATAACAACATTACACGCTCGACTGCGGTAAGCCGTGTTTTGTTTTCATTGTCCTTATCATAAATACAAATAGCACATAATAGAGTTTTAATAAGTCACTCAACTAGATTCGGAATATAAGTTTAATAATTAAAAAATTAATTTAAAACAGGTTTTACTTTGCTTCGAGCAATAATAGTTCTCTGGTGGTCACTCGGCGGGTAATCAAATTGCCCACCGACAAAATATCCAGACCCCAAATTTTCATATTATTGAAATCATTGCCCAGACCGGGATTCTAACCTGGATCTCGTCGTCTCAATAATCACTCACTATTACACTTAACCTTAATATATTAATCTATCTAGCAACAAAACAATACATTTCGCTTTATTCAAATATTTTACTCAAAAGGTTCAGCGAAATACATGCTCAAATTTTTTAAGATTGATTTTTTAAAACGTGGGCGTTAAGTACAATATTGTAAATGCATTGCCTACAAATTGTTGCTCATTTCTGTAATAACTTACTTTTCTAATCATGCAGAAATGTCACGTTACTTTTAATTTAAATTTTGAATTGTCGCCATTTTGGAAAACTAAAAAGGTTGTTTTATTTTTCCGCAACACGCGCGCAATGGTGAAAAATGACTGTTATCTTGTATCTCTTAAGATAAATCTCGTCAAGTAAAATAAAAAATATAATTGAAATAAATTTTTGTAATGTAATCAAATTATTTGTAGTTTTACTGTTTTTCAAATATATTTTAAAATTTAAGCAGATGTGGCGTTATAAGTGAAATTGTATGTGGTTAAAATTTTTGGAATTTATTTTTAAATTAATTTTTTTCTTAATTCTGTCCTTTTAATTGCATTAAATAATAATAAAAAAGTTCAAAAGAATCCAGATAAATTGAATATTTCTAAATATATCCAATTGCAAACAAATACATTATACCGAGTTTCACGGTGCTCGTCTTCAGAACTATACTTATTTCAACTATGTGTCAAATAGTATTTGGAAACAGATTAATATAAAATTGCTATTCTGGATCATTTTCCATAATCCAGTCTTTATACAGTATCGTTAGCCTAAAATAAATTTTAATAAAACAACGACCTACAGACAAATGTCAACCTATTGATCGACTAAGCTCCGGGTCTATAGTGGAACTTCGTTTCTCCCTATATCGCATGACACACGGGGAACGGTCTTAAAAACATTGATCTAAATCATTACTAAGATGAATGAACTGACTCACAACCCACCTAATATTAAATAGTAACCGATGTCCATAGACATCAGCAACGTAAATGCCGTCGCCCACTTTGAGACATCAGTTCCAAGTTTTTACACTACGACTGCCCCACCCTTCAAACCGAAACGCATTACTCCTTCACGGCAGAAATAGGCAGGGTGGTGGTCCCTACCAGTATTTTGAAGTCGTCGTGGCCTAAAGGATAAGACGTCCGGTGCATTCGTATATAGCGATGCAACGGTGTTCGAATCCCGCAGGCGGGTACCAATTTTTCTAATGAAATACGTACTTAACAATTGTTCACGATTGACTTCCACGGTGAAAGAATAACATCGTGTACTAAAAATGAAACCCGCAAAATTATAATTTGCGTAATTACTGGTGGTAGGACCTCTTGTGAGTCCGCACGGGTAGGTGCCACCACCCTGCCTATTTCTGCCGTGAAACAGTAATGCGTTTCGGTTTGAAGGGTGGGGCAGCCGTTGTAACTATGCTGAGACCTTTAGAACTTTGGGTGGCGCATTTACATTATAGATTTCTATGTGCTCCAGTAACCAATTAACACCAGGTGGGCTGTGAGATCGTCCACCCATCTAAGCAATAAAAAAAAAGCGCTAGGCAGCGGCTTGGCTCTGCCCCTGGCATTGCTGAAGTCCATAGGCGACGGTAACCACTCACCATCAACCATCAGGGTGGGCTGTGTGCTCGTCTGCCTACAAAGGCAATAAAAAATAAAATAAAAAAAAAACTACACAATACTGAATAAAAAATTATGATTTTCAAAAACCAATTTATTCATCCAACATGCTCTTTACGTATGAATGACATTACAAAAGGTAAATTGACAGAACAACGTTAAATTCATTTTCAAATTACATATACAACCTTAAAACTAAAAAAAATATATAATTGCAATAAATAATAGGATTCAAACAAATATCACCTATATAAGGGACCATTGTTTTTTCTGTTGTAGCCCACGGACTCTTTGTTGATCGGTTACAACCAGCCATCAGAGACAGCAATATGGCCGCCGTCGCCTTTAAGATACCAATGTACTTAAGAGTGAGTTTTATAACGCTCTCGATAACGTAAAAGTTAACTCAAATTAGTATGCAGTTGGAACAGCGCCCCTAGCGGCAAACCTTCCAACTCTACAAATTTGAGTTAACGTTTACGCTATCGAGAACGTTAAAAAACTCACTCTAAGCACGCAGATTCAAATCTTCAACTCTATTGTACAACAATTGTCATAATTTTTCAAAGGCGTAATTTCTTCGCCACTACTTAACACGCACAAGATTGCGGTCTCTACTTAAGGCAACATTTTGAATTTCAAAAAAAAAAAAACAATAGAAATATGTTGCAAATGTGGGTTCATACTTTATTATTTAGATGTAACAGTATCTAGGATCCGCTGAACGAAAGGCGATCAATTCAAATAGTAAATATTCATTTAAGACTTTATCAACTTTGGCTTTGAACTTATCAAGGATCTCATCTTTAATAATTAATCTTTAATTAACAATCACAATTGGATTTGTGAGACTTATAAAAGTACTTTACTGAATATTTAATATTTTGGAGGTATGTCTGTTTGACCATAGAAATAAAGGGATGGTACATTGCGCTCTGATGCAAGTAGGCAACATGAAATGATGGTAGCATATTTTTTTGGTCTACATAAGAATATGAGCTCACAGCATACCTAATATTAAGTTATTGTCGAAGCCCAAAAAATAATGCATGATCATTGCTGAACTGATATGGGGGTTTGTGGTGCAACTGTGTCCCACTCTTCGAACCAGAATGCGGGCCCCCTTCGCTACACAACCTGGTGTTAAGTGGTTACTGGAGCCCATAGACATCTGCAACGTAAATGTGCCACCCACCTTGAGATATAAGTTTTTAGATCTCAGTATAGTTACAACGGCTGCCCCACCCTTTAAACCGAAACGCATTACTGCTTCACGGCAGAAATAAGCAGTGGTGTCTACCCGCGCGGATTCACAAGAGGTGCTACCACCAGTAAATTTACATTTGGGGGAAGAAACTCAACGAAACCATTCTAAGCTGAGGGATTTTAATTTTTTTATAAATAAAAATGTATGTTCAATTAACTAAGTTGGCTTCGCGCTATTTTGAGGCTGTATCGGTGAGGGCAGCAGGCAGGCGGCCGTGGGAGAGCCGCTGTCGTCCAGAATGGACGCTCTACCCTCATCGTTGTCCAAAACAGAACTGAACGGGTCCGGCCTGTGCACGACCTCGTAGGGGTCCGACTCGCGCGCGTTATCCACGATGCTAAACTCGTCAAAGGACTCCAGCAACTTGTACGAGTCTTTTGAGGTCTGAGGCGCGAATGGATCGAAGGTCCTTCGGCGGTCGGGGGCGGGGGGGTCCTCCGCCAGACTGGTATCCGCGCTGAAATCTGACAGGTCTATGTCGTAATTGACGTCGCTCAGTCCGGGAATATTGTCCGGGAACTCGTCCGGGGTCAACACCTCGTCTAGGGACCTGCAGTCGAAAGGAGTGAGGACCATCGGGGATGGCGTCAGTAGTTCCGTTGAACTGCTCTGCTTGAGGTCGGAGAGGCGGTCCAGCTGCGGCGACTTGGACGGGGACCGCTCCTCGACCACTTCGAAGCCTAAGATGTTTAGTTTTTCGGTTTCGTCGATGACTACGCTCGGCTCGTTGGGCAGCGCTGGCAGTTCTGAGATCCGCGCCGGGCCGGGCTCGGTGGAGGCCGGCGGCGCGGACCCGACGCCCTCGCGTCTGAGGCGCGGCAGTTCTCGCCGTGGTTTGATCTCCAGTGGGGTCTTTGCTAAAACGTCTTGAACTTTCTTCGCGATTTGTTCCTGCAAAGTATCGTATTGTTTAGGACACGTTCATCCATCAAAGTAAGACTGTTGAGTCTTAAATCGGAACGCACGGTGCCTTGCGGCAGATATAGACGCCCGCGTATCCCCCACCCCCACCCCCCCCCCTTATCCCCTACGTATATAAAGTCACGACAAACCTCAAATGTAGCCGCGTTGTTCGCCATGTTCTCGGCCTCCCTCTGTATCTCTTTGGTCTGTTCTAGAAGTTTCGCTGCTAGAGCGCTCTGTTCCTCAGCCTCGCGTGTGGCGCCGCACAGCGACAGCGCGGCCGCCTGGTGCGGAACACATTAATTAATTACAACAGGTAAGCTAGTAAGTACCTCTAGTACCTCAAGCCGGGATAAATCTAAAATCAAACTAACCGGGGCCGTAGTTAAATCTGAAATCTACTACCAGCCCGATATACAAATACACTAGCTACTAGATCGACGGTTGCACAAAAATTAGCAACACTTAGATGTCCTGCATCGCTTTACTCTCCGAACCTTTGAACCTTTTTGCTGGTGGTAGGACCTCCTGTGGGTCCGTGCGGGTAGGTACCACCACCCTGCCAAATTCCATGAAGCAGTAATGCGTTTCGGTTCGAAGGGTGGGGCAACCGTTGTAACTATTCTTCTTCTCAGTCGCATGCACTTTTGGCAGTCTGGCCGTGGTCATCACTTCGGGTGGTGATCTTGACCAGACGTCGCCATACCTCGCGTACCTCGACCCTTCTTATACACTCGTTAACGGGACCGTTTAGAGCTCTCTTTATTTGGTCGGTCCATCGTAACGGTGATCTTGTACGCGGTCTTGTACCCTTAACTATACTTGAGACTATATTTAAAAAAAAAAACAGTGGTGCGTTTAATCGCGGGTAGAATTCGTAAAGGACGCATCCCCCTCGACTAAAGCAAGGTCGTTGGCGCCGTATACCACCAGATAGGGCCGGGACATAACGAGTGATTAATTTAATCAATAAATAATAGTTTAAAATAACAAGTAGAAAATAAATTTGAATTAAAAATAGTGTAAGAAAAAGTGATTTTATTGTAAAAAAAACCGTGGGGTGCATGGTCAGTAGTTATAAATATTTTATGAACAGCTAAGAGTAGAAGGGTTATTTTCATAATATCCTGAAAAGCACCCCACGCTTTTTTACAATAAAATCATTTGTTCTTACACTATTTTTAATTTCAATTTATTAAAATTTATTTTCTATTTTTTAGAATTCTTTCTATTTTCTATTTTATGAATTTTCTATAAAAGCGTATTTTTTTTGTTTTTTTAAACTATTATTTATTTTTCCTTTTTTAGTTGAATTTCAATTTTTTCAATTTATTTTTTTAATATTAAATTGTCATCGGTCCTTAATAAGTATGCCAAATTTCGAGTTAATCCGACGTTTTGAAGGCGTTCAAAATCATGTTCAAAGATTCCGTTACAAACATACATACATACGTCTGAAGCTAATAAAAGTGTATTAAAAAATGGAAGCTCACCCAAGCACTGCCGCCTATGAAGGCCGGCATCGCCATGTAGCAGTCGAATTCCTTCTTGTCCATGCTCAGAGACTCCGCCGTCATGTTCTGGATGAACGACACCGCACAGCACTGCAGTACAAACCACACACACATATATAATAATATATGTAGAGGGGGGAGGGGGGAGAGGAAGAGAGAGAGATAGGCGTAGGCGTGCAAACGAAAAAGACAAAAGTTAATTTATATGTTGCAGAATGACTGAATTTAAGATTAAATTGTACATGCGAATACTAATTTGTCCATAGCATACAGCTTAATTTTGGTTGCAAGGTATTGTCTCTTTTTTTCGACCTATATATCGACTTATTAGGTATAGAATTAATATAATAAAAATAAAATAAAAAACTTTCCGAACTGGAACTGTTTCATTGCAGAAGTTAAAAGGATGTCCCCTTCCCTAGTAAGCCTTCAACTATCACCAATAATTAAGCAATCTTCATTCATCTTCAATCTTCATTTATTTATGTACACACAAAAAAGAAGACATAGTACAGAGTAATAGGAAAAATATGTACACAGGCACTGCTTATTTCTTTAAGAAATCTCTTCCAGCAGACCTGCGAGAGGATTATGAGAATAATAATTAAAAATGATGAGTGTGTGTAAAACAGCTAAAATAACAAATACAACATGAGAATTATAGTAATGCACATACACATAGCAATTACATTTGTGATCCTCATTTCCATTGGGCACTCATCAACACACACACACACACGATCCGTTTTACAAAACATTTAATTGTACGAACCAAGTTAGTAAAGTAGTAGCCGCCCTCGCCGGTCATCAGCCTCTGGGCGTTGCAGAAGCGGGTCACGTAATTAATGTTGCTTATCAAACGTGGCGGATTGGCTTTCAGGACCTGGGGAGCAAAAACGGCAGATGAAGCGGCGGCTGTCTCCAATCGCCGGGCCCCAGCCGGTAGAGGGGACGGCTGAGGCCCGGATCCCCCACGCAGGCCGCATCAGGTCCCGGCTGCACCAGGCTGCAACCTCGCTTCGAACGTGACAGTGATTAGAAAGAAAGAGATGGTTCTCTGTTCGCACCGCCGCCGTCCAGTCAGGTAGGGGGAGAGAGCTTACACAAAGCTGGAGGCCGCTACGCAGTATTGCACTTAGGAGGAACGAGCGATGCGGCGCCAGAGACAAGTAGACGTAGACGTAGATTGGGGAGAATGGGGACTAGGGGTAGAATAGGGACAAATCTAGGTTGTCATCATATCATAATCATAATTTTATTGGTATTACCCTAAAAAAAACCACTGAAATTTGTGTTGGAATTGGAAAACGTCCCGATTTTTTTCTTTTTTTCTTCCTTACCTATGCTGATAGCCTTGAGAGGCTGTTTCAGCCTCTTCTTGACGTGACGGGGCTCAAACCGGGAGTGTTGCTAGCACTGGCCCTAGCAAGAGCGGTGCTTCGCAGAATCTACCACCGGATCGGAAACGCGACCAACTGAGAAGATCCGACGAAAAACTCAGTGGGCTGTGTCTATGGGTTAATTTACTCATCGCAAACGATGGGGTCACCGGAAATCCTATTCCCCCCAATCTACTGTATGTCATGTTCTATTTCAATGGTGGAGAAGATTAACGGTGAGTCAGTGGTCAATTAATGGTGAAGAGATCTCGGAGCGGTACTGACGGTGAGTATGAGCGCGGGCAGCAGGTCGTCGGCGGAGGCGGGCGCGGGCGCGGCCAGCCGCAGCACGTGGCGGGCGCAGCGCCGCACGCGGGCCAGCTTGGCGCCCGACCAGCGCGCCGCGTCCATACCCAACAGCTCTGGGTAATAAAAACAACACTTTCTTAAAACAAATTTCATTTTTAAAAACATTCTTATGAAATCATTTAAATTAGTAACCACTTAACACCACTTAACATCCAGTAACTACTTAACACCAGGTGGGCTGTAAGCCCGTCCACCCATCTAAGCAATAAAATAAAAAAGATAATGTTTTTGTATGTGGGCGCCGAAGGAATATGTTATTTCACGCGATGCCGTACTATATAATAAAAGTTGCCATTTTCAACAATGACGTCACTATATATTCAGTGCATGCTGTGCCGCGTGAAATTAAAAACAAACAGTTCTATTATTTCTGGAGAAATAGTTTGCTCTCATTGACCATCGATATTTGTGGCTAACATTTGATACAATACAACGTACTTCTGCTGCAAAGCGTCGATGCAGTCCAAATTGTAGGGTAGGACAAACTTAATGCCATGTTAGTGTGATTTCTACGACCCATTTTTTGACGAACGTATGGCGATAGTGAGTGACTCACCGACACCAGGCATACCAACGCATTAAGAAGCCACAGTCCTCAAAAAAAAACTGTAGAGGACATTTCATTTCTTTAGATGAAAAAAATTGTGCTCACATGTAATATCAGGTTCTAGTCACAGCTACAGATAACGTGACCTACCGCTTATAGCCTTGTAGAGCAGCCGTCGGCATTCAGCATTGTTCCTGTCCAGTTTACATTCGAGGTGCTTCTCTCCCACCCAGCTCAGTTGCTGTATCCGCTCCGACATGGCCCGGTCCTGGCGTTCGTCATCGGTTCCACTTGGCGAAAACACTATGGACGGTAACCTGAGCGCGGGAAAACGGTCCAATATAATCAAATCACAACAGAGTTAATTTTACAAACGCCCCTTTTTATATTATATATTCATTTTATTAACGACTAGTTGAGTTGACCCGGCAGACTTCGTAGTGCCTCAATCGAAAAATAAAAGACCCAAGCTTTTGTACAAAATAAACTTAAAATTGAAGGAATCCGTCCGACGGGGGACACATCAAAGGAAAAACAAAATTGTTATTTTTATTTAATTCCAAGCATTTTCATATTAATCTACCTTTTAAACCTTCTCTGGGCTTCCGCAAATAATTCAAGACCAAAATTAGCCAAATCGGTCCAGCCGTTCTCGAGTTTTAGCGAGACTAACGAACAGCAATTCATTTTTATACATATTATATAGATATACTAGCGACCCGCTCTCGCTTCGCTTCGGAAACATTAAAATTGAGAGCGGAGTCCCGCGATGTTACCCGCGGTTATTGTCGTACCGCGGGTGACGCCTCGGGGCGAAGATAGTCTAAAAAAAGAAGCCTAAGTTACTCCTTATATCATCAGCTACCTATCAGTGAAAGTCTCGTCAAAATCGGTCCAGCTGTTCCAGAAATTAGCCGAACAAAACAGACAGACAGAAAATTTTTTTGTAATAAATATTATTTTGGTTTATTTACCGGTTTATTTATTTATTTATATATTTATATGCATGTAGTAAAAAACGGTTACTTCAATATTACAAACACACACTCCAATTTTATTTATATGTATAGATTAGAATGTACGATTTTTTTTATTAATAACGTATTTAAAGTTCTAAGAATCACGATATCTCAAGAAGCCTAAGGTTGGCCTAGATAATAGAGAAGCCTAATAGAGTAATAGAGAAGCCTAGGTAATTTTTAACAAGTTAAATTTTATAATCTATATCCTTAGGATAATCTGTACAAATTAATGTTTGATAATCTTTCTGACTTTTTGGCAGGAATGCGAGGAGTGAAGTTGTGTGATTTGTTTTATTTTGTCTCTTTAGTGTTTCTTCAGGTTTAAATGTGTAATAATGGTGGTTTCATAACTGTTTAATATCTGTGAAAGTGCACAAATGTGGGAAAATGAAACAAAGCTGCTGGACGTAACTTCTCGGGTTCCTCCAAAAAGTCCACTGAAAAAATTTCAGTAAATGACCACCATTTTACTGCGATTATATTTCATCCCATATCATTTCATTTCATTTAATTTCATCCCAGTTGATTAATGTCTCAAATTAATCATCTTCATTTCATTTCACTCCATATTATCATTTTTCATAAAATTAAGAATATAAAGTAAAATAAGACATGACTTAAAGGTCTTAGTTACCAGGTCATAAAATCTCTTAAAAAAAAAAAGATAATCTTTCTAGACTTTTTGGCGGGAACGCGAGGAGTGAAGTTGTGTGATTATATTATTTCATTCCACATCATCTCATCTCATTTCATTTCATTTCATCCCACTTGATCTCAAATTAATCATCTTCATTTCATTTCACTCCATATTATCATTTTTCATAAAACCAAGAATACAAATTATAATAAGACATGACTTAAAGGTCTTAGTTACCAGATTATAAAATCCCTTTAAAAAAAAACAGATTGTTAAGTTTTTTTTTTAATTCTGACTAAATAGTCTGCATGTCATAAACCCCATTACTTACTCATGTAGATAGGTCATGGCGTGTTTCTCGACGAAATCTATGAGCAGCTCTCTGGCGTCCGAGTCTACAGATGCGTAGTGCTGCGACGTTTCCATGTGCTTCATGAAGCGCTGGTGCGTGAAGGAAAATAATAAGGTCCTTTTTTTAATATTGGCTCAAACGGACTGTTACCCGAGCCCAGAGTCAGAGAACATTAAAGGGAAACCATGTGACCTGTAATAGCATCACCATCCTTCCCAGGGGTATTGTTTTTGAGTATTGTAACTGTTTAATAATTTTTTTTTTAATATAAATAATAATTATATATATTTACTAACAATCACGCCACGTTAACTGGTCCCGTGATAAGTTCGTAAAGAACTTGTGTTACAGGTACCAGATAACGGAAATAAATGTAAGATTTTAATTATACACATACATATATTTAATATACACCCATAGCCCTGGAAAAGACATTTATATTTATCATACAAATATCTTCCCTTGGCGGGATTCGAACCCGCGACCCCCTTGTGTAGTGACACATGTCACTTATCACTACACCAGACGGCCGTTACTGTGTTTCGATACTATTAAAAATTTTGACGTTAAAATGTCTCTTGACCCCGGTAACTACTTAATAATAGTAGGTAGGACGTCTACCCTTCAAATAGATTAAGATATTGCGTACAAGATAGAGAACTAATCTCTATGTCTGTATATAGCCAGGTACCATGAAATATTACAAAATTCGCAATGTAGAAATCATTTAAAAATGTCAATCAAAGAATCACTCAAGACAACTGATGATCAGAATATGCAGAAATGGGCAGGGTGGTGCTACCGACCCGTGCGGACTCACAAGACGTCCTACCACCAGTAATTACGCAAATTATAATTTTGCGGGTTTGATTTTTATTACACGATGTTATTCCTTCACCGTGGAAGTCAATCGTGAGCATTTGTTAAACACGTATTTCATTAGAAAAATTGGTACCCGCCTGCGGGATTCGAACACCGTTGCATCGCTCGACACGAAAGCACCGGACGTCTTATCCGGCCACGACGATTTACAAAACATAATCACACCACTGATACACCAGACAATACAACAGAGCAACATTCACTTTCATTACCCACCTGGTACTGCTTCTGCACTCTCTCCGAGAGCTCGTCCACATTCATGATGGCAGCCCATTTTATGACATCCAGGATGAAGGTGTGAACGAAGCCCCTAGCGTCCCGGTCTATCTGGGGGGGAAACGAGGGAAAGCGGACCCTGAAGTCTGCCTTCATACCTTCGAACACTGCGGTCGGAATCTTAAACTCTGGCTGACGTCTTTCCGCTGGAATTTCATGGTCATCTGAAATGAATAAATAGCTATAAAGCTTAGCACAATCTCACTTTGATTTTGTCCGATAGATCTGTTCTTGTGTTTATTATAATTGTATTGTAATAAATATAGAGATCGCAGCGAATAAAATAAAACATCATCTTCTGTTATAATAATAATTAATTATTATTTTTATTGCTTAGATGGGTGGACGAGCTCACAGCCCACCTGGTGTTAAGTGGTTACAGGAGCCCATAGACATCTACAACGTAAATGCGCCACCCACCTTGAGATATCAGTTCTAAGGACTCAAGTATAGTTACAACGGCTACCCCACCCTTCAAATCGAAACGCGTCACCGCTTCACGGCAGAAATAGGAAGGGTGTTGTTACCTACCCGTGCGGACTCACAAGAGGTCCTACCACCAGTAAATAAATTTGAACAAGTATATAAACATGTATTCTATCAGTTTATAAAATTACAGTCTTTTTTAGTCTAGAAAAGGGAAAACCTACTCTTCCTGTCTCTTTATAATCAAGGGCATACCCTTAACTAAAGTATTAAAATCGATAAACTAAAACATATATTTTTGGTATTTACCAAAAAACAAGAATATATGGATCTTAAGCCACTTAAATTCTAAAAGTGCCATACGACAGAAAAATGAACAAAAACCTTGTATTGTATACCTGTGATATTCTTCTTGAACACGTTAAACTTCAGTAGATTAGTCTTCTTGAGCGTTTCGCTTTGTCGCAGGCGCTTCTCTTCGAACTTCGAGAAGGACGCGTGCGAGGACAACTTGAGGCCGCGTTCGGACTTCCTCTGGTCCGATCTAGGAAGAGTCGATGTAAACGATGAGGCTTTCTCTGTTCGAAATAAAGGACATTCAATAATTAACCGTATCGAAATAAAGGACATTGAATAATTAAACGAATACATTTCTCGATGTCACACGGAAATAGTAAAAGTTACGTTTTTTTCTTTTTTTTTCCTACCTATGCTGCTAGCCTTGAGAGGCTATTTCAGCTTCGACCTAACGTGTGTAGGTGAGCTCACGGGGCTCAAACCGCAGTGTTGCTAACACTGACCCTAGCAAGAGCAGTGCTTCGCAGAATCTACCACCGGATCGGAAACGCGCCCCACTGAGAAGATCCGATCAGACCCGAAACTCAGTGGGCTAAAGTCACTGTGCGTCGCCTATAGTGTTCTGGACGCTTTCCATAAACATGATTAATTAAAAAAAAAACTATTAATCTTAAAAGAGAACCACTAATGGTTCATTTTGACATACAAATATTAGTCATCCGTGTGTGTCAACAACTAAGTTTCTTATTTATTGCTTAGATGGGTGGACGAGCTCACGACCCATCTGGCATTAAGTAGTTACCGGAGCCCACAGACATCTACAGCGTAAATTCCGCCACATACCTTGAGAAATGAGTTCTAGTATCTCAGTTTTTACAGTACAACGGCTGGCCCACCCTTCAAACCAAAACGCATTATTGCTTCGCGGCATAAATAGGCAGGGTGGTGGTACCTACCCGCGCGGGCTCACAAGAGGTCCTACCACCAGTAACTACGCAAATTATAATTTTGCGGGTTTGATTTTTATGACACGATGTTATTCCTTCAACGTGGAAGTCAATCGTGAACATTTGTTGAGTACGTATTTCATTAGAAAAATTGGTACCCACCTGCGGGATTCGAACACCGGTGCATCGCTACACACGAATGCACCGGACGTCTTATCCTTTAGGCCACGACGACTTCAAATCGATTTAGAGATCAATATAGAGAAATCCGTGTTTTTCACATAATTGTTTCCATATCGCCACGGTCTTAATAATTTATATTATCATGATAAACAATATTACGTTTAAAAACTTATCTATCACCCGTCGAGAGTGTGAACTGTTACTGACAAGTTTATTGCCTTGGACGCGTATCATGCTATTAGAATAACCACATTTATCTATATCTTCCATCTCCTAATCAACATATCAATTCATTTTAATTATGGTAGTTTGTTTGTTCGTATTCAAAGAAATTTTGGGCCGGTTAGGGTTGAAATTTGGACCGTAATCATTGATATTGCAGACTAAATGTCTAGTTTAGTACCATCGACGTCCAATAGGTGGCAATCAAATCGTTTAACCAATATTATCATCATCCATACATCCATTGCTGGATTTTAAAGAGCTCCATCTACTGGATGGCTACTTTAGCAAGTTAACGCTTCACTTAGTCGGGGAATCCCCCTTATAATTTAGCTGATTCGCAGTCTTCACTCAAGCAAAATGTGGCCGTGGGAAATAATATAGAAACTACTACACTCGCTGCGAATAATTACATGCGAATAGTAGATACATTAAAGAATAAATTCGGACCGAGAAATTTCATTTAAAAAAACCTGAACCAGTTTTATAGGGTGCAAATGTAAATACCTGAAAGGAGTGTACCTACGTTTCCAAGAGTACCAACGGCTTAAAATAAATACGTACTGAGCGCAAGTTGACAAATGAGTTACAGCCAACAACAAAAAAAACGAAACGTCTGGTAAGGAGTATCCGAAGCACGCACGGCCTGTTTCGAGAAGCAATAATGGATTCATATCCGAATGGTGGAGCAGCCGTTATAAAATACAATCGAATTTTCGACAACACCTCGATCTGGTTAATGGAATTCAAGTCGTGAATACAGCAATGAAAAAGAAAGATTGTGCCTAAATTTGTGTGCTCAGTGCGAGTTTTTAACGCTCTCGATAGTGTAAAAGTTAACTGATATTTGTATGCAGTCGGAACAGCGCCCCTAGCGGCAAACGTAGGCAGACGTTCCAACTCCATACAAAATTGAGTTAACTTTTACGCTATCGAGAACGTTAAAAAACTCGAAATAAACACAATGGCCTTTNAATGAAAAAGAAAGATTGTGCCTAAATTTGTGTGCTCAGTGCGAGTTTTTAACGCTCTCGATAGTGTAAAAGTTAACTGATATTTGTATGCAGTCGGAACAGCGCCCCTAGCGGCAAACGTAGGCAGACGTTCCAACTCCATACAAAATTGAGTTAACTTTTACGCTATCGAGAACGTTAAAAAACTCGAAATAAACACAATGGCCTTTGGTTTCGTCATCTCCCTGCATAATACGTGAACGATTACATCAGATTCTGATGGCTTTGTACTATATTAATTCTGATACTTTGGACTTCACACTTGTTTTTACTAATAAACTGATAACAATCATAATACTATCGTTTGTATTTTATCTTTTAAATCTAAACTTTAATTAGTGCATCATAAAACTTGAATAATACCACTGTCCACTGTCGGTCGAATTCTTAGTGTACTTATTGCGCCATGACCACGCAAGTTCCATTCCAAATTAGTATCCTATATAGGTATCTAAGTTTTTACAGGAACTGGATACATATTCTGGTCTTGTATGGAATAAATTGTAATCTGGGATCGCTTGAGTGTGAAATATATATTATGACTAATGTTCACCAGATTATCGAAATCCAACCTTAATCACTGACAACTCAAGATTTACATTCACTTCATGTGTTACCTTATCATTTTTGTTTTATGTTTTTGACAATTTGAAGAACAAAGATGTTTTTCAACAGCTACTAAACACAAAAGATGTAAAAGAAAATCAATTTACAGACGATATGGTACTTAGCTGTTATGATTATTCTGTTTTACATATTTGTATATTGTGAACTATGTAAATAGCTTTTACNGACAACTCAAGATTTACATTCACTTCATGTGTTACCTTATCATTTTTGTTTTATGTTTTTGACAATTTGAAGAACAAAGATGTTTTTCAACAGCTACTAAACACAAAAGATGTAAAAGAAAATCAATTTACAGACGATATGGTACTTAGCTGTTATGATTATTCTGTTTTACATATTTGTATATTGTGAACTATGTAAATAGCTTTTACACTAAACCTAAAACTGATTGGAAACAAAGAGATTGCTCTAATGAAACCTTTTTATTTTGAATTTAATTTATTTTTTACCTCTGCATTTCTGTCTGGTCTATTTAGATTTCAATTATTTTTCGTTTTAAATTTTTTTTTTAATATTAGTCATAGTAGTACAAACAAGTGTGTTGCGGTAAAATGTGCTGAAAGTACTTTTCGGTAAGCAGCTCCTTGGCCTTGACCCTGTCTTTGCTGACGTCCATGAGCGACGATAACCACTAACCATCAGGTATGCCATATGCTCAACTGCCAGCAAGGGCAATAAAAACGATTGCGTTATTACACGGGCAATAAAAAAATATCTAAGCAATAAAAAAAAATTTACTCAGATTACACCTATATAACTCACTAATTTGAACAATAACAAAACATAGCTACGCTTGAAAGACAAACGTGACTAAGCAACAATAACTGCTTTGTACATAAATGATAGGCAATAACCATATTCGATGCGCAAAAAAAATATATTTCTAGGTCTATTAAAATCATTTCAATTCTACAGCTACTAGCTAGATTCTACTACAGCTAGATTCGTTAAAATATTATTATTTTTCAGTTTACTGTAAAGTTCACGCATTTTCTCTTAGTCACGTTTGCCTTTCAAGCGTCAATAAGTAATAAGTAACATTACAAGTTCATTGTATGCAACTACACAATAGAAATAAATAAGCATATGATATAATAATATGTGTACGACTAAAATGTATGTATATTGACGTAAAACCTAAAATATATTAAAAAAAAACTACTTGACTTATTTTGTGAAAAAAATAATTACATTCTTTTATCAATATTTTCTCATTCAGTTAAGTCATTATGTTATGTCACCTTCCTAACGAACATGAGTGGTAGTGGGCTTTAGACATCGGCAATGCTGGAAATACGACCACACCTATTTCTACAATAAAATATTTTAGCCTTGTCTTTCTGGAACCAAATCCTGCATGACAAATGCCACATTCTACTTTTTCCAAACCAAATCTATTTAAAATTCATTCAATTTTTAAAAAAACAGTAGGTATATGTCATATCCTAGTAATAAATGCTTACAATAACTTTTGGTACATGTGCACCTTATATACAATTAATTTTAATTAAATTGCAACAGACAGAAACCACTTAAAGTTGATGTCATCTTGATATAGTATAAAGTGTGTATCTATGTAACAGACATATTAAAAAATCTCTTATTTTACATGTTTTTAATTGTAAATCTTACCTGCTTTTCTTTGCCTCTGCATCTGTTCCCTGTGACATTTCGAGCAGTACCCCTGCCATTGTGGGTTGCCAAAATAATCACATCCATTCTTGCACTTCAAGTCGTTTTGGTCGATCCGTAGTGAAGGCATCTTGGATGTTATCATGTATTTGTAGGACCTTTGAAGATTCGGAGCGTACCACATTTTAAAATATTATTTCTTAATTTACAATTTAATAATTGTACATATTGTAGCGAACAATGGACATAATTAATTTCACTTATGGTTGTATTAATTATAAAGAAATTCAATATAATTTATGAAAATTGACACAGCTGCTTTCATGTTTAATATTGTTACACAACTACATCATTTACATTTGGTTTTTTTTTGAGATCAACGTAGACGGAATAAAAAATTCACAAAAAATTATCTACACAGTTAATAATGTTATTATTGTTTTAACTATAGCAAAACATGCACGACAACGTAACATTCCCAGCACTGTTTTTTACTGGAATATTTTGCGCGAATAACGCGGCAAAATCTGTGGTTAACGCAGAAAACGGAACACATCGCAGTAATCAGTCGTAACTGTGATCTTTCTACAGCTCAACGCCGTTATATAGACTGGGCTTATCGTGAAAATGTACTTGAAAATATGTGATAACCAAATCAACGTAACTATACAGTATATCGTATTTAAAGACATATGGGAATCTGTGACAAAATATAAATGAATTATATTAACTCACCTAAAAGTTTCTATTAACTTATATGCAAAAAATGATTAGTTTCTATTGTAACAGGAAAACCCTTCATAATTTTACTCTCATACTATGACAACAAACGTTCTGCCATTGAATTTTGACAGATCAAAATGTTTGACAAGTAACGTATTGAAATTTTTAATGCTAACGTTTTAATTCCATTCCAGAATGATGCATCCAATGGATAATCAGTGCTTCAGTTAAAATGAGAAATTTAAATAAGACAACTAGACGTGTTTTCTTAGATTTATTTATTCTTCTTTCGCATTTTTCGAAACGTTAAATTTATTCTTGCACCTAGTAATTTCTTCCTTGTTGGTAATGAGTGATACCAGATTTCATTCGTTGGCGGATTCATTAACAAAACGCTTCCATTCTCCAAGTTTAACGTTACTGAAATAATTGTAATAAATCTTAATTAATAAAATAAAAACAAAATGTCTATACCATGCCAAGCTATGTGATTAAGAATTACTTCTGTGACCAATGCAGAAATCCATAGTCACAATATTTATTAAAATAAAACTATGTTGCCACGGTTACCTGTCGACACATAAACGAAACACACGATAATTTTCAAATTTCATTAACAAGAAACAAAACCGTATCATTTTGCATTAATAATTATGAACTATTTGCAAATTAAAGACGGACAATACACAAAAACTATTTACACGATGGTAAGAGCTTAATATTAGATGAAATACTGTAATTTTTTAGAATTTACTGAGCAGCGGTAAACTATTATGGTGCTTTATTTATGTGAGGCCACGATCATTGAGGATTATCGACGAAAGGAGGATGAGGATCATATTATGTATTTTGTAAAAAGTGCTCATGAAGTACCTACTACGCGCCACTTGGCTAACGAAGGTCAATGAAGACTTCGAATTGCTTAGCTCGACACATGCCCAACACAGAATCCATTCTGACTAAGAGTAAATAAGACAATAATTAAGTGACCACAAAGGAAACTAATTGTGATAATATTTAGGTTACCTATTTTAGTCATAGATATCTTTCGGAATCCGAAACAGTATATCCGGCTAAGGTTTTCCTGTCATCAGTTCGTACTAACATTTTTTTTAGTGCTTAGAGGTGGGTGGACGAGCTCACAGCCCACCTGGTGTTAAGTAGTTACTGGAGCCCATGGACATCTACAACGTAAATGCGCCACCCACCTTGAGATATAAGTTCTAAGATCTCAGTATAGTTACAACGGCTGCTCCACCCTTCGAACCGAAACGCATTACTGCTTCACGGCAGAAATAGGCAGGGCGGTGGTACCTATCCGCGTGGACTCAATATATGCTTGTCTTATTTGAACTCTTATATAGACACCCATAATTCATACATAATACACATATTTATACATATATCACGCTAAGGTTAGGTTAGTTGGCCGGCAAAATTCCCGATTTCATATCAACGGGCTCCCATGAGCGCTAATCATAATTAAAATATTAATTAACTCAAACACTTCCCGCATTAGTAAAAACAGATTAATCTGATGTGCGTGTCAACGATATTGTTTATCAGTATGATATAATCCTGCCCAACCCATCGGCACCATAGATTTGAACGCGGAAGAACGTTTCAAGGTGACACGAACTAGATGCTATTTTGCGAAACATTTGTTCACGATTGACTTCCACGGTGAAGGAATAACATCGTATAATAAAAATCAAATCCGAAAAATTATAATTTGCGTAATTATTGGTGGTAGGACCTCTTGTGAGTCCGCACGGGTAGGTACCACCACCCTACCTATTTCTGCCGTGCAGCAGTAATGGGTTTCGGTTTGAAGGGTGGGGCAGCCGTTGTAACTATACTTGAGAGTTAGAACTTATATCTCATGGTGGGTGGCGCATTTACGTTGTAGATGTCTATGGGCTCCGGTAACCAGTAAACCCAAGGTGGGCTGTGAGCTCGTCCACCCATCTAAGCTTAAAAAAATAAAACAAAAATGTTTTTTTCGTCGACTCAAATGATTCTCTGATAAAAAATATTGCGAATTATTTTCGTTAAACGAGGTTACGATTAGATTAACGGGCAAATTATAATCCCTAGTATAAATCTCTTTCAATTTTGGTAGGTACCTACCTAAAGTGTTAAGGATGTGGTTTGTGTATGTTTAAGTGTGTGTGTGTGTGTGCAGAGTAAGTAGAACAATGCCCTTTTCCAATTAAAAAAAATCTCATTCTCATCAACATTCATTTGTTCAATGTAAACGCCCAGATGTGCGTAGCTTTTTTAAAGCTCTCTTGTACTAATAAAACTGATAGTAAAATTTACACTTTCGAGTAAACAACGCTTATAGAAAGAAGAAAGCCGCGTGACCGTTTCGTAAGATACAAATAAGGCATAGGTAAACCTGAACAATCTGCTCATTATTATAAAGCTATATCTCATGGCTGAATAGTTTAAAATAAAAAAGAACAGGTCAACATCAATGATGCTGTGATCTTTACTGCGATTGCAATGCCCCATTGCGAGCCCACGCCAGGCAGTGACGTTATGACCAAATAAACCTCTCCAGTCCTTGTTATACACCCACAAAACATTACCGGCTGTATGCTCGTCACGTTTGATGCACATCGCAGTCACAAACCACACTCGATCACTTTGAAATGTTACACGAGCCCCATTATCTCGACACTCGAGCGTTCATAGTATTACGTTGTACAATCATCAAAGGACTCCTTTGATGTTTAAGTACTAAGTAATGTCCTTTTGTGTGTGCCACTTGTGATTCTAATTATCTGTAATATTTTGATAAGCTGTTACATTAATAGATGCTGACAAAATTGTGTATCGAAATAAATCATTGAAGAGAATTTGTTTCTTAGCTAGTATTTTGGTCTATTACGGGCGGATACCATCAAGCTGCCTGTTTCTGCTGCGAGACACTCATGATTGGTAGTAACCCTGACATCACCTTCATGTCCCAGGGTTGGTTTCCAGCAGTTACGTTGTGATGTCTATGACCCTTACCAACCATTTTAAACCAGGTGGGCCGCTACATTAAATTGACGTGATGAGCATTGGTGACCATTACATTAAAGATTAAACTAATAAAAACAGCGGAATTTAAAAAAATATATTCGACATTGCCAGGATTTAAGGACAGTCAAGTAGGGAAAACGTTTCATGTTATACATCACCTGAAGACTCTTCGCAACCTAACGTCCTAAGGAATTTAGAATACGAAAATTTATCATTATTCAGACCGTCTACTTGCAACTACTGCTTCACAATAGCTTTCAGAAAAGAGCTTCAATAGTTTTTCAAAAATCTTTCCAGATAAAAGAAGCAAGGTACGAAGACGCTATCAAAGCACTAAATGACGCTATAAATTTCAATCCGAACCGAGCTGGTCTGTCGCTCCTTGGTTTCTGCTACTACAGGACACAGGCCTTTGTTGAAGCAGCAAACTGCTACGAACAACTGACAGCCATGCATCCAGACGTGCCAGAATACAGACTGTATTTCGGCCAAGCTCTGTATGAAGCATCCATGTTTGAAGAATCATTCAAAGTGACAATGCAAATCAATAATCCGGAACTAGAAAGGAAGGTTATCAAACTCCAATCTGCTATTAAGTACAGTGAAGATGACACTGCCACGGCGAAAGGACTTGTAGACTCGTACCCTCAAGACGACCCCGATAAGGATATTAATTTGGGTTGCTTGCTTTTTAAAGAAAACCACTTTGAAGAAGCTCTGCAAAAGTTCTCGAGGAGTCTTAACGTTGTGGGCTTTAACGCGCACTTACATTATAATATAGCTGTTTGTTATTTTAAACTTAAAGAGTTTCCGCAAGCTTTAAAACACATCACATTGGTGATAGAAAGAGGGATCCGTGATCACCCTGAGCTGGCGGTTGGAATGCAAGCTGAAATATCTGAAGTTAAATCAGTCGGCAATACTTTGACGCTTCACGAAACGGCATTAACCGAGGTGTTTAACCTAAAAGCGGCCATTGAATACCAGCTAAAGAACATCGATTCAGCGAAGGAAGCGCTTAACGATATGCCACCAAGGCACGAACACGAGTTGGACGCAGTCACTCTCCACAACATGGCTCTGACGTCCATCGACGTGAAACCGACTGACGGCTTTGAGAAACTACATTTTCTGCTCCAACAAGAACTCTTTCCACCCGAAACATTCGCAAATTTATTGCTTCTTTACTGCAAATTTGAGTATTATGATTTAGCAGCTGATGTCCTGGCCGAAAATGCCCAATTCACATATAAATATCTAACACCATACCTCTATGATTTCTTGGATGCTATCATAACGAGCCAAACCTCACCAGAAGAAGCATTTCAAAAGTATGAAGATATAGCTTCTAAGCATGCTGAGCAACTACGCAAACTAACCAAGATAGTGCAAGAGAGTCGATCTCAAGGTGACAACGATCAAGTCAAAAAAGCCGTTGTGGAATACGAAGAGGCTTTAGAACGTTATATTCCCGTAGTAATGGCTCAAGCTAAAATATATTGGGATAAGGAAAACTATGGACAAGTCGAGAAAATATTTCGAAAATCAGTCGAATTCTGCAATGATTCCGACGTGTGGCGTCTAAATGTAGCTCACGTGCTATTTATGCAAGAGAATAAATACAAGGAGGCTGCCAGTTTTTACGAACCAATCGTTAAGAAGCAGTACGACAATATTCTAGACGTAAGCGCAGTTGTTTTGGCCAATCTTTGCGTTTCTTACATAATGACGTCACAGAACGAAGAAGCGGAAGACATCATGCGCAAAATAGAGAAAGAAGAAGAGCAGCAAATATTTGAAGATCCACAAAAGAAGTTTTTCCACTTGTGCATTGTTAATTTGGTTATAGGCACATTGTATTGCGCTAAGGGTAACTACGAATTCGGTATTTCTAGAGTCATCAAATCGCTTGAACCATTCAACAAACGGCTCGGTACTGATACGTGGTTTTACGCAAAAAGATGTTTCCTTTCTTTTCTGGAGAATCTAGCAAAACATTTGATTGTAGTCAAAGATAATACTATCAAAGATTGTTTACTGTTCCTCGAAGGCTGCGAAGCGTACGGACGCAAAGTTAGCACGGTGATCGAGAACCCGTTCCAAGAGGAAGATGCAAATACAAAGGCAAAACACACTGTGACATATGAAGCTAGATTATTAAGGTACATGTTTTATAAGTTGCGTCATATTGATGATTCTGTAACTATAAACAAATATGAAGATTTGAAGTAAATAACGCATTGTTTTAGTTTTTAAGTGTAAAGTAATAAAATGTATGTATTAATACACTTAATGTAATAAAATAATTGACTTTTTAAATGTAAAGTTAATACCGAAAAATAATTACAATTTTTTGCCAGACCTCATTTCTCTGTCCATGGTCATCAACATTTTTGGCTTTACAAACGTTCTGACCGAAAAGACCACTATAATATTTATAATTCTAATGATTTCTATTAGGTATTAGGTTAATTTATATTTACACATAATCTGCCGATGCTGCTACAAACCTGTAGGTATTGCCCTTTTCTCTTTTCCAGATTTTCTTGCATCTCTATGTTTCAATACAAACGGTCGTTCCTGTCCTAAAGAAATAGATGCGATGGGGTAGCTTGGGTCCAATTCTGGTTCATTGTCCCTATGTTCGCCCATATGATCTATACCGTTTCTGTATCTATGAGAAAATATAACATTATATTTTAGTATATTAGGGGCACATGAAGTCGTCGTGGCCTAAAGTGAAGTCGTCGTGGCCTAAAGGATAAGACGCCCGGTGCATTCGTATGTAGCGATGCACTGGTGTTCTAATCCCGCAGGCGGGTACCAATTTTTCAAATTATATACGTACTCAACAAATGTTCACGATTGACTTCCATGGTGAAGGAATGACATCGTGTAATAAAAACCAAACCCGCAAAATTATAATTTGCGTAATCACTGGTGGTAGGACCTCTTGTGAGTCCGCGCGGGTGGGTACCACCACCCTGCCTATTTCTGCCGTGAAGCAGTAATGCGTTTCGGTTTGAAGGGTGGGGCAGCCGTTGTAACTATACTTGAGACCTTAGAACTTGTATCTCAAGGTGGGTGGCGCATTTACGTTGTGGATGTCTATGGGCTCCAGTAACCACTTAACACCAGGTGGGCTGTGAGCTCGTCCACCCAACTAAGCAATAAAAAAAAAATCAGTAAATTTTATACGTCCAACCTGCCTATTTCTGTCGTGAAGCAGTAATGCCTTTCGGGTTTAAGAGCCTCTTCATTCAAATTACACGACCAGTATTTAAGTATAGTAGGTCAAATTTTATATGTTTACGGCAGATCTTAATATTTGCAATACTAGGCACTTTGGGAGACTATACAGCTCAGTACCACAGTCCTGTCTAATTGCAGATAGCGGTTTGGTTTCAAAGGCATTCGTTACTTCAAGCCAATTGACAACTCAAACTAATTTCTCAAAGAGATCAGAGGAACTTATGGTGTCGTCTATCTATGCCATAATAATAAATATACGATAAGCTATACCATACAGATTTTTTTTTATTGCTTGTATGGGTGGACGAGCTCACAGCCCACCTGGTGTTAAGTGGTTACTGGAGCCCATAGACATCTACAACGTAAATGCGCCACCCACCTTGAGATATAAGTTCTAAGGTCTCAGTATAGTTACAACGGCTACCCCACCCTTCAAACCGAAACGCATTACTGCTTCACGGCAGAAATAGGCAGGGCGGTGGTACCTACCCGTGCGGACTCACAAGAGGTCCTACCACCAGTGAAAACAACACTTTTGGCTTTACCAACGTTCTGACCGACAAGACCACTAATATCTATAATTCTAATGATTTCTAGTAGGTATTAGATTAGTTTATATTTACACCTAATCGGTCGAAGCTGTTACAAACCTGTAGGTATTGGCCTTTTCTCTTTTCCAGATTTTCTTGCATCTCTATGTTTCAATACAAACGGTCTTTCCTGTCCTAAAGAAATAGATGCGATGGGGTAGCTTGGGTCCAATTCTGGTTCATTGTCCCTATGTTCGCCCATATGATCTATACCGTTTCTGTATCTATGAGAAAATATAACATTGTATTTTAGTATATTAGGGGCACATGAAGTCGTCGTGGCCTAAAGTGAAGTCGTCGTGGCCTAAAGTGAAGTCGTCGTGGCCTAAAGTGAAGTCGTCGTGGCCTAAAGTGAAGTCGTCGTGGCCTAAAGGATAAGACGCCCGGTGCATTCGTATGTAGCGATGCACCGGTGTTCTAATCCCGCAGACCGGTACCAATTTTTCAAATGATATACGTACTCAACAAATGTTCACGATTGACTTCCACGGTGAAGGAATGACATCGTGTAATAAAAACCAAACCCGCAAAATTATAATTTGCGTAATCACTGGTGGTAGGACCTCTTGTGAGTCCGCGCGGGTGGGTACCACCACCCTGTCTATTTCTGCCGTGAAGCAGTAATGCGTTTTGGTTTGAAGGGTGGGGCAGCCGTTGTAACTATACTTGAGACCTTAGAACTTGTATCTCAAGGTGGATGGCGCATTTACGTTGTGGACGTCTATGGGCTCCAGTAACCACTTAACACCAGGTGGGCTGTGAGCTCATCCACCCACCTAAGCAATAAAAATAAAATAAAAAAACTATACTGAGACCTTAGAACTTATATATCGAGGTGGGTGGCGCATTTACGTTGTAGATGTCTATGGGCTCGAGTAACCACTTAACACCAGGTGGGCTGTGAGCTCGTCCACCCACCTAAGCAATAAAAAAAAAAAAAAAAGATGTCTATGGGCTCGAGTAACACTTAACACCAGGTGGGCTGTGAGCTCGTCCATCCAACTAAGCAATAAAAAAAACATTTCCTTAATCATGTGTTTCCGCACAAAACCCGCTTCAATTTGCAAGGGTTTTACACGTTGAACCAGATCGCATTGTTGCGGAATTTAAAAGTATCGTGCGTCTTACATAGTAAGCCATACACGCCTGAATAAATCTATGAAGATATAAATTATTTTCACTTACTTATTTATCAACACGAAATCATATCTGATACTCGTTATTCCGAAAAGAAAATCCCTTAACGCGAGAACAGGTGCAGGCCACGGTAGGGCGGGTACTGTAACCCCTGAGTATGTGTAGGTTATGCCATCATCTCCGTATGCCACTTGTTGTCTGGGCAAAGGATACGTTTTGCCAAAAACCCTGAAGCAAGTGAGATATTGGTAAGTTTTCCTGGTTAGGTATCAATGAGTTAAAATTATTACTAGCTTGTCAATCGTGGTGATAGCTGGAGCTCATGACACACGAACGTATATCACGGGGAGAGATCTATGTGCTTAGTGTGAGTTTTTTAACGTTCTCGATAGCGTAAAAGTTACCTCAAGTTTGTATGGACTATGGAGTTGGTACAGCGCCCCTAGCGTGTAACTAGCTGCGGTCATGTTATTTTTATCCATTATCTATGGGGCGGTCGCCGTTAAATATTAAGTGTATTATCTATGGCCGGGCGGGTGTAAACTTTAATAGATATTAAGGAGCATGATTACACTAATATACAAGAGTAGAGGAAGAGAGCTATGTCTTAAAGTGAGAAATTCATCACAACACAGTCTGATGGCAGCTGCCCATGAAATAAAAAATTAGACCTTACTATTAGTTAGCGTTTAAAAAACAAATATACGTACTTCACTTTTGCTAAATCTCCCGTGAAGTATTTAATCTCGTTTTCGAGTTCCATGAATAATTGGTTGGACACATTTTTCGGTATTGGCACCGAATAACTTAAATTAAGTCCTTCATGTTTCACGTATTTCCACGAAATAGATTCTTTGTCAATTTCGTTTAGTTTTTCCATTTCTGTAATGATTACCCAAGTTTGAGGCTGCACAGGCAACACTCATATGTCAAAAAATTATGAAAGTAGGCTTTTCAAAACAATTGATTTTCCAAAAAGTAGTAACATATTTTTGTAAATTTTTGGCGTTCTAATTTATGAAAATAATCTAGTTCCTGAATAAAAAGTCATTCATAGTGACTATAACAAGTTCGAAATTTAAGGAAAAGTACCTGTTTCGCTTTTAAAATCCTTTTTTATTCCTTTTCGCCATAGAGTAAACTTATATCCGCTACAGAATGTTGCCTACACTAGAAAAAAAATTTTGTCCAGGTTAAAGATATTTGAATTATTTACAACCGTTGGTTACGCGTCTTTTTGGCTAAGCTTTGTGCTTTTAAAATAGTAAATAGTCAAACAGCCATTCATTGTCACTTCAACAGACTTAACTGTTCAGTTATTTCAGAAGTCGTCATGTTCTTAACGATACGATGGCCCATGTACTACTCATATTGATCGAAGCGACCACGTTAGTGTCCTAATCTCGCATGCGCCAATATTTAATTTAAGGAAGTACGCATGAATGTTCACGAATGACTTTAACAATTAAGTAATAATATAATATGGGATAATAAAATTAAAACTCGAAATAAAATGAACGTACTAGTATTAGGGTCGTAGTCATAAGATCCCACACGGTTAGTTATCACACCATGCCCATTTCTATCAAGAACTTTCGACTTAACGAGAGAGTCTTGTGTACTGTCGTCGTGGCCTAAAGGATAAGACGTCCGGTGCATTCGTGTTGAGCGATGCACCGATGTTCGAATCCCAGGCCGGTACCAATTTTTCTAATGAATTACGAACTCAACAAATGTTCACGATTGACTTCCACGGCGAAGGAATAACATAGTGTAATAAAAATGAAACCTGCAAAATTATAATTTGCGTAATTACTGGTGGTAGGATCTCTTGTGAGTCCGCGCGGGTAGGTACCACCACCTTGCCTGTTTCTGCCGTGAAGCAGTAATGCGTTTCGGTTTGAAGGGTGGGGCAGCCGTTGTAACTATACTGAGACCTTAGAACTTATATCTCAAGGTGGATGGCGCATTTACGTTGTAAATGTCTACGGGTTCCAGTAACCACTTAACACCAACCGGTCTGTGAGCTCACCCACCCATCTAAGCAATAAAAAAGAGAGAGAGAGAGTATTCTTTATTGTACACCAAAAAACAAATAAACAGTGCAATACATTAAACACAAAAAAGTACAAAGAGGCAATTATTTTCAGTTCAAAGGGCAAGACAGCCACTATGCAATTGAATCTTAATCTTAGTCTCAAGAGGAATCGCGACATTCCCGTTGTCAAGTAACCACTTAGCACCAATGAGTCATATTTTTATTCACATGCCAATAAAACAAAAACAAAAATGCTATAAGGAATTAAAACTATCACAGTCGAACGTATATTTTAATGATGTGTGAAAAACCAACAATGAATTTAATACCACTACAAGATACGTAGGTATCTGAGATAAACACAATTAAGCACTTTTCCATCGACTTAATCGCTAATTTTTTACTGGAAGATCGGCTTTCCGTCATGATCCATGCAAGTGTAGTGTTCACTCACGCAACCCACTCTCTCACACTCACTCCAACTCATCCAATCCCGTTTCTGCTGGATAACCGTCGAAGCGCCATGGTATGTGAGGAATGTAGATCCTCGCGACGACCTAAATCTAGAACCGATACGTAACTTTCTTAGAGAAGCGTCAGAACGCTACTTTGAAAAATCAGCGCGGCACGATTATCGTGGCCACCACTAACTACATATCCCACCCAGGCGACAGGGCAAAACAAAGCCACCATTGCCCAAAACATGTCTTTTCGGATCCCATGTATCCACTCTTGGTGATTTTAGGCTCTTCAAGCACCGGTCACCGCCCTCGAAGAAGTTCTCAACTCCGACAAAGAGTTCGACGTGCGAACTAAACCATAGACACAGCCCACTGAGTTTGGCGCCGGATCTTCTCATTGGGTCGCGATTCCAATCCGTTCGTAGATTCAGCGAAGCACTGCTCTTACTAGAATCAGGGTTAGCAATTCTCTGTTTGAGCCCGTTAGCTCAGCTGCCGGTCCACGTGAAATTGGAATAGCCCCCTAAGCTACCAACGATTAGGTAGGGAAGTAAAAAAAAGTCGGCTGGCGGAGTCTTTGTCTCTCCGCCCGCATGCATGCCCCTCAAAGACACACGGGGAGTAACAAATAGGGATGTGCGCCAATGTTATTATATTTCTCAACACGTTTGCGCTTTCACAAATTCTAAGCTGCTGATAATCCACTTTTAATACGCGTATGCTTATTGCTTTATTACTCGAACAAACCTTATATTATCCAAATAAAATCATTGTTTACGTTCCCGCCAAAAAGCTACTAAGCCGTATTTATTATATATAATATATAATGGTATACAACGCCGTATACGTTATTTTAAACTATGGGCTATGTATCATTTTGGAATGAAGCGCTAGGTAAAATTTTGCTTTCTTCTATTTTGTCTCAAAAATAAATACACTTATTTTATGTATAATCTTTTATAATCAGTACACAAAAATTATGACTAATAATTTGACACTTGTACAGTAAGTAGGTAGGTACATAGTTGAATTTGTTATGATTTCCGAAATGGCAAAATAACACCTTTGTTATTCTTCATAAAATTGTGAAACTCCTCTGACCCAGTTAAAAATCGATTATTTATTGGTGGAAGTTGTTTGTAAAGCTTGGATGTGTGATCCGTAATATCACTGTTCGACATATTAGATCTGAAATCATAATAATCGTTTTAAAAAGCATGTACGTAACATTCTTTTACGTTTTAACCCAAGCCTGACAACGAGTTACATCAGAATCTACTAGCTAAATGACATCAGTGTTTTTTTTAAAACAGGCGATAAATACATTTATATAGTAATTCAATACTAACTTTGTAAAATCTAAAAGATAATCCTTATCGTAATAAACGGTGTATTGACGTATTCTGTGAATTACATCACAGTTACCAACTGATTGACAACTGTAATCGTAAAGTTTTTCTATTTTACCATTCTTATCTTTCACAGTCCAAAAGTATTCCCCGGAAAATCTTGAAACGACTGTGCGCGGACGTAATAGAGAATTATTATCTTGCTTCAGCTCTGTAATGCTGGTATATTCTTGCCTTTTCATAGTACTGAACTCATTTTTATTGAAAGTATTGTTTGATCCGTTGCATTGTTGCAAAATTGATTGTCTTACATCAATTAGGTCAGAATTCAAAGAAACATCTTTGGTCGTCACGAAATTGCGACAATTCACTTTAAGTTTCTCATCACTGGACTTATTAATTTCATTGATCAAACATACGCAATTCAAATCAGCCTCTTTCTTGGCTTTCTGAAGTTTCTGTACTAATTTTTTAAGAAATAAAATTTCTTGTTGTGCCACCCAATACAATTGCTGTAAATGTATGCATTTAAATCTATTCTCTTTAATCAGTTTTTGAGAATCTTCATTGTAACGTTTAAATCTATCTTTCGCCATAATCTGTAATTGATATTGCATTCTGATTCTTCTATTTTCATTTAGGGCAGTTATTAGAAAACTTTTTAACGTCTTCCTCTCTTCATCAAATTCTTTCAATTTCTTAAAAAAAACATAATCCAGTATACTTTTGCATTTAATCGATTGTCTATACTCTGTTGTATTTTGTTCATACACTAAGCTTCTCGTTTTAATTAATGTATTTCGATATATATTTTTAATTTCAATTAAACATTCTACAACAGCAATACAACAACATCGAGCGGTATTTTTGAAAATGCTTTGAACTTTATGAAAAATCCATATCATTAGATTATTTACTGCAAAATTTTTTTCAGTAAATATTTTTATGAATTCCTTTTGAAATATTGAAAAGGCCAATGCTCCGACTGTTATGATTAAACAGTAAACAAGAGTCACACTTTTTGAATTCAATACTATGACGTCAACTTTTTTTGGCTTTGGCAATGTGTAATTCTTGAGTCGAGACGTCGAATGAAAATAAACACCTACAACAAAAACTATTAATTAAATTTATTGTATTGATCATGAATTTCACTTACCAAATAATAAAATTATAATTTGGTAGATTCAGATACCTATACCAATGAAATGTAGGCATCAGAATCTAGGCGACTTCAAGTTAATTATCCGTTGTCTATATTGGCAGTTTATTTGAATTTCTATTTGTGAAGCCGTAACGGGTTTTCATACTGTTTGAGCTTACGACATCAAACATACCAAATTGAACGTACCTTACCCCATAGAGCGCAATCCGTCCATGGATCGACTCTCTATTGATGCATATAAAGTGTGGTGCGTCGGAATACCGACTATTGCGAAGTTTGGCTATAAGTATCAATTACGGACGTGTCTTAGCGTGCTCATGGATAACGTTTTTAATAAGTTAATAACATGTATAAATAACCATTTAAAACTATTTTGCTGCGAATTCAGCATTAACTGAAAAGATTCTGTGCACACTTAAATATGTATTTTTTTTCAAAAATTCTCTTCCAATTTCTGCAAAGTATTTGAAAATAAGTTCTAAAAGGGTTATTATTTGGTGCCTAGAATACAGAAACCCGTCTCATCTACACCCTACCTTAATAAATGGGCCGTCAGTTTGGTCTTCACATGTGCGGCTCATAAGGCAAAAAAAGTTGTTATGAGTTAAACTATCCGCAATTAAGTAATTTAGACATCAATATTTAATTTTAGTACGGGTATTTTTACGGTACTGCTGTTCTTAGTTGCAAGACAATACTGATAGATTTATTAAGTGTCTTGGGAATACATTTATTTTCTATTAATTACTATATTTTATATTGAGTGAACGAAGGCTGCTGCTCAGCAGTGGGATGAAAAGGGTCAAACCCTTTTCGTTGGACTTTACTGTTTTAGCGGATTACTTTTAATTAAATGAAAAACCTTTTTGTGTATCTTTTTTAAAGAATAAGTACCTAGGTCTATTTCACAAAATTTTGCACTTGGATATTCGTCGTTCTATCGGGCAGTAACATCAGTGTGTTTAGTGCGAGTTTTTTAACGTTCTCGATAGCGTAAAAGTAACTCAAATTTTTATGCAGTTGGAACAGCGGTCCTAGCGGAAAACGTAGGCCATCGTCCCAACTCCATACAAATTTGATTTAACTTTTACGCTATCGAGAACGTTAAAAAACTCGCACTAAGACAGACATCCCGAAAGATCCGTAACATTGATACACCGCGTTACCAAAATCGTTGTTAGCAAATCTTTGAAATGTGTACATAGTGTACATTGTAACAAAGCTACGAATTCCTAATGCAGGTAATGTTTCAACGAACCTTGATATATACCTGTGTTAGGCTTTGTATTTCTTTTCAGTATTATTTGGAGACTGCACATCGCCAGCCACATGGCGACCGAAATGCCGACAAGCCACTTAAACGCTATATACATCACGATTATATAGGTACTTTAAACAAGTAATTTTTAACTAACTCCCAACAAATGTAGACCGTTAATTTATATGAATCCATCAAAATCATAGTTTGTAATATGACAACTTCAAATTGAAGTGTACATTTTTAAACGTAGACAAGCTTACTGATCTTAATTACCTACGCACTTTGAGTTATTAGATTCACTTACAATCTTTCTCGTGTTTTGGATTAGAAACGGACAGCCGCACAGTGGGTCGATACTGTGATTTTAGTGACTTAGGGACCAACTTTGTTTTTTTATAAAAAAATTTATGTAGATAGATAGAGCTCGTTAATCTCAATAATAATTGTTTTGGGCAAAAATTACAAAAACTTTATAGTTTGGTCAGAAAAATGTGCTTTGTGATTTTTTTGTATGGAGCGGGTCACATTAAATTAAATTCCTGCTAAGTACCGCGAGGTCCCGCTTTGAAACTTTATTTTCCTTATACCTTGTCTAGTCTACTATCATTTGATGCTATGAGCATGTGCATAAAGTTGCAACTCTGCCAAATAAATGGATCGAAAAAATTTAATAAATACATAGAATAAAAACCTTTATATTTTTTTTCGTAAGTGCTTTTAAGTTAAATTTGATATGGATTAGTAAGTAAAAGCACGTAATGATACCCATAATTACATAATACCTAACAACAATACATTTAGTAGGTCTCTAATTAAGCANGTACTTAGCAGGAATTTAATTTAATGTGACCCGCTCCATACAAAAAAATCACAAAACACATTTTTCTGACCAAACTATAAAGTTTTTGTAATTTTTGCCCAAAACAATTATTATTGAGATTAACGAGCTCTATCTATCTACATAATTTTTTTTATAAAAAAACAAAGTTGGTCCCTAAGTCACTAAAATCATAGAATCGACCCACTGTGAGCCGGCGTGCTATAGTACATACCTATTTATATGGCTTTATTTTTTATTAGTGAAACTGTCTAGCTCTCCGCTGTGCCAATTAAAAAATTTTAAAAATGTAAAAAATTTAATCAAATTGGCCTTACCCAGGTTTTGTTCCGTGGTAGATAGGTGAGCCGTATGCTTGTCGTCGGAACCACTGAACACCAGGTGGGCTGTGAGCTCGTCCACCCATCTATGCAATCAAAAAAAAACTAAATAAGTTGTTTCTATTTTACATTCACTAGGGCTGCTGCTGCTACTGCTACTGCTTCAATGTTCAACCCTTTTCTTGCTTGTTTAAACATGTCATTATCTTACAAATCATTCTGACTCTCAATTCATTAGAAGTTATAACATTATTCAACTATGTTAGTGCCTGATTACATTGAAGAAATATGACTTGAAGTAGCGTTGTAACTGTGAATGGCTTTCAGGACAGATTTGCTGACCTAGAGAATCCTTATGGGCCAGCCACTTGCCGTGTTGGCGGCAATCGCTAATGCTGGCATCATTTTGCCGATATTTTCTGCTTGAAATACTGTATTGTGAGTTATGGAGTTACTATGAATGTCTTTCATAAATGCAGCTAAATCCTTGCCTTCTGATGTTTTCGATCCATGATGAAGGCACTTTGGCATGTAATAATAAGCATAGATAAATACAACTTAATTAGTAGTAAGGTTCAAGTCTGTCGTCCCCTCCAGATATATCTTCTATTTCATGTCAAAGATGAACTGTTTTATGATTTTGTCACATAGGTACTGCCTCATATGTCAAGATGATTTTTATCCGCTTTCTTGAGTATGGATGTAAGTTATCTGAAGTCCTATAACTAGTAACCTACCTACCGTAGGTGCAAGTTCTTGGCCTGGTGGCGGACACTTTACGCCTCTTGCTGGACGAGAACGTGACATGGTAGCAGGTCTAGTGTAATCTCCAAATCCACAGTTTGCGTGTATCTTAAGTATCTACGAACCGCAATGCATACCAGCGTCTGGAGACGGCATAGCTTATCGTAATTGCAGCTCTGTGTGAGTATTGTCCACTAGACGTCTGCGTTGCGACATTTTTTTTTTTTTTTATTGCTTAGATGGGTGGACGAGCTCACAGCCCACCTGGAGTTAAGTGGTTACTGGAGCCCATAGACATCTACAACGTAAATGCGCCACCCACCTTGAGATATAAGTTCTAAGGTCTCAGTATAGTTACAACGGCTACCCCACCCTTCAAACCGAAACGCATTACTGCTTCACGGCATGTATTAAGTCCAACGGTTTTTAAGATTACAAGCGTCAATGCGATTTTACGATTTACATTAGTGGCTATTCCAACATAGCTTGCTATTAACATAGCAAAATATCTGGCATCTCTTTCATTGACTTAGCACATTACACATTGACACAGAAAGCAGCAAGCCTTTTCATCCAGATCCGTCTTTAGATCCAGATGTTCTAATTGTTCAATAGTTCTTATCATGAATAGATCAATAGTAACTTTACAGGGTAATGACGACTGTACAAATAGCAAAACAGGAATCCGTGATAATAAGTGTCCGCTTCTCGACAGACACAGGGAATATGAACCTATACAGATTCACAATATGCCTTACATAATTTTCGCATTAAAGTATGAAGTAATAAAAACAATTATTATTATTTCATTCACTGATCCTTTATTTTTAACAATTTTCTAAGTCTTACGTGTAAACCTAGTCTTAATAACTTAAAATTCTTCTTGTACCATTCAATGTTGTACGAGATGTGAGCTTTCCAATTTTTATCTAAAAACGCTTTGTAGAATACACTCATTTCGTCAGCTGACAAATTTTGTTGTCCCTCAGGTAAATTCTTCTTCAAATAATCTTCTCTTTCCTGTAGATGTTGCAAAAAGAAAATTATTATTACTATTAGTCTTTGCTAGGTTTTTTCAACTGGTGTAACGGGATTAGTTATGTGCCATGAAGTTATATGTTAGATTACCGGATGGAATATAAATATAAGATAATAGTACTAGCCAGGGAATCTTAAAGCTTTATGAACTCAATATTTCCTTAAAAACTTAATTCTATATACATAAATAACTCAAAGAAACTTGTATATATCTCAATACATTTTTTTAATAATTCTTTGTTTCCTAAGTGCAGTAAGAGATTAATTCTAAAATCTCACCAATAAATATATTTTATACAACTGAGCTGATCTTACTATCTAACCAAAATAACTCAGCAGCACAGCAAACAATTGTTATTATTACACTATTGTTTTGTTTTATAACTAAACATACCAACAGTTCTTGTATACTTTCTATTAGGGTTTGTTTTTTTTGCACTGTTGCTTTCCCAAATAAAAAAATAAAAAAATACCTATTTCTAGCACACCTATTCAAATTGACCAGTAATTTCAAAAGTGATCGATTTTTTTTATTCTATTCGATAATAATTTCTTCTGGAAAACGAGAAAAATAATTAGAAAAAAGAAGAAAGAAAATATAAATATGCTTAATCTCAGAATGGTCTTATAGTGTAGTGACTGTATTAAATGTAAAAAATTTACAAAGGTTTCATAACAAGCAATTTGACCAGTAACAGTAGGTTTAATGACGAAATTTAAACCTTAAGCCCTCATGAGAAATGTAAAACAAAATATTGACTCACATTGGTACCATAAATTAGTCATATTCTTTATTTAGTTCATTAGTCAGAATCTTGGGGGAAATATACTCAAATATTTAAGAAGTCTCATAAATATCAAAATAAAAATTAATAAAAAGAGACTTCCTTCCTCTTAAAAACTGTTTACACAAAGATCTTAGCGTCATAAATATTTTTCATTTATCAATTTTATTTTTGGAAGCACTGAAACACAATCGCAGTTTATATTTATAGAATGTATGTATCATTATTGTACATCATACCAGATTATGTAAACAAACCTGAAAAAATCTTGTATTATGGTGCGTCCAAAACTTTTGGTTAAACTCTTGTACCTCTGTTCTCATCTCTCTATAAGTTTTCTCCATTTTCGTTTCGTTTGTAGGCTGTTTAAAAATTACCCTTCGTAAATTCGATACTGGATCCGGCGGACCGACCATATCACTTGAGATCTTCTTCGGATTTGGAATTTGAACGCATTTAGAATCATTTGTGTTAAGTTGTCTTAAAAGTAAGTAGCTCCATACTTTATGTCTTTTTATATTTTTTACACGAATTGGCACCATCACGATACTATTCATTTATTTTCATATTAATTAAAAACCGCGTATAATATTATACTTTGTTGAAAATTGAAAACAATGCTAATTGTCAGAATCAGCTGTTTGAATTGACATTTTTATTACGTTCTGAAAGAGTAGCAACCACGGTCACCAAATAAAAGCGGTGTCAATAATTCTAAAATAAACTCAAATCTTATGAAAAAGACATAGGTTTCAGAGAATTAATAACTTCAGTCCTATTAATTATCCTAAACTGAAAATCCTGATCAGCTCATCTTTTTAATTTCATACAATTTCAAAACTGTGCCGATTTGGGACCTTATGACATTTGTCAGTAATGTCAGCTGCCAAATATTTTGACATTTCATGATTTTAGGCCTCTCGCAGCCGAATTATGTAAAAGCGATTGTTTTACAAATAATTTCTACTCAAAAAAAATAAATAGATAACTTTACTAAAGTACCTGTTTAGGTTTCCGAATACAGAAAAAAAAACGAAATGTCCCGCAGTCAAAACAACACAACAGATGATTATTCAGCGAAAATAGACATGTGTCTTACTGATGGCATTGTAAAGACAGGTAATAAGTTAATTATTAGCTAGATATGAAAAAAAACTTCGAGGATGTCAAATGAACATATATATGTGTCGTTAACTTACACCTTAATAAGGTCTCAATTTAGCTGGACCTACATCCCGGTAGCACTGCCATAAAAAAAAGTTAGATTTCCTAAAATCGTTAAAATTGGTTATTTTATGTAACATTAAAAGTGTAACTTATTTGTATAATTCGTTTGATAAACAGATTTGTTTCCACTTCATCTGGGTGCTTATTATTAATTGATATTGAATTATATTTTAATATATTAAAGATACGTAAACATATGTGTGTACATCAGCCTCCGGTTCCTATACTGTAGGGAATCTTAATTTGTTGTCCCTGAGTAATTGTTTCATCGAAATTAAATACAAACATAATATGAGACTAAATCTATGGAAATAGTATTAAATCGTCTTCTTAAGTTGAATTTAAAAACTGTTTTTTTCTTTAAAAAAAAAAGAATTACAATAGAAATGAATAGATGATTCTAATTCTAAGTATGAAAAATTGTACAGTTGGAAATGACAAGTTTATTTTGGAGCTGTGCTCTGCAGACATAATCTTGTAGCTGAAATAATGTTAATTTAATCTGTGCATATACAGTTTCAAATAGAAAAGAAGAAGAGGCTCGCACTTCAAAATCTCATTTACCTTAGATATCTTCTTCTTCTTTCTTTCCTATTAGCCTCTGCTGGGGTGTAGGGCTTGAATCACATTCTTCCATTTACATCGGTCTTGGGCAGTCTGTTCTACCCCCTACATCATTCCCAAGACACCCAACTATATATCTAAGATATGGTATATTTTTTTTATTGCTTAGATGGGTGGACGAACTCACAGCCCACCTGGTGTTAAGTGGTTACTGGAGTCCATAAACATCCACAACGCAAATGCGCCACCCATCTTGAGATATAAGTTCTAAGGTCTGAAGTATAGTTACAACGGCTACCCTACCCTTCAAACCAAAACGCATCACTGCTTCACGGCAGAAATGGGCAGGTGGTGGTAACCACCCGCATGGACTCACAAGAGGTCCTACCACCAGTAATTACGCAAATTATAATTTTGTGGGTTTAATTTTTATTACACGATGTTATTCCTTCACAGTGGAAGTCAATCGTGAACATTTGTTGCGTATGTATTTCATTAGAAAAATTGGTACCCGCCTGAGATTCGAACACCGGTGCATCGCTCAACACGAATGTACCAGACGTCTTATCCGTTAGGCCACGACGACTTCAAAATAAATTTTTATCTCAAATACAAAAAATTTAAATTATTAATAAAATTTTCAGGCAGTGGAGTTTTACTGGGTGGTCTTGCCTCAGTTCTCTTTCTAAAAAGAAGGAGATGGCCAATCATAGCCGGTATGGGTGTAGGCATCGGTATCGCTTATGCAAACTGTGAACATGAACTAAATAAGACAAATGCTGCATAGGATTTAATAGGTAATAATATAATATAGTAATACATCATTGTCAACCATCGTTTTATTTTAAAATTATGTTTAAGCTACTAAGCTATGGAATATTTAACAGCCTGAGCTAATAAGTACTACAGTAACAGAATTTCAATAATAAGGTGATCTTCGATCTCATCTCCAAAATTGAGAAGTAATATGGTAATCTACTAAAAACAATTGTTATCTTTAATATAATTTTATTTTAAACTAAATAATTTATTAAAATCAATTTTATCTCAATAGTCGTTCAATATTCCCATAACAGAATATATTTCTTCTATAACTAATTAAACCATCAATGTTTAGATGCAATAATTAAAAATTAAAAATAGATATGCCAAATTTAGTTTTATATACTAATCATTTTTTATGTTGTTTAAAATATACACATATGAGATGAAAAACAATTATTGTAACACAAAGACATCATGAAAGTCATCTGAAGAGAAGGTGGATGTCTTCATTGGATTTAATAGCTATCTCAATTTTTTTACAGAACATATGACTTAATATAGACAGAACGAGGGATCGCCCTAACCCCTCATGATATCTGTTTGAGCTAATGTTATACTTTTCAGTTAATAATAATTACATATTTTTCAGGTAAGAACTACAAAGAAACAGTGAATAAAAGAGGGTATAGTACAACTATCATCAGAGACACCCATTGTCTTGAAAATACAGTCATTTAGTGAATCGTTTTATTTTGTTGTCTTAGTAATTATTAAATTATGTAATAAATACTGTTTATTTCTTCACTGTTGACTTTTTCTCGTATGCCCTGTTTCTGCCACAATGATTTGCTATTGTTTGAACTTTTTATTGGATTTAGTTTTAAATCACATAACAAGTGGCTGCTTTGTATTAAATTTGAATATGGCACTTAATTTAATTGAAAACTTGAAATGCGAACTGCATTAATACAAAAAAGTAAATTTTAATTCATTATCACTATTTGACGTGCCGAATAGACTATATATGAATATAGTCTATTATATTGAGGTATCACTTTTTCAATCGAAGAAAGTATTAAATAATTTAACATTTACATACTAAAATAAGTTGCTATCTTCCCTTTCGGTATTGCGTATACCTACATTCAGTATCAAAATATATGGGCGAAGTCATTTTTCGTAAGGCATTTCTGTAGTTATTGTAATGCTATGCTGTTTCGATTAAAGGAATGTTATATAATCTAAAGTAAATATTAAAATATGAAATAAAACAACATAAAAACAATATTCAATAATTTATTATATAAATTGATATTGGAATTAAGATAAAAGAGGATAGATTTATGTCCTTAATAATAAAATAAAAATTTAATACAACAATAATTTAGTAAGAAACAGACAAAAAGCTATCAACAACCCATATACAGACACCCAATAACGGTGATAATTATAAACTATAAACATGGCAACACTGAAGAAATTGACAAGAAATTTGTTTTTTTTTCTCCAAGACATTCAAGGTCTAGTTTTCATTCCTAACATCCCGGGAACAATAATAACAACATGGTTGTGGTGGTTATATTGAATCAGAATCACCAAATAATGAAAAAAACTGATTTGGCCGTCACTTGAGTAAAACCAAGCTACCGAATATGTCCAAAGACCGTTCGGAGTTCACACGTTGAGAACATCAGTTCAAGAATCAATACGGGTTTCTGAACCAACATACTTTTTTGCTAGACCGTTTTTAAAAACTTTTTTTTTTTGCGAACCATATATAAATTATGACATTCACATTTGTCTTTTATATTAAAAGCATTTTCATAAAAAAATTTAGATAAGTTATATTAAAGCAAAAATGCATTGCTCAAGCCACATTATTTTTTTAAAAGATATAACTTCTAGTCCGTAATGACCATACCAACATAAACATAATCATGAATGGAGATGAAAAATGCTTTTTTTGTTTACTTTGAAATCGGGGTTTGCTGCTAATTATCATAACTAGATTGTTAGGTATCATCAGTTGATTCTTTGGCATTTTTGTTTTAAATGGGCATGTGCAATCTTGTCATGATGAATAACAGTTTTTGCTACCAAGATGTGAGTCTATAAAAAAAAAAACAATCTTCTTTATTAAGCCTCAATTTTTCTGTAATGGATATAATACTAAAAATAAATGCTAAAAACTAATTGAAAAATTTTCATGTATCTTTACTACCCAGCAAAATATCAAACAGTAATGCGATATTTATAAAATATTAAACCCCGATCCAAATGAAATGATATAGTACAAATCATTACACGTCGATTTTGGATAAAAGTACCTAAGCACCGCTCAATAAAGGCGGGCTATTGTCGATTATCAAAGAGTACTAAAAAGAATTACTTTTTATAATGTCATGGATCAATGTCATAGTTTGAAATACAAATTCAAGATTAATTATGTAAATTAAACAATAGTTTTCCGAGTTTACTACATTGACGCATTAAGACGCTTTCTCTAGTCATAAAATGAACAGAACGTACGTAGTATTTTAGATTTTCTAGATCTATTAGACGAAGTTCAACAAAAATATATTTTAGGTAGAGAAGGAATTGAATAATAATTATGAACCAAATAGAATTTCGAAAAGTATTATTTCTGTGGTCCAAAATTAAAAAATTAAAAAAAACCACGAACTAAAATTTAAAATATTTTTTATGAATTTGAATTCGTACTTTACTATCTAGTTTTATTTTATAACATCAGACGAAATGATATAGGAATTTTATCCGCTTCAGTGCTCATCTGGTGCAATACTCGTTTAAACTGACGATTGACAGCGCTTTCATCATACAAATATTGTTTTAGAATACCTACTGCACAATTCGAGTTGCTACGAAAAAAATTTATCAGAATAAAAATTTAAAATAAACCAAACAAAAAAATTGAAAATCTATATTGTGATATTTTTCGAATGAAGATCCTACCTATAGTATAATAAACATGCAAAAGCAGCATTTTTTATTTTAAAATCCGTGTAGCTATCTTTACTTTTGTAAAAAGCGCAAGGTTGCCAGCATTTTTTTTTGCTTAGAATTATTTCATAGCACATCAGAGACTCAATTCGAAATTGAATTGACAACTAAAATAAATTACTAAAATTAATTATTAATTTTACAAGAAGTGTAGTTAATACCACGATAATATTAAATACTATAAATTTTAATACTTATTTCGACATATTTGTCAATTTTGTTTTGTTTAAAATGACACGGATGCGGTTATATCTTCCTCGCACAGAACATAGCCGTATATGTATCGCGCTACGAACTTGCTAGCTCTTCTCAGAGGCACTAGTTATATTTTATACTGGCAACATTTTAGATCGTGTAAAAGTGCTGCTAATTCAAGCCTTTTTTTTAATTTTTTTTTTATCTACAATAACAACGTGCAGGTATATGTATATTATAATATTACTTGTATATTTATTGTACTATAAACCGTGAATTAGTGACTGTCAAACCTAAATGGTTGCCATTTTTTTACATTTGTTTCCATAGTGACCATATTAAAATGGCTAAACATTTTTACTATGTACACAATATCGAGTAAGATGAAGATCAGTATGGATCTTATTTTACTATTGACAAATATCGGTAAAAGAATTAACGGCATAACAAATTGACGGTCTAAGTTTAATACTGAACCGGAACCATAACCTGACTTCCTCGTCCCACATTTCCGCTCATCCCCGCAACCCCCCCTAGTAGGTGAAACCCCCCCCCCCTAGTGCTTTGGGAATTGCCAACTATTTACTGTGGGGCGAGCTCTGTTCAGAGACAAACAAGACACGAGACATGAAGTCGACCATCTCAAAATTCGCCTTCGAAGCTGCCTAAATTTAAAGAACATTACTAAATCAAAATATCCAAAAGAATCCGCACTGACCTTCAAACTGTTTCAGCTAATTTACTAATTAATAATACGATATACTTTGATCTTATTGTGCCGTGTGAAACGGTCACAGGAGACCGAATACGTTCCAACGTAAACACTACCATCTCCCTTGAGATTTAAAGTTCAAAATGCCGATGACAATCAACCGAAAACTTTGCTTCTTCATTCGATATGAAATGCGCGATTCCTTCGCAACAACCAGAGGCCCATAAGGAGGGATTCACAACAGCCTCCATTCAGTAAAAACCTTCAGATTTACTTCATATATTAACGTTATTACAAAACCAACTGCTGAGATACAACCAGTTCTTAATCTAAAAGAAACACTAAATATTTTTGACTAAATATTATTAGAGGTATGAACGTTTTTTTTGTCACGTACAACCCTCGTCAAGCAATGAACTAATGACATAATAACTTCATTGTTCGAATTAATTCAACAAACTCTTACTTTTTAGGAGTTTGTGTTTAAGAGACTTATAACAATCAAATTTGATTCAGATAGCTTCTAGTATTGTGTATAAATAGTATATATATATAAGCGGAGATAATTTTATTAAATAAATAACAAAAATAATACTTAGTTTTAACTAGGAGAATTAAAATAAAAAAATTTTTCGGCGACCCAGGAAATCTTTTTTTTGTAAATCTGTTGTTTCTTGTTGTTATTTAGATATATCTTTGTTATTTATTGCAATAGTAGTCAATGTACTCAATATTTTAATTATATAAATCTATCGAACGATTTCTTTACACAAAAAAACAACAGAAAAAACAACACTATGTATACAACGAACCAACAGCGCCATCTGTTTTTCGAATACATACTGCAAACATATTACCTCAGGAGATAATTTAAAAAACTCCATTAATTAAACATAAAACACAGTAAAAACCCTCAGTCGAAAACCAACAAGCACATACACATGCACAACAATTAAATTTATAATCCATTACGTACTAAAACTCGCAACGATCTAATATAAAAAAATCCCATCTACCTTCATTTCGAGGCTGGTCACCCGACAAGCCCTGATATATCTACATGGCGTTATACCACTTAAGCATGACCTCTACAATTAAATAAAATAGAAACTTGTCTGTAAATAATACGAGATAGGAACCGTCATTTTTTTCATTATAACGGGTAAAACAGCAAGCACAAATAGTCCTTGCTCAGTGTACTTTAAGGCTTAGAATTCAAGGTGCTACTTTTTCAACCAGATTATTCATTACGTCAGTGTAGGGTGACGACAATTTCGTCCTGTTTTGAACCCGATTTTTTTTTTTAAAACGATACGTTAATTAAATGAAAAATATTTTCGAACAAATCATCACATTTTACTCTTGTAATCATTTATTGTAATTTTAATAAAACAAAGAGGAATGGGGTGACGGAAAATCGGGAGTGTTCGATACATTCACTTTGAACAGCATCAGCTGGGTCACCTCCTTTTGTCTTTTTATGTCTTTTATTTATTTGCCTGCACCTAAATCTGTTTGAAAGGCAATAAATATTGTTTTTTTTATTCTTATTAAATATATGTTTGTGTTAATAAAATTTCTTTCAGAAAATTACTTAGGTTTGTTATCATTCAGATTAAAGTACCAGGACCTATAAGCAACTGAGTATGTACAGGGTGTGGTCAAACGCCGCTTCGGTGCGGGTTGTGATTCAATTTCAATGACTCTATATCCGAAATTTACGTGACTTTTCCAATATAGAGACAAATCAGGGCAGCTCGTAAATATGACCATATTCAGGTAGATAGAATCTAGATATATTTTTTAAAATAAACAATTGGCAATAACAGGGCAGTAATGTGAATCACGTGCAAACGACAAATATGTAAAAATCTTAATATGGCTGTTTAGTATGTCCACGTAACACCGCTTACAAAAAGGACACAATTATTTTCGTTCTATTTTTCCCTCCACATTTATCTTTTGCGACAAAAATGTATTCAAACAGTGCATCTTTAAACTTTAAACAATTACACATCACACAAAACACCATGGTGCGAGTGAGATGAAGATAGTCAAAATCTCAATTACAATTCGATAACGGCGGAAACCATTAGTGGAATTTATGATATTCATAAGTTTGAACGTGGGTAAGCCATACTAATAATTAATTACCAGAGTACCAAAGCACTATTAATTTTTTCAAAATTTCTACTATCCAGAGAATATATACTGTGTTGCCATCAAAGAAAATTCGGAGCTTACAATAATTTCTACCAAATTAGCCAATTAAGATAGACTGAAGTGTCAATGTACATATCAATAACAATTTATTCTTTAAAATATCTGTTCTTAGCCATATACTATGTCCACTAAGCAAATGGACCCACAAATATACATTCTAAAGTACAGCTTATTTCCAACGCAACAAAACTCGAATTCCTTTAATGAAATCGTACGCAAACCAAAAGACAACACAGCATCAACCGACAAACGATTTTGAACGTTATATCCATAATAATAGAGCACATTATTGATTAGTTCTATGTTCATTTCGTCATGTCGGGCCAGTAGTTGATGTAGTAACGGTGGGTGCTTCCTTCGAACAGCCGGTCCAACCAGTTCTCCAATCCGTCGAGGAGATTCTCTGCAAGATATGTTTATGTTTATAAATTATAAATACCTTATTTTTTAAATATAGTTTTCCGTTAGAATTTCTTAAAAATATAAATGGATTTATTTAATAAAATAACTAGCTTTGTGACCGCAGCTTTACGTAGTGGGATTAAAGTTAACTTAAATTCTTTCTGTGGCTATTTCCATACCAAATTTCTTCAAAATCGGTTCGATAATCGAGGAGTGGAAATATAATAGACAAAGTTACTTTTGTATTTATAACATTAGTATATATTTGTTGTGTTAGGTAAAATAATTTAATTTTATTCTTACAATAATGTATTATTTTGTGGACCACAAAAAAAAGTTTAGCCCAGTAAAACTATAGTACAAACTGAGTTGCTCTGTAAAGAGAAACAATATTTAAAGCCATTGCTTCACCAGTTCTTGTGTTTCATATGTTTCAATAGTCAAAATGTTTCAATGTTTCTAATGATTCTTCTTCTAAAATTTCAATATTTAAAATACCATTTATGTGTCACCTGTATAACTTATTATAACCTCTTTAAGGATTATGTCATAAATCATATAGAGGTTACAGACATATTAAAATTGTTTATTGAATGTGATTGGAAACTAGTAAACATGTGTGTTTTACAACAGCGGGCGTACGATTTATCTTTCGAAAAATTTTCAGTAGATTGTATATGTTTAAAGGACTTTTTTATTACACTTTTTTTTTTATTGTTTAGATGGGTGGACGATGTCACAGCCCACCTGGTGTTAAGTAGTTACTGGAGCCCATAGACATCCACAACGTAAATGCGCCATCCACCTTGAGATATAACTTCTAAAGTCTCAAGTATAGTTACAACGGCTGCCCCACTCTTCAAACCGAAACGCATTACTGCTTCACGGCAGAAATAGGCAGGGTGGTGGTACCCACCCGTGCGGACTCACAAGAGGTCCTACCACCAGTAATTACGCAAATTATAATTTTGCGGGTTTCATTTTTATTACACGATGTTATTCCTTCACCGTGGAAGTCAATCGTGAACATTTGTTGAGTACGTATTTCATTAGAAAAATTGGTACCCGCCTGAGATTCGAACACCGGAGCATCGCTCAACACGAATACACCGGACGTCTTATCCGTTAGGCCACGACGACTTTAAACACACTCTAAACATACTCCAGGTTTTTTTATTTCTTCTGTAATAAAAACTATAAAATAGCACCAAGAGAGATGTGATAGATTGAAAGAAATCGACAATTACCCTGTAGCAATACCGGAGAGTCCTGCTCATCATCAGAAGAGTCTTGGTCGGAGTGGAAGCCGATGAAGGCGCCGGCTTCTGGGTCGGCCCGTCTGCTTCCCAGGGCGCGGGTCATGCGACTCATGCGCTGTACCAAACAATATTTCGTTAATTCACTTTTTATTTTGTCACCCACCTCTCTGACACAGGGTGTGAGGTCAGTTATAAGTCTCATAATAAATTTTATTGACTTTTTGGAGGGAACGCGAGGAGTGAAGTTGTGTGATTTATTTTATTTTGGTCTATTTAGTGTTTCTTCGGGTTTAAATGTGTAATAGCGGTGGTTTGTTAACCGTTTAATATTTGTGAAAGTGCACAAATGTGAGAAAATAAAACAAGTCCACTGAAAAAATCTCAGTAAATGACCACCATTTTACTAAGATAAGATATTTCATCCCATATCATTTCATCTCATTTCATTTCACTCCATATTATGATTTCATAAATATAAGAATATAAATAAAAATAAGACATGGCTTAAAGGTCTTAGTTACCAGGTCATAAAAACCATAAAAATGTTTTTTATTAAGTAGGGACGCTTTTCCCGAAAGAGGATCGTGAATGTTTTCATCGATCAGTATGTTCCTGCCGGGGCCCAGGCGCGGAGGGGCAGGTGGGGGCAGGCGGGGGGAATTTTACGCGATGGGTCCGGGAGCTCTTTTAAAAAAAGGAAACGGTGACTGGCACTGAGTTTATTTTATTAAAGAAGTAGAACAAATGATGTATGTTTCCGCTATTCAAGCCAACCCTACCTAAGCTGATAGCCTTGAGGGGCTATATCAGTGTCGCCTTAACTAGTAGGTGAGCTCACGGGGCTCGAACCTGACGACGTTGCTAACACGAACCCTAGCAAGAGCCGTGCTTCGCAGAATCTACCACCGGATCGGAAACGCGACCCACTGAGAAGATTCGGCGAGAAACTCAGTGGGCTGTGTCTGAGGGTTAATTTACTCGTCGAGCCCTTCGTCGCAAGCGACGGGTTCGACGAGAACGATGACTTGTGTTTGAGGTACCTAAAAGCACCGTTAGTGGATCGGGAGGATGCGACTTCGACTGCTTTCCATTCTTTCCGCAGGATCGGGAATGCCAAATCTGTTCTGCCGCGCTTTAGTAAAAAAAAAAAAAAGAAATAAATTGTCTTTGTATAGGGACGATGCCTAAGTCGGCATTATTTTTTATATGATGTTATTATTGAGGGGCATGTGTAAGAGGGCGTCACCTTGTGCGGCTTGGAGCCCTCGGGCAGCTTGGCGTGGTAGATGCAGTAGTAGCGGCGGTGCGGGTTGAGCGCCAGCACGGTGCCCACGCAGTTGCGGGCGTTGAGCGCGAGCCCCGCGCCGCCCAGCGCGCCCGCCAGCACGCGCGCGAACCACGACACGTTGCGCTCCACCACCAGGTACGCGAACACCAGCGTCTTGTTCCTGCCGGCCACAACCACACACATTCATATCACATCTATTTGATTTTTCGTTTTTTTTTTAGGAAACAAACAATACAATACAATATAAACATATAATATTTTAAAAAATAGCTAAAACAATAACCAAATATGTTTCCAAAATCACATATAAGTATTCACATAAAGTGAACAGAGAAGTGAAGTCGTCGTGGCCTAAAGGATAAGACGTCCAGTGCATTCGTATATAGCGATGCACCGGTGTTTGAATCCCGCAGGCGGGTACCAATTTTTCTAATGAAATACGTACTCAACAAATGTTCACGATTGACTTTCACGGTGAAGGAATAACATCGTGTAATAAAAACCAAACCCGCAAAATTATAATTTGCGTAATCACTGGTGGTAGGACCTCTTGGGAGTCCGCACGGGTAGGTACCACCACCCCGCCTATTTCCGCCGTGAAGCAGTAATGCGTTTCGGTTTGAAGGGTGGGATAGCCGTTGTAACTATACTGAGACCTTAGAACTTATATCTCGAGGTGGGTGGCGCATTTACGTTGTAAATGTCTATGGGCTCCAGTAACCACTTAACATCAGGTGGGCTGTGAGCTCGTCCATCCATCTAAGCAATAAAAAAAAAAAAAAAAAAAAAAATTTAGAAATTTAATTTAGAAAAAAACAAAAACAGCAAAATACGCACATATTATTTTGTACAACAACTTACACTATAAGACTATAATAATCAGCGGACTAAATCACCTTATAAATATTTTAAAATAGCTTTTTTATATGCTACAAGCGACAAGCAAAAGATGTCAGCATTAGAGAACTTAGCATCATACAAACTACAAGATCTACAGACAAGAAGCATATTTCGTTCGATATGATATATGCAGATATGCAAATTAACTCTATTGAAACCCCCCAATACGGCGCATGTTTGGGGGTAACAAACCGATAAAAGTACAGTTTTTCGATACATCAACGATTTGAAATCAGAACTTGTATATATGCAAGTTTATCTTGAAAATGTCATTAGCGATATTTAGGCATCTGTCAAATATTTTTGTTATGTAAATACTACCACTACCGTCAATTATCAACACCTTAAATCGTCATCTTGCTCTTACTGCGAACAGAGAAAAATGAATCTGCCCAAAACAGAGGGCTATGTCACGGGAACGTTCCCTATCGAAATGGGTTTGAACTTTGAACATAGTCGGAGACAACATCGCACAATTTTCCAAAAATAAAATTGTGTCTGTAAATTGTGTCTTATAGAGTACTGATGAAGGAATTACACCTACTACAAAATTATTTTTAGTTGTGTCCAGTGTAAAAAAAAAGTAAAGTTGGTATTGAATGAAATTTATGGCTAAAAGTTGATGCGGCGGGGCAGTGAAGTTGACACTTTTGGCGGGATCATAAGACCTAAAATGTCGTTGAAAAAATTCAGACTTTTTTCCTACCTATGCTGATAGCCTTGAGAGCCTATTTCACCTTCACCCTAACTTGTAGCTCACGGGGCTCAAACCGGGAGTGTTGCTAACACTGGCCCTAGCAAGAGCCGTGCTTCGCAGCAACTACCACCGGATCGGAAATGCGACCCACTGAGAAGATCCGGCGAGAAACTCAGTGGGCTGTGTCTGTAGGTTAATTTACTCGTAACCGGTGCTTGAGGTACCCAAAAGCACCGTTAATGGATCGGGAGGATCCGTAATGATTCACAGACTGTTATAACACGGTTTTTTTATTATGTACTCCGCATGACATTACAAACATATATAGGAAATGAAACAGGTGTAGGCGACATCTCATTGGTTGCTTACTTGCGGTAAGGCCACACGATCTTGTGGAACTTGGACAACAGCTGCACCCGACTCTGCATGTCCACCAGCAGCACGATGGTGCGGCAGCCGGGCTTCATCAGTCTGGGAACCAACACACGATCTTAATACTCCAAGGCCGAGGGGCTGCTTTGGGCGGACCGTGAGCGCGTCGCCGTTACGACCCGAACATTTTTTTTGTTATTGCTTAGATGGGTGGACGAGCTCACAGCCCGCCTGGTGTTAAGTGGTTACTGGAACCTATAGACATCTACAACGTAAATGCGCCTCCCACCTTGAGATATAAGTTCTAAGGTCTCAGTATAGTTACAACAGCTGCCCCACCCTTCAAACCGAAACGCATTACTGCTTCAGGCAGAAATAGGCAGGGTGGTGGTACCTACCCGTGCGGACTCACAAGAGGTCCTACCAGCAGCGTTGTGTCGCATGGTAGTTAGATTGGTGCGCGCACCTGACCAGCCCGTTGTACTTCTCGGCGCGCAGCTCGTGCAGCCTGAGCTCGGGCTGCGGCTCCGCCCCCGCCCTGCCGCCGCCGCCCCCGCCCCCGCCCTGCTTCCTGCGCTCCTCCTTCTGACGCTGAACCGACTCCTCTTCTATTTTACTGTTGTAAACGATATTTCGTCTTAGCGTTTGCTGAACAATTTGTATTACTTTTTTTCTGATCTATTAGACCCAGTCTGATGGTTCGTGAGTTATTAGACAATTTACGTTAAAAAAAACGTGATGTATAAAGCATTATTACATTAAATGTAGATGTAATCTGATTTAGGAATTAAACAAGATAGTGTGACCGCCACTCTCGGTCTAGCACGCCTGTATTCCAGTGAGAAGGTTGTCATGAATCATTTTGAATCTTTTTACGTAATTAACGTTCTTACGGGATGTCCAGTGGTCGAGTGCACCCACTTTGAGACGTGAGGTCGAAGTCGCAATTTAATATAAGGACGGTGGGTGGGAATCTACAAAACATTGGGACTCGTCCGCGCGTGCCTCTGAGGAGTTCTACCGCTACGTGGTGGCGAGTAGTGGCGAGTAGTGGTGAGTAGTGGTGAGTAGTGGTGAGTAGTGGTGAGTAGTGGCGAGTAGTGGCGAGTAGTGGCGAGTAGTGGCGAGTAGTGGCGAGTAGTGGCGAGTAGTGGCGAGTAGTGGCGAGTAGTGGCGAGTAGTGGCGAGTAGTGGCGAGTAGTGGCGAGTAGTGGCGAGTAGTGGCGAGTAGTGGCGAGTAGTGGCGAGTAGTGGCGAGTAGTGGTAACAGTCACATGAGGTGCGCCATGAGGTAGCCCAGGCCGGCGACCAGCAGCACTGTGGCGAGAGCGGAGAGCGCGGAGAGGGCGTGGCGCGCGCGCACGGTGCGCTGCCACCACTCGCACGCGCGCACGGCCGCCCGCCACCACGCGCTCAGCGCCGCCTCGTCCGCCAGCTCCTGCGCACGACACCCTCAACGCATTACTCAACCAATTCCGATATTAGTTCCGATTGACAGATCATCATCATTCTGCCCTTCTCTCAATTACCTGGGGTCGGCGCAACATGTCATACTCCTCTATCATATACCATTTCTTCGCTCACCCACCTCTTGCACATATAATCTTACACGCACTTCTAGTTAGTTTGAACTGATAATATTTATTTTATGAACGTTTAAGAAGCGAACAGTCCGCAACGTGTGGGATGATACAGTAAAGATTGCTGAAGAGGTCAAAAGTAAAGCCGGTATCTTCCACTGGCATTAGGGTGTCTTGTGAGCCAGCATGAGTAGGTGGTACCCTCTACCTGTTCCTGCTACGAAGCATTAATGCGATTCGATTTGAAGAGCGGGCATATACTGTATTGTAAATTAATAATATCTCAAGGCGGGTGATGGCATTTACGTTGTTATTGTCTGCGGGCTCCAGTAAGCACTTACAACCAGGAGGAACCGTAAGCCCATCTAGTCATATAGGCGATTAAAAAAAAAGAAAAAAAAATCGAGATCAAATACAAAGAGTAGTCAGATAGAAATAGATCAGATGGAAAGAGAGATTTTTACTGGTGGTAGGACCTCTTGTGACGCACGGGTGGGTACCACCGCCCTGCCTATTTCTGCCGTGAAGCAGTAATGCGTTTCGGTTTGAAGGGTGGGGCAGCCGTTGTAACTATATTTGAGACTTTAGAACTTATATCTCAGGGTAGGTGGCGCATTTACATTGTAGATGTCTATGGGCTCCAGTAACCACTTAACACCAGGTGGGCTGTGACATCGTCCACCCCTCTAAGCACTAAAAAAAAAGATCAGATGGAAAGAGAGTTCAGATACGCTTCGGGCCCGAGATGTCAGGTCAGCGCCGGAGACCAGGTCGGGCCCTGGTTACCTGCACGTGCGCTTCGTAGGCGAGCTCCTCGGTGGGCTTGAGCAGGCGCGCGATGGTGTGCAGCAGCGCCGCCTCCGTGCCGTTGTGCGGCAGGCGCGCCGGCCAGCTCTCGTTGAACCACTCGTACTGGATCCGGGACACCTCGCGCCGCCATATTATCACTATGCGATGCTCCACTTCGGATGTGTCTATGCCTATTTACAACCATGTTCTATGTGTTTTATTTATTTATGTTTTGATTGCTAAAATAGATGGACGAGCTGTTCCAAATGGTGTTAAGTGGTCGCCGAAATCTTAAAACACCAACAACGTAAATGCCGCCACCCACCTTGAGATATGAATTCTAAGGTCTTAGTATAGTTACAGCGGCTGCCCCACCCTTCAAACCGAAACGCATTACTGCTTCACGACAGAAATAAGCAGGGTTGTAGTACCTACCCGTCCGGACTCACAAGAAGTCCTAACACCAGTTCAAATTGTTCCCTGATTTAAGCAGCTTCGTATGTAGAACTGACAAAGTCGTCAACTGAGTTGGATACATACTTTTATTTGTAGGTTTGTGACCTTTGTAAAAATGTTCAAAGGGCGTCCTCCATGTTAACAGTAGATTAAGTAATGTAACTGTTTAATTTTTATTGTAAATAAAATTATTCCTTTACATTATAAGCTAGATTAGTTTTCTCTAACTTGTTGTTTTGTCCTATAATAATTGTAAGGAACATTGTGTACAAACATTTGTCTTGTTTAGTCGTACGCAAGGGGCTTATATTACTAACCACATTTTTTACTTGTTATTTATCGTGTATTTTTTAGCTTGTAGTGTGTATTATGTGCTTAATAAAAAAATTAATAAAGAACTGACCGGATCCGTTGGCGAGCGCGCGCACGAAGTCCGGCTGCGCGTGCGTGTACACGTAGGCGAAGTGCGCGCGCGCGGGGGGGGCGGGCGCGCGGCGGGCGAGGCGGCGCAGCGCGGCGCGGGCGGGCTGCGAGCCGGGCCCGCGCGCGCACAGCAGCACGCAGCACAGCCGCCGCCGCGCCGCGCGCCACTCCACCGGGCACGCNTACACAACTGCATTCGTTTTTACACCTTTCTCACAAAAATGTACCTCTGTTAAGCCCCAATAAGAAACTCCCAACCATACCATGAGCGAGGATGGAAAATGACCTCGTTGGACACGCGGAATACGGTTGCTCGCTTCTTCACTACTGTGTGCGTACACCTTATCATTTTGTATGTTGTAGCTCTCTTCTACGGTAAAAATTTTTTTATCCGAAAAAAATATTTCCCGATATTTTTTTCCCGCGTACCGCTTCAACAAAGCGCGGCATCTCTTCAGTCTCAGGTCCATTAGACGAGCATTCAAACGATGTCCTGTTTTTCTTCGATATGCCCGAAGCCCTAAGTGTTCATTTAACACCCTTTTCACCGTGGTTCTGCTTAACCCCATCTGAAGGGCCAACAGTTTCTGCTTACGTTTGGGATTTCTTTGAATTCGCGCCTTCACAGCTTTTATCACTGCTGGAGTCCTAACAGACCGAGGGCGACCACTTCTTGACCTGTCATATACACTAGAGTCTTCATTGTATCGTTTGATGGTACGATAAACGAATCTTTTGGTTATATTCAAATTTTTCAGTATGTTAAAAATTTGAATTGGCGCGTAACCGCAACGATGCAATGCAATAACTGCAACACGGACTTCTTTAAGCGTCCACTCCATATTTAAAAATGAGTAAAATTCTAAAAGTATACATTTTTATTTTCATGAACAATTCGGAATTTGAATTCAATAAACTTTTTCGTGGCCAGCATTCTAAAAGAAAAGTTTTTACTGTGTGACAATACTTATGACCTGACTAGTTATATAATCTGAATCTCGGAAACGGCTCCAACGATTTTCATCAAATTTAGTATACAGGGGATTTCGGGGGCGATAAATCGATCTAGCTACGATTTATTTTCAGAAAATGTTGTTTTATTCGTGTTTTCAATAATCAACTCTTCCCGTTATCTATTGGCGAATAATAATAACTAACCGCTTTAAAGACACAACAAGATGACGTTATCAAAAAAAAAAAACCGAGCAAAGCTGGGTCATCGTCTAGTCCTGTATTAAAACATCATGCTCCCCACTATCGCTTCTAGATGTCATCGTATTTTGGAAGCCATAGCGGATACTAACGTGGCGGGTAACACTTTCATTAGCCACATCACGCCGCCATCGATCTAGCACCCAAACTTCGAAGCGAAACAACAATCAGAGTTGTGGATTGTTTTTAGTTTTACGACCACTAATGCAGTAACGCCATCTAGCGGTCAGCGGATAAATGAAAAAGATGTTACTAGAACTCATATGGAACTATAATAGCGTCCCGGTGAAATCTACTCCGAAGCTCGAAGCAACGCGCTTATGGGCTTTTGTTTGTATTTACAAAAGTTTGGCTGTGAGTTCATTCATTTCTATACACCATAAAAAAATCTTATCGTTTTTTTTTATTGCTTAGATGGGTGGACGAGCTCACAGCCCACCTGGTGTTAAGTGGTAACTGAAGCCCATAGACATCCACAACGTAAATGCGCCACCCAACTAGAGATATAAGTTCTAAGGTCTCAAGTATAGTTACAACGGCTGCCCTACCCTTCAAACCGAAAGCATTACTGCTTCACGGTAGAAATAAGCGGGGTGGTGGTACCCACCCGCGCGGACTCACACGAGGTCCTACCACCAGTAATAAGATTATTGTGTTTACAGATGATGGTAGACAAAATTTTAACAAAAAAAACATTGATATGAAGAAAAAAACAGCTGGTACCTGCGACGAGAGCCTGGGCAGCGTCAGCAGCTGTTCAGCATCGATGAGCTGGTGGAGTGTCTCGGTGGGTATCTCGGCGGTGCTGACGGTGGCGGCGGGCGCGTCGCTGTCCTCCTTCACCAGCACCATGGTGTCCACGTCGCGCTGCACCTTGAAGCGGCCCGACACGTTCCTCGTGTCTTGAGACTTCATGTCCACGAAACTGTCAATAACAACAACAATACTACTTTAAACTTTAAGGGAAACAATTAGTGGTGGTAGGACCTCTTGTGAGTCCGCGCGGGTGGGTACCACCACCCTGCCTATTTCTGCCGTGAAGCAGTAATGCGTTTCGGTTTGAAGGGTGGGGCAGACGTTGTAACTATACTTGAGACCTTAGAACTTATATCTCAAGGTGAGTGGTGCATTTACGTTGTGGATGTCTATGAGCTCCAGTAACCACTTAACGCCAGGTGGGCTGCGAGCTCGTCCACCCATCTAAGCAATAAAAAAAAAACTGGTCGACCACTAGTTTAACTAATGGATCTTGGTTTTGTTGATGACCAAAATCCAGTTTATCCATCAGCGATATCCTAGTGGCGTGCTAGAGATGGAGACTACGCACCCGAAGGCCACGCGGTCGCGGTAGTGGAAGGCCGTGACGAGGTAGCGCAGCCGCATCGTGTGCCGCTCCTCGAAGATCAGAGCCTTCACTTTGTTGTCCTCGAAGTCCGAGATGAACGAGTCCACGTTCGCATCCGTCACACTTAACACCATCTTGTACGGGAAACGCCAACGGATGAACTCTGTGGGTTATAGAATAATTGTTGAATATGGCGGTCGACTGAACGTGGTTACTGAGTTTCAAACTGAGTTTTCATGGGCCACCAGACGGGCTCGGCTTGATCGCATAGCAGCGGACTGATAGCCTGAGTAATAAAAGCACTGACTTCTTCTGAACAGTTTTATTTAGTCTGAATTAGTACAATTTACATTGAAGTGTACTGAAGACGCGTCCGTTCGCATGAGAGGCGCTTGAGCAGAGAGAGTACAGAGTAGTGAATGACAAAAAACTGAACATTAACATAGATTATTACGGCTTCGTACTGAATTTATACAGATAAACAACTTCGTTTTTAAAGAGTAATAATTACATGTGAATTTGCGTGAACAATAATGTTACGCCGGTACGAGTAACGACACCTGTCGTCGAATAACGAATATCAAAAGAACTAGTAAAATTGAGAACGCCATCTATTATCAAATAGTGGAAACACACATCAAAACTACTCGACCTGTCGACTTTTTGGCGGGAACGCGAGTAGTGAAGTTGTGTGATTTTGTTTTTTCTTATTAGTGTTTCTTCAGGTTTAAATATACATATATATTTTTTAATCTATCATTAATCATAGCGCAATCATTAACTTAAGATTGAAGCATGCACAGGATTACACAATTTGTGATGTCCACGCACTTTTGCAGCCGACTGTACCAAAAAGTTTGTCAGCCCTAATAACTCACCCGTCAACCCTAATAATTCACCCGTCAACCATAATAACTCACCCGTCAACCCTAATAGCTCACCCGTCAACCCTAATAACTCACCCGTCAACCCTAATAACTCACCCAATATCTTTTGCGTTGAAGACAGGCTCTCTTTGTAGACGTAGACGTGTTTGTCGAGCACGAGCGTGAGACAGGGCACGCCGTGGATGCCCACGCGGCGCGCCAGGCCGGCCTCGTGGCCCGCGTGCACCGTCGCCATGGTGACGCCCAGCGGCTGCATGGCCTCCACCAGCCGGCGCCACGCCGCCGCGCCGCGCACGCACTCGAAGCACCAGTCCGTGTAGAACAGGACTATGGCCGGAGTGTGAACGCTCTTCTCCAGTATATTGTTCTCGAAGTGTCTGCAAATATAATGGCCAAAAACTACATTTTGCGGGCAGTAGAATGACATGTCATCAAGCCTGCCCCCTCCGATACTACAATCACAACCACTCTGACAAAAGATTACCTACCATCTTTCGACGGTCGACGTCGCCCTAAGCACGTCATTTCGAATCCTACCAATCTATCGTTGCTTTTAGGTACCTCAAGCACTTGATTAACAAAATACTGGTATGATTCTGATTAACTAAATATTATGTAAATACAATAATTAATATCTTAACAAATCGGCAGATCCTCGATTGTCAGAAAATGCTTAAGCCTTTACTAAATTATGTTATGTTTTTTATCTTTTTCTCAAAAAGAAATGAATGCGCTTACTGCAGGACCTGTCTACACCACATTTTCTAGACTGGTAAATAATTCCTTAACTATTAAGTTCGCCACTGTACTCTAATGCAATAAGTTAATTAAATAAACAAACACTTAATTTTATTATTTTCCCTTTTACGGTTTTTTTTATTACTGTTAAATATTAACAGACTTACCTAGCAGTGACGGAAAGTTTGTGGAAGAGCGTTATGTCTTGATCTTGGGTCCGGAAATGGGTGCCAAAGAACTCTTCGAACGGATCATTGCTGTAAATAAACATTGGTACGTCAGATTAAATTAATATGAGTTCACGACGAACCTGGATTTAAGTTTTCATAGACCCTATACACATCTCAACGTGGATGGAGCCCTATCCACATACAAACACGAATTCGGAGCCTCCTTGTATTGTTAAACGGCTATCCAACCCTTAGAACTTAATTATTTTTTTCAATTTTATCATTAAATATTATGAGCTTTGGCTGAACAAGGAGGCATTTTTTACTATATTTCAATGGCATTGTTCAGTCTATACTACAAAAAAAACATAAGCATCACACTTGTGATATTGACTATGATTGTGATATTGATTTCTCAATTTATAAAATACAGAAATAGTTTCATGAATGCAAAATTAATAAGTATATTATATTGTATTTGAATGTAGACTGATTATTTAACTGACTATGATAGCAGAGCTATATTAGCTTATACAACATAACATATAACTAAGATAACATCGGTTTTTCATAATATCTCATCTGATACGGTGTTTACATTAGTGTTCGAAATAAACATCTGGAACTAGTCATTCCGAAAGTTGTTTCTTTACCAAACTATCTAAATGTGTTTATGTAAATTGAATGAAGTATTTCGGACTATTTTGTTCTAATTGTGTTACTGCTTGTTTTTATAGCACTACATAATATGTAAATGAGTTCAAGGCCTGCCTAGTGTTGACTGGTTAGTGGAGACCACAGAAAATGCACCTTGAGATATTAGTTCGAAATCTGAAAGTTACTATACGCTGTGGATGTCCCACCCTTCAAAATAATTGGTACAATATTTCTCTGCTGACTGTATAGTATTTATACTCATTCATTCATTCATTCAATTACTATTATGATTTGTTCACTGACCAACAAGTGTTAGTACCTCCTTTCTGCTTTCTATGCAAAACTTTACATGTTTCCTAAGAGAGCGTAGGTGTAGGTTTAGTTGTAGGTATATTGTTAAGAGTACTTATTTTCATTTTCATAAAACATTACTGAACTTGACATGTAACTAAAAGTGCATACCTAGGTTGGGTATCAGATAATTATAATAAAATATGCTTCTTTAAATTTTGTCTTTATAATTATCTGAATATTTTTTGTTTGTCAGAATTGTTAGCAAATACCAGTAATGCCATCTGTCATCAATTATCAAAAACGGATATTGGAACAACTTTAAAGTGCTATCGAGAATTCTCTGGAAAATCACTGACATCATTGACACGACTGCAAAAGTGTGACATTGGCGACATCTAGTTCGTTTCTATTCAAATCGAAGCAATGAACGGATTTCAAGTCGTCGTGGCCTAGAGGATAAGACGTCCGGTGCATTCGTATCTAGCAATGCACCGGTGTTCGAATCCCGCAGGCGGGTACCAATTTTTGTAATGAAATACGTCCTTAACAAATGTTCACGATAGACTTCCACAGTGAAGGAATAACATCGTGTAATAAAAATCAAACCCGCAAATTTATAATTTGTATAATTACTGGAGGTAGGATCTCTTGTGAGTCCGCACGGGTAGGTACCACCACCCCGCCTATTTCTGCCGTGAAGCAGTAATGCGTTTCGGTGTGAAGGGTGGGGTAGCCGTTGTAACTATACTGAGACCTTAAAGCTTATATCTCAAGGTGGGTGGCATTTACGTTGTAGATGTCTATGGGCTCCAGTAACCACTTAACACCAGGTGGGCTGTTGAGCTCGCACATCCAAGCAACAAAAAAAAAAAAAACAACACCTGAAGCGAAACGAAACAGTGAATTGCGATAGTGAAGTCTATCTTAAGTGCCGTGATAATTAAATTGAGTTTTAATTGCTATTTCACTGAAGCTTTTTTATTTACGGCGAGCCCAACATCGTAACATAACTCGCTAATCGTATAAGCTGTAAGAGAGAATTCAAAGCACTACGTTTCCCTCCTCTCGACGACCCGTCGGTCGGGCGTCCTAGGGGTGGCGCTGCGAGTCTGCTTGTAATATTACTCTGAACGGATAACCCCCTTACTCTGAACGGGTTCTGACTCCGGGCGGAGATCGTGTTAAAGTGTAGGAGACTCGTTTAGTGCAGTAAGGCCCTCAGACGTCCTTGCTCTCAACATCTGCAGATCGTCAAGTCCCACATACGCAGCGCGCGCCCTCGCGCGCGGGGACCTCATAGGAGGGTTGGCCCCCGTTCAGAAAAAAAAAGGCTCGACGTTTCCCTAGTTTGAAGCACATTACAAAATTCAACATTAAATCGAAAATTCACTACACTTTTGACTAATAGCAGAACTAACCTGAACCTTGCATACTGACTATAGTCATGTCTCGGTTTGTACATGTGGTCGTCTTCGTTTGTGATACCATACAAATCGTAGGCCTGCCTCCGTTCTGTATCCGAAAGCAGCTCGTAGGCTTGCTTGATCTCCACAAAACGGTCTTCAGCATTTGGATTTTCATTCTTGTCTGGGTGCCTAAAAAGCATTTAATATATATACCTGCTTTTTAACGGTAATACAAACAACCTTTCAGCGTATATTGAAAATTACTGATCTTGAGAAGATAAGGAAATATAACCCAATGTAGTGAAAAAATATAAACTACTCAATCGTCATACTTCATGGAACACGACAAAAATTACTCTTGCTAGGGAAAGAAGAGTAACATAAATTAATATTTAAGTGACAAGAAATTTTTCTTCATTTGTATATTTTAAAATCTATTAGAAAGGAGTTCCTCGAAGAGCTGAAGGTCCGGTTGGTGACCTGCTGACTATGTGCCAGGAAAGGATCCGGAGTTTCTTTGGGCACATAATGCGATCCTCATTGCACAGCCTGGAGAAACTCATAATTCTTGAACAAATGGAGGGGAAACGTGCTAGAGGAAGAGCTAGGAGGTGACTGGAGGCCAGAGATAGGGAGTGGTACATATGGTGCAGAACCGGACTGAGTGGAGAAGATTGACATACAGTCACAATCCTCAGCATTGCGGGAACGACCAGAAAGAAAGAAGAAAGGAGTGACGTGGATCAGTGATGGATTTAAGCTTGATGCCGTCCTAGGCCCTGTTTATCGTGCTGCCCTCAATGTTAAAATAAATTATATTAATTTTGATCAAATAAATAAAACAAAAAGAAAGTACATCATGCAATAAAGCATAATATAATAAAAAATATTATAAATTATTAAAAAACTAATATCTTATTCACAGGTAGAAAAATAAATAAAAAAATTAAATTATTATATATTCCATAGATTTTTTTTATAAATTAATCTACTCATTTTCAAAGACAACTGACTGTCTTTACTTTTTATCGTTTCTGATATCTTTTGGCATATCAAAAATTTTCCAGACCTTCAAATCTGGCAGGGCTAGGCGTAAATCCATCACTGACGTGAATAGAATCATGAATATATTTCCATATACAAGATATTTCTAATAATGTAAACTTGTGTGGTGCTTTGATTTTAATCAAAATAATTCAAATGGCTCTATGAAAAACATAACGACATAATCAGAAAGCAGTAACAGATTAGTATTTAGACAAGTAATATTTTGATGTGAATAGGGAAAAGTTTTTAAGAGTATTCGGCGGATTCAAAAGACTTAAGAACTTTTTGAATTATCTGAAATATCTGATTATCTCAGGTTTATAAAGCATCTATAAAATTAAATAAGCTAAATATAAACAATTTTTTATTAATTATTAATGATAAAGCAATTTTATATTGCATAAACCTCTTACTCTTACTCATACAAAACAAAGGAAGAGGTTCCTTATTTGTGTAAGAATTTTAAGATAGCTATTATATGCTGATAGATATTATATGCATATAAATGCTGATGCTGAATAAAAATATATTTAATAACCATTTATATTTGTTTATTTATTGAAGTGGCATTTCAAGAAATATAATATAAATTATTAGTATTATGTAGTAATTGTTTTTCTTAATTTGTTAAGTAAATTAATTCAATTAACTGTCAACAATATCACTTTTAGTATGAAAGGCAATTAGGAGCAGCTCAATAATTACAATGAAACATTTTTATACTCATTTGTCGTGTACCTTGACATACTATTGTTTTTATAATTAAACTGGTACTAGTGACACAAAACTCACCATTCCTTTGCTAATTGCCGATATGCCTTTCGTATCTCAGGCAAGCTTGCTTTTCGATGTATACCGAGAATTTTATATGGGTCACCGATCTTCTGTGCGACCGTCAGGGTACACAGAATAACCACCAGCAACGCCCACAGCCAACGACCCTTCCAACCCTTCAAGTTCCATTTCATATTCCTAAAAATTAAATCTTCAGCACCCCGTTGAACGAAACAGTTCGAAATTCAAACATTTATCATATGGAGATCGTGTTTTCGACTTCGACACACATGACTGTGTTAATAGAAAACTAACAGAGGATATAAATTAAGCTGTTATCAGTCATTTGTCTTAAAATAGATCTGCTGAAAATTAGTGAAAACCGAAAATTCTCATGAAAATCTTTGCAAAACGTCAACCACCTAAGTCATTTTTGAGGCCAAAATACCATAGACAGTGACTATTGTTTTTCTGCGCAAATTATCAAAGTCTCCTACAGTAAAGCTTATTACATTAAATACATATATTACAGTAAAATTAATATAAATAAAAAAAAAGAAGTTATGGGGAAACAAAAATTTAATTGCATTAATTTCTTAAAAAAATTATAGAATAGATAATATAATAAATAAATTATCTCGTATCGATGAGTTTTAAATCTTGTTGCAATATTGTCGGAACTAGCAAGTAAAACGTGTAAGTTTCAAAAATATTCTTTTTCAAGTAAATAAATAGGGAAATAGAAGATTTGAAATTTGTGAGATTAAAAACTTGTGAAAAGGAATGCAGACTGCTGCAGCAGGAGTAACTTTGCCATTGGCCATAAGAAACTATAAAGATTAAGGTCCGCTGACTTTTAAGTCGTTGTGACCTAAATAATAAGACATCTCGTGCATTTGTATCGAGCCATGAGCCTATCTCGATGTTCTAATCTCGCAGGCAGGTAACATTTTTCTAATTTAATATGTATCAACTTTTAAGTTGGTTCTGGTCTAGTGGGGTGTCCCAGCAACGACCAATGCCACGAAGGTTACTGGTGGTAGGACCTCTTGTGAGTCCGCGCGGGTGGGTACCACCACCCTGCCATTTCTGCCGTGAAGCAGTAATGCGTTTCGGTTTGAAGGGTGGGGCAGCCGTTGTAACAATACTGAGACCTTAGAACTTGTATCTCAAGGTGGGTGGCGCATTTACGTTGTGAATGTCTATGGGCTCCAGTAACCACTTAACACCAGGTGGGCTGTGAGCTCGTCCACTCATCTAAGCAATAAATAAAAAAAGTGGGTCTACGATCAAAGTGGCCGCCGCAGAATCGTTGTTCGGTTCAGTAATTCGGGTAAGCGGCAAGAGTCCAGAGGTGCTATTTATTGGGTGGCTATGATAGTTTCATAAAAACCTCGCGCTTCTTGGGCTTGGCGAGCTTAGAAAGAACATTTGTCTGCAACCCCAAAATTGGATTGATTTCATTTTTTTACCAATCTTTAATTTGATTCAGGCAGAGGCTTGATCAGTGATTCAATCATAAAATAAAGTAAAATTCAAAAACGTCATTGTCATTTAATCTGCCAGTTTGCCGGTAGGAATGTACTTTTTAGAGTTAGGCAAAATCGTTCACTAAGTCTCGTTCCGCAAAATAAATTCATTTTATAAAATTGATCCATAGTTTATTTGGTTTTATAGTCATAATTTTCCATTTTTCCTTTCATTTTTCTGTATTCAGTAAAATCGTACTTTATGAAGTTACAATTCCAATATTTGAACTTTTCCCGGATAGCAGCTTCAAGCAGTCTTCAAGCTTAGGTCTGTAAATTGTTTATAAAATTATTAAAGTTGTGTTTTTACTTTGAATAAAATCCGTACATATCCAAAATGCAATTACTTTATTTTTTCAAAATCAATTTATTAATTGTTACTGCCTCTTGATCTTTTTACAAATTAAATGTTAAGAATCAGTTTTTTACAGGTCAAATTACATATTATACATTACAAGCAGTACAGAGATTCAATCAACAATTAAGGAATTGTGAAATTTCCGTATGTACATTGTTCATATTCCGAGCGTGTAGCTGCTGCAGAACAAAAGCACACGCAAGAACGAGTTTATTTAACTCACTCAAAGAAGCAGTTCTTTAGGACAAATCGTTCATGAACTACACAAGTCAATGAATAAGCTGTGATTTAGGTTGAGTTTTTAGTTTTTAGAAACATTTTCAATTGTGAATTAAGCAAGTCGCGACGTATAGAATACATGAAGTGGAAATTATATTTAAAATAATAATAATAGTAGTAATATCTACCTAGTCGTAGTGAATGTAATTTAAGACACCAATAAATAAAACATAAGTAAGTAAAACTTTCAAGGTTATTTGTATTTTAAAGGTTAACTTAATAGCTTGTGACTTAAAAATAATGTTCCAACGTAACATGAGACCTGGTGGACGACGGTTTTGGAATTGTGACGTTTACAAAATACGGTAACCGCATAACACCGAGTAAGCCGGGAACTCAATTCCCCATTTAAATAAAAATTAAAATAAATAGAACCGCCTAGCTTTCCATCAAAACTACTTAATTACACATTAGATACATAGTTCTTCGTAAAATTTAATTTGTTCTTTATTTACAACTAGCGACCCGCCCTCGCGTCATTCGGAAACTGTAGTTTAATATTGATTTCTCCATTATTTAATGGATGTTATTATACATATAAACCTTCCTCTTCAATCACTCTATCTATTAAAAAAAACCGCATCAAAATCCGTTGCGTAGTTTTTAAGATTTAAGCATACATAGGGATATAGGGACAGAGAAAGCGACTTTGTTTTATACTATGTCGTGATTGTAATCAAGCGTGGTCAATTTAAAAAAAAGATAGTTCTTTTTTTAAATAAATTAATTTTTACATAGCATTCGAAAAACTCAAGAACATCATTTATTTGCCAAGACTATATTTATTGTTTTTTAATTTATAAATAAAATGCTGGTTACAATTCCCTTATGTACTGGATGTGGATTTGCTTCTAAAATTCAATTGAATTAATACGATTAAGATATTTGGTGCATTTGACCTCTTTGAATAACTCTTTTAGTAACATTTTATTGTATTAAAATCAAGCTTACAGATTTCAGTTTGAAATTAGATATTGGGATACATAAAAAAAAAACAGTTTAATTTAACAAAAGTATGCAATTAAACAATGACTACATTACAAAAATAGAAATTACAAAAAGCACTTAAAGCAGAAAGCTCAGCAGTTTTACGTAGATTCTCTTATGTTAATTTTTCTGTATGATATTGAATTTACAGTGTAATGGGGTTAAAAATCTTCCAACTCTTCAATGCAATCATGTGAAGCCTTACTCAATCAAGTGATTTAGTTGCAATATATTTTTGGATACAAATATCATCATTACCAAAGACAGTGTATAAAATCACCAAATATTGGACCAAACTATAGTTCTTGGGGAACAAGGAACTAAATATTTGTGCAATTCCAACTTGAAGATGTAAATGAAAATTATATTTTCCGGAAACATTGTAGGATAACTCAATAAATATTCATCTTTTAATAGAAAAGTGCAAATACTTTTTTGGCCCCAGCTATCAAAATTCATATCATATATTATTATAGCCTTCATTGATGCTAAAAATTGAATCGTCCAATCTGATGTTACAAATTTGCAACTAAAAATGTGTGATTCTTATTATAATTATTATACAATATTCACTTAAAATCTTATTAATTATACTATATATTTTTTATAAAAAGATTAAAAATACAAATTTTTAAAAACACTATATTAACAATTGATTGCTGCTGATGGTGGTGTCTACAACAAGCTAGTAGCAGTTAGAACACCAGAGCAATAAAATCTCCTCACAATTATTGTCATTATTAACATATACATACATCTGAATACATTTTATCACAACATCATGATTTTAATTTAGAACTGCCCACCTTTGAAACTGGCTTTGGTGTCCCCTGTGCCAGGTAAGCATTAAACCATATTTTCATAACCTGTTTAGCATTTGTCCTAATGAATTTTCAAGTACAAATGAGATATATATAAATAGATATATTCTCATTTTACACCTAAAAAAAGTTGCAATTTAAATCGTTGAATAAAATTCGTGACTTCAATTAAGATACCGGTTTTATTGATAATTATCAACTCTTGAGTTGAGCTGAGTTTGATTTTGCATATTTTGGTGGGCACAATATTACAAGAACTATCCAGCTTTTACGGTGATAAATACCCTGCAATTTAAAGAGCATCATTACAAGTTAATGGCTCTGCATGATACTCTTAGTAGGTTTATAAGACAAAAAAATCAAGCAACTAGCTTAAAACGGAGTTCTTGCTCTGGTGCTGTGCCACGACGCGACGCGTCGCGTATTCGCCGGAAACAACGAATTTTATGAGTTCATCTCTCAACCTAACAATTTTCACTTCGCTTAGGTGACTTTTTTTTCTTTAAAAAAATAACAAGAAACAGTTTTAATCAGAAGATCCACTCCCCGACAAAGTACAAATTTGGCAAAGCATTTAGAGACCCCACGGGTTAGTATCATCGTTCCCCCTATTTCTACCGCGTGGCAGTCATGGGTTCCGGTATAAAAGGTGGGGTGAAACAGCAAGCCACATTTGTGACTTAGTTTTGTGGTTCATGTGTCTATGAGCTCACGTAAGCGCTTAGCATGGGATTGGCCGTAAACAGTTTTTCAATCTTAGGCGATAAAAAATAATCCAGAAACCAGTCGAAGATGTATGGTTTCATTCAAACTCCTTACTAATTTGGCTGCGTTCTTGTTTTCCTCTTTGATATTACTCATTTGCAAGGTCAAGTATTGCGTACCTATATGATTAAAAAACCATTCAAGCGAAACATTTATTTTAAACTACATAATTTTTTCCTGGCGATCCATCAATGTAGTGACGTCACTGGCCGGTGGGTGTGCGCCGGATCCGCGTCACTCTCAATCAACAAGAGCGTCCGTGATTGAAATCAAGGAAGTTTAAAGCACAACCCTTTAATTGTAAATAATGATATGGAACTGATTGGAGTTTAAAATCGGACCGCTATATTGTTTTGCGCGGCGGTTTTATCTCTGCAGTTTTAAAATAATGAAACAGGTTACATTTTTTTCGGGTAACAATCGTTTTTTTTTTCTACCTAAGCTCGTAACCTAGGGTTTATGCCAGCGTAACCGGACGAATAGGTGAGCTCACGAGGCTCTAACCTGAAGACGTTGCTAACACTAGTCCTAGCAAGAGCAGTGCTTCGCAGAATCTATCACCGGATCGGAAACGCGACCCACTAAGAAGATCCAGCGAGAAACTTAGTGGGCTGTTTCTAATAACACGCCAATGATCGGGTTACAAACTATATTATGTTTGCCAAAAGGGATCCGTTGCTGTGTGAAAGAAACTTAAACCGTCAACCTCTTGGGATTTTACGTTATTTTTTATGTTATAAATTAGTATATTTAGAAATATCAGCGGTAGGCAGCGGCTTGGCTGTGCCTCTCGCATTAATGACGTCCATGGGCGACGGAATGCAGTCACAATCAGGTGTTACGCTAGTCTGCGTACAAGGACCTTAAAAAAGAGACTGTTTGCTTGTTTATTACTCATTAATAGTATATTATATAAAATGTTTTGAAGATATTTAATGTTTATCTACTACTACTAGGTTTATCATTTTAAACCCTATCTGATATAATAATACCTACACAGCATACATTCAATTATAATGCATATTTTTTCTAATGTAATTTTTTTTTCATCGTTAATGACTAGAACCCTTAGATAGTTTTTTGTTTATTGCCTTTTTAGGCATACGAGCATACGGCCCACCTGATGGCGAATGGTTACCGTCGCCGTACTTCAGCAATGCCAGGGGCAGAGCCAAGCCGCTGCCTACCGTATAGTTGTTTGTGTATTGTCTATAGGTTCCGTTGACCACTTGATACCAGATGTACCGTGAGCACATTCATCCATTAAACCAGCTGTCACACTTTTCTGGTCAAGGGCCACATAGGACAATGTGAGGTATCACTGCGGGCCACACATTTTTAGACTGTTTAATTGACCACCAGTCAATTGACATATTTAATATCAAGTGTCAAAAGGTGATTGTCCCATAGATAAATCGATTATAATTATTATTTATGCAACGTGGGTAGCTTATTAATTAGGAATAGGCGTGAAAACATTTTTTTTTTTTTTGGTCAGGAGGAAATCGCCGGACTCCCACCCTCCACTGGGTATGGATGGTGGGGCATGTCGGAGTCTAACCGACTAAAACCTCTTGTCGCTCAACAACCAACGTCCAAACCTCGCATGAGACAGAACTCATGAAGAGGCAAAGGGAGGAAAGTGAAGCGTTTAGTGCGGAGCACATCTCTCTCATCACCCTCCCCCTCGGGACGCCGGGCCAGCGTTCGTCGGCGCCACGACCACCAGCCCTCTCGGTCGGCAGGCTGTCCGAAGCCCGCCTAGATGGCGCCGGTTTGAATAGGTTATCCTACGAAATACCCCTCTGGGTCAGAACCAGCGTGGGTCGAGGATAGCCGGCCTTCCATCACCCGGATGCTCTTGCGTAAAACGCGTGCAGAGCAGCTTGCACGTCGTCTTCTTAGCCCCCCTTCACCGGGCCCCAGACCAACATATGAGAGGGACCCGAAACACTTAGAGGGCCAGGCCTTGGGCGAGATCCGCCTCCCTGGCCCCCGCTCGACGGCGGCGGGATTGTGCGTCTCTCACGCGCCCCGCCGCCTCCTTCTGCGAGATAGTGCACTCGCAGAAGTCGAGCATCGCCTTCCACGACTCGTCGTCGCCGAGTATCGATGCCACAACACTCGGCAACGACAAGTCGTTTCCTATTTTTGCGACGAGGACACGGCGCCACCCCTCTCGTGCGGGGCAGGCAACGAGCGTGTGCTCCGCCATGTCCAAGTCGCAACCACAATGGTAACACTCTGCCGTCGGCTCGGCTCCGATCCGGTGCAGGAACTCACCGAAGCAACCATGCCCAGTGAGCACCTGCGTGAGCCGGAAAGTGAGGCGTCCTCTGTCACGATTCACCCAATCCACAAGAATCGGGCGAATCGCCTCGACGGTCCTACGACCAGCCGAAGGATCGGCCAGCCGCCTGGACCATGACTCCAGCACGGACCGCCGAGATTGGGCCCTCCGCGCTCTGACCACACTGGGGCTGGGACGCGCCACGCCCCGGGCACGAAGGTTAGCCCGCCACTGATAGTCAGCGGCGAGCGCCTCCGCCTCCAGGACCCAAGGCGGCGTCCCAGCCAGTACACACGCCGCCTCAAAAGAGATGGTGCGATAACCACAGATGACCCTGACCGCGATGGTGCGTTGCGGGTGAAAACATACCTGTAATGAAAAAGATGGTAAATAATAGTATTTTTTATTTCTACTAAAATTGTTTGCTCTACCGCGGGCCGTAGAAATATCGTCCACGGCATTAAACCATTATAAAAGTCTCAGTTTCAGGGCAGCGCGCCCATTTGTGTCACTAAAAAGTCACAACGCCAAATACATCAGAGCTGTAAAAAATTTGTGAACTATTTCAAAGATCGATTTGCGTAACAACTAATAGTTTCGCAAACAATGTTCTAATTTAAACACACGCACTCATACAAGTCTAGTGTCGTTAGATAATTGTGTTTCGTAATGCGACCTCCAAACTAACAACACGTGTCTTTCATTTTGGATAGACTTTGTGAATGTTTTTTTTTCTTAGTATATGCCCTCATTGGCAGCGGCTTCCGGAGTCCACACTACAGCGTCCCGTTTACCTTGAGAACATTACTTTCAATCTCCTTGGTACATTGGCATTAGGTTCCTTTTTGAATACCGGAACACGTAATCGCTTGCAACATGCCCTAACAAAGTTGTTGATGCATCAGTACAAAGATCACAGCTACACGATAAACTAATAAATTTTAGCAAAACGGTATTTTGATAGATAAATTGTATACCTAACTAAATGATAACAATTCGACATGACAAGATAAACACGATAAATTGGTACTTTTCAGGCGATTTGATCTTGCTTATTTGTGACGCAACAAAATGATACGTTGCGAATTGTGGGTTATTCCAATTCCGTCAAAACTTAGGTCTTATTTTGTGGCGATATTTACGTGGTAGCTATTGTGTAAACGAGATATCTGTCGTCGACTACGTATATACGACGGATGGTGTATCTGTCAGCGGTGAGCTTGCGACCGACAAGTTTCAATCTCACCTACATATATTCTTTTGTTCGAGCAGCCCGTACCATACGAGGGATGAAAGGCTATTTGGTTTAAGCAACATTTTTGCAACTTTTGCACCGGTCATCGTTCTTGTCGAACCCATCGCTTGCGACGAAGGGCTCGACGAGTAAATTAACCCTCAGACACAGCCCACTGAGTTTCTCGCCGGATCTTCTCAGTGGGTCGCGTTTTCGATCCGGTGGTAGATTCCGCGAAGCACGGCTCTTGCTAGGGTTCGTGATAGCAACGTCATCAGGTTTGAGCCCCGTCAGCTCACTTATTAGTTAAGGTGACGCTGATATAGCCTCTCAAGGCTATCTATCAGCTTAGGTAGTAAAAAAAGCAACTTTACAAGGAGAGAGCGCCATTTAAAGTTTAAAATTTGGACAAAATACCATAACAAAAAAGTTTTTCAGCTATTTATTTTAATGGAATAAACTTAAATGAAGTTGAATTAAAAAACATTGAACTGTTGATTCTAATACCAAATAAAACGTACCTTTAATTACCAAGGTAAATTCCGCGTATGAAGCTTTCCTAAAAGACCAAAAGAGAAAAGAAAAATACCTTACGATTATAAATTTATAGCTTATAGAAAAGTGGAAGTGGTACATTCTAAACTGTGACTATCGCTGAATGTGTGAAAACAACAACTACAAAGAATCTGCCGTCATATCTATAGCTCGGTTACAATATCTCTGGACCTCGCTGGAATGTGAAGCCCCTCCCCGTTTCCCTTTCGCCAGGTCCAGAGATAATGTAATTGGGTTGTAGTAACCTTTATAGCTACCACTATTGCTCCAGACCAAATCATATAACGCGAATTCACGATTGCTTACGATTATAAATTTATAGCACATAGAAAAGTGAAAGGGTCATTCAAACTTCCTTTGGGTTCTATTAACCCCAAAATACAAGAGGCTAATGTAAACAGACCATGCCAAACTGACTATCGCTGAATGTGTGAAAACAACAACTACAAACAATCTGCCGTCATATCTATAATAGCTCGGTTACAATATCTCTGGACCTCGCTGAAATGTGAAGCCCCTCCTCTTTCCCCTTTCGTCAGGTCCAGAGATAATGTAACCGGGTTGTAATAACCATTCTTTTACAGAGATCCTCCAAGATGGACGCCTTAGCGGATATTCTTCAACCGTACAAAGAGATAGTGGGCTCGATAGCGGCCTTCGTAACCATTGGGCAGATGTTCTCCGGCAGTTTCATATGCTGGGACATATACAAGCAGGGCAGCACTCGCGGGATCGGCATCATGCCGTTCCTCGGAGGTGTTGTTATGTAAGCTTGATTTTGTTGATTCCCGCTTCACTGCCTGTAGTGTAGTATTTTTTTTTATTGCCCTTGTAGGCAGACGAGCATACGGCCCACCTGATGGTGAGTGGTTACCGTCGCCCATGGACTTCAGGAATACCAGGGGCAGAGCCAAGCCGCTGCCCACAAAAGTAGTGTAGATAAAGATATACAGCAAATTTAAAGTTGTGATACAATATAAAGTCTTCATCGTGGCAATGGTCCGTGAACACGTGCCGCCGGAGGATTTTTTTTATTGCTTTGTTGGTTGGACGACCTCACGGCCCACCTGATGTTAAGTGGTTACCGGAGCTCATACATATGAATCCTTAGGTATGAGTTTTTACAGTACAATAGCTGCCCCACCCTTCAAACCGAAACGCATTACTCCTTCACGGCATAAATAGGAAAAGTGGTGGTACCTACCCATGCGGACTCACAAGATGTCCTACCATCAGTAATTACGCAAATTATAAATTTGCGGGTTTGATTTTTATTACACGATGTTATTCCTTCATCGTGGAAGTCAATCGTGAACAATTGCTAAGTACGTATTTCATTAAGAAAATTGGTACCCGCCTGCGGGATTCGAATACCGTTGCATCGCTAGATACGAATGCAGCAAACGCTGTCCAGACGTCTTATCCTTTAGGCCACGACGACTTCAAGGATTTGAACAATGGCCATGCTCTCGAATCTCGTCCCCATATCAGGCCCTTTTTTAATCGACTCAATTCGACTTAAGTTTTATGCGTACTTTTTAATCGAAAACCGGTACTCTTCATCTGTTCCCATTTCAATTTTATGAAGGTCTGACCCGTAGTATTTAATAATGTGTTAAATACTACGGGTTAAATAATGTAATACTCTTTAATGATATTTCATTTTATTGAAGTTGATTTGCTTCTTTGTCAAATATGTACAGTTGGATGAAACTAGTATTTAAATATGCATTGCTGCTACAATCCTATTAACACTACCAAACCTTCAGCTTCATAAGATTTGTGTGATAAATGACTCGTGCTCGTAAAGTAGTTCCAATGAATTGTGGTTAATATTTTGTGTGTCGTATTAATGGGTAATTATCATAATTACCCGAATTCAGATAAACTTTAGGTGAAAGTTTAAATAAACAGCTATAAAATTATCATTAATATATGTATTATACGTAATATCATTAAACCCGGAAGAATTCAGAGCCCCATGTTTTCGTTCTTCACAAAAACGTCAATATTATTTTTCATTTCGCCTTAAAAATCATTAACGCGATATAATTTTTTGCCGGATTCCTTAAATTTTTAGACAGCTACAAAGGTGTTTGCGAGATGCCACTAATATTTCGTCATCCATTAGAGTTGACGACAATAACGCGATAGACTTATAGGCAAGGCCTGGCACGAAACTGTTGTAACTGTTTTGTTTTTTTATATGAAGTGTTCACGAATGACTTCCTTGGATCGATGTAAGCGCGATACCGTTGCCAAAACGAATACCCCGCAATTTCCGAAACCGCGTAAATGACTTGTGTGTTTAGTTGCCAAGGCTCGATACCTCTCGTGCTTGTTAATAATCGAACGATTCACAAGGTAAAAAAACCTTTATTCATCTTCAGTTAAGTGATATTCTCATGGACATGCTTTTTCTAAAACCCTCTACTTCGCTTCAAGTGCCATTAGTAGTCAATTTGTAACTAGAAGCCATTTTGTAAAATCACACAATTATTTATTCGTTTGATAACACTTATCTCGTTGCCATGTTTTGTTTCGTAACATGAAATTTGTGTTATGAATTCATCGTGTCTTTATTAATGACTGAATTTAGGTTTTTTTTTCGCTGCATCTCTTGAAAAATGTAATCTGATATTACGTCTACCCTACTATGTGACAGAGCGATGGTACTAAACCCAGCGGACACAGAATCCCATTTGTCACTAAATTACCTCATTCAAAAACATAAATATTTTTACAATAGGACCATCCTGAACTTGCAATATGGTTACATACTCCGTGACGACACCATGATTCAAGTCAACATGTTCGGTCTGGCCTTAAATATCATCTACGTGATGATATACTTCAATTACTCCCAGCAGAAGGTCAAGGTTTGGGCTCAGATCGGTCTGGCCGGAGCAGTGTCAGCTGCTCTTATAGGATACGCCCAGACCGAAGATCCTAAGCTTGTGGAGACCAGATTCGGGACAATAATAACGGCATTCATGTTCTACTTGATAGCTTCACCGCTTTTTGGACTGGTGAGTTTTGCTTTTTTTTTTCACAAAAACAAAAATAATAACAGTCTTAAATATATCTATCTGCCTTGGTTACAACGGCTGCCCCATCCTTCAAACCGAAACGCATTACTGCTTCACGGCAGAAATAGGCGGGGTGGTGGTACCTACCCGTGCGGACTCAGAAGAGGTCCTACCACCAGTAAAGACAGAAAACTGACTGTCTTAAACTTTAACACGTTTGATAGTCCAAATAAATAAATAACTATTATGTCCTTGTTCAAACGAGGCTTATGGAGAGTACTTAACGGTAGGCATCGTCTTGACTCTGCCCCTGGCATTGCTGCAGTCCACGGGCGACGGTAGCCACTCACCATTAGGTGGGCCGTATACCCGCCTGCCTACAACAAGGGCAATAAAAAAATATTATTTTACTCTTCCATTGGACATGCCGGTACCACCATTGCGCTGCCTATTTCTGGCCCAAAAACAATAAGGCTTTCCAATTCGTAATTTAGATTTGGTATTCTGATCCATTGATCTACGTTGATAAATTGTGTGACTTTGTTGGCCCGATGATCACCATTATAAATGTTTGTTTTACAGAAAGAGATCATTCAGAATAAGAGCACAGAAGGCATGCCGTTCCCTATAATACTGTCCGGAACTGTGGTCACGTTCATGTGGCTACTGTATGGTATTATATTGAGGAATAAATTCTTAGTGGTAAGTGTTTGTGTGGTTAACCACTGCTTTGGTATTTTAAGTGATTTTAGAAAAAGTGATTTTATTGTAAAAATGCTTGGGGTGCATGGTATCAGTAGTCATAAATATTTTATGAACAGATAAGAGTAGAAAGGTTATTTTGATAATATCCTGAAAAGCACCCCACGCTTTTTTACAATAAAATCACTTTTTCTTACACTATTTTTAATTCAAATTTATTAAAATTTATTTTCTATTTTTTAATTCGAATTTCTATAAAAGCGTATTTTGGTAGTTTTTTTAAACTATTATTTATTTTTCATTTTTTAGTTGAATTTCAATTTTTTTATTTTTTTTATTAATATTGAATTGTCATCGGTCCTTAATATGTATACCAAATTTCGAGTTAATCCGACGTTTTGGAGGGGGTCAAAATCATGTTAAAATATTCCGTTACATACATACGTCTGAAGCTAATAAAAGCGTATTAAAAAGTGCACATGCAAAAATAAACTTTACGACAATTACTCAAAACTCTGTTTCAAACTTGATAAAAATCTGCTCAACTCTCCTAGCCGGTCTGTGTGAACGGACCCTTAGTCAACGGACCAAAGAAAAGCTGAATTTAATTTAAAATTTCAGGTACAAAACGTGGTGGCCTTAGTGCTGTGCGCATCGCAACTGTCACTCTTCGTTATATACCCATCCAAGCCAAAAGGCAAAGATAAATCGAAAGTAAAAGCCAAGAAGACCGAGTAAATAGACCGTCCTTCAAATCGATTTAGGAACGTAGGGGGTAAGGGGTTGGCAAGATAACTTAAAGGTGCATCAATCGCTCTGTTCTGCTCGGAGTTATCGTACATTTGATGCGTGCGAGCAGGACGGACATATACAAATATTATATCCATTGCCGATTCGTTGTGTTAGTTATTATTGCCATCAACAATATTTATTGCTGATTGGTCGATGCACCAAAATCTTGATAAACGTCAAAATTAAATTATAGGGCTCCTACGCACTAGCGGATAACCGCAAGGGCGGCAAATCGCGCGCCCAACCGCTTTTCCAGTTTAATATGCACCCAATATTATTATTTAAGATACTATATAGATAAAGGATTTGATGTCGATAATTTTATTGTTATCGGATGACTGTCGATGTTGGCTCGATTAAATGCACAGTCATAATATGTATGACACATAATATGATGACGCGTTTGTTATGTATTATGACAAACGAAATCCACATTTTTGTTACTAACGAAAATGTTTCTAAAGTTCCGCATTTATCATGTACATTTTTTTATTTTTTTACTTCGATAGTTATAGACAAGCGAATGAATTAAAATCGATTTTTAAAACGTCTCCTAGAGAATTACATTTTTATTTGATGAAATAGAGCTTATTGGAACAATAGTTACAATTAGTAATTTTCTATTTTTTTCATTCAAAATCTATATTTATTCTTACGAGATAATTATTTGGTACTAAAATACGACAAACACTTCAGGAATACTCGTATATTCCATAAAGAAACCGTTTAATTAATTTAAAATTAAGAGTTTTGACGTTTAGGAGAATATCCATTATATTCAGCTTTCAATAGAAATTTGGTAGCATCGATAAAGGTGTACACATATTTATGTGTATGAAATAATACCCTCGTTAGGCTGTGTGTTCCTATACTAATGTTTGTGTGATATATGTATATATTTTTTTAAATAATTATTACAAATATAAATCAATGGTTGTGAACCGTGAACCGTGATAAATTTTGTTAAATCGAATCCCAATAAATATATTGTTTATATACATCTGTGGTATTTATTTTGACAATAGTTATAAAGTTGCTTACCCAATGGAAGACATGAGTGGATGAAGGGATTAAGTACCATTTTTAAGATTTTTGAGTTTTTACATTGAATGAAGGTATTGTGTACCTATAAACCATATTACACCTTAAACCCCCGGATTTAAAGGCTATTTTTAGAAATTGCATCTGATTAAGGAATTATGTGTGAAGAAAAAGTACAAATAACAAAAGTTGCCCGTTTTATCAAAATTAACAAATTGTATCATAACCACCTCTCAACCACTCATGCCTTCATTATGGTTCATCAGTCTTCCAGCATGGTTCGGAAGTTGTATGTAGTAGTTTGTTTGCCCCAAGCATTGAGCATGGCCTAACAGCTTTCTTGGTGCACTGTGGTCTCAAACCGTGTACGCCGTTGGATTCGAGGTCAACGAGTCAAGTCGCGTTCTTTATAAGGCAGTCTCCATGTCGCGGTAATCAATAAACTCCTGGTTTTTCTTTAATACTCTCGGAAATTACCAAAGTGTGTCGGAACACAATTTCATAACTTATGACGTCATTCGAGGCGAAACTGTAGGAAGAGCTGACAATCAAACATACACTACCACAACGATTAGCCACGTATGGAGAGTACGTGTTATGACCGGTGGTAGCACAAATATTAGATCTTACTTTGTTATTTATGAATACTTCAAGTAAATCGTAATGGGACATTTTGTTTTGTTTTGTTCTACCTAAGCTGAGAACCTTGAGAGGCTATTTCAGCGTTAACTAATAGGTGAGCTCACGGGGCTCGAACCTGACGACGTTGCTGACACGAACCCTAGCAAGAGCCGTGCTTCGCAGAATCTACCACCGGATCGGAAACGCATCCCACTGAGAAGATCCGGCGAGAAACTCAGTGGGCTGTGTCTGAGGGCTAATTTACTCGTCGAGCCCTTCGTCGCAAGCGACGGATTCGACGAGAACGATGACCGGTGCTTGAGGTACCTAAAAGAACTGTTAGTGGATCGGGAGGATCTGAAATGACGTGTTTGGGGCGACGTCGACTGCTTACTATTCTGTCCGCAGGATCGGGAATGTAGTTACCGGCGGCCACGATGAGAGGATTCTCATGTCGTGCCGCTTTATCGAACTGGGGATATTTTGATTTAACCAAGATTCCTTGTAATTGTTTTTAAATTGTGTTCGTATCCAGCTACATACAAGCATACTTCACACTTCCTGAGTAATTGCGAAAAGATTACGTAAAATTTGGCGTAATTTAATTTACGTATTAGCCGGCCGCGAGGAAATCGTGCTATCTCCTTCGCACGCGCGCACCTTATGTTTTAACACTCATCATACCAACACTGGTAACTATTTCTGCCATAGTGGGTAATTAACGGTATAAGACAATCAAAATAAACAAAAAACAAACAAAAAAGTATAATAACTGTAGATTAATTCGTAAGAAAAAGTCATGAAGTCAAATGTGCAGAAGGTATAGGTAAGATGATACGTGCATTTTCAATGCAAAAGTTCAAAATGGGTCATTTCACCCGTTATGGTATATTTAATGTTAAACGTGCAACAATTACCAGCGTCCTCCAAACCTTTGTGATCTAGTCATGTCTAAATAGTTCAGATTAAATAAGATAATTGTTGCACATTTAATTCCTTCTTGAAGTTACTTTCCAACCAAAACGCATACGTTAAATTATGTCTTCGAAAACTGAAGAAAATCTTAATGTGTATCCTAATCCTTCTATCCGTGTGTATATTAAGGAACACCTCCTAAACAGCTGGACCGATTATTATGAAAATTTTTGTGTACTTTGTTCCAGTGAGTTCGAGAGTGACTTTAGATTCACAATGAAATGTTGCAATAACTTTGATTTTTTTTTAAAATTAATTGAAACAGTCCAGTTCATTATAACTCATTCAAAAAAGTTGCTAATTCTCCGATTTAAGACTTGTGTACAGGACTTCTGTCGGGTCGCTAGTACCTACTCTTTAAAATATTCTCTTTGCAAAACAGAAAACTCTTGAAATATGTCAATTTTATGACAATGTTTTTTTATTTTTGTACACGTTTAGTTATTTTTTTAAGAATTACCGATTTTAATATAATATAATTTATAACAATGTCTTTAACTCGTTTTTCGTGTGTTATAAGAGCCACGCAAAAGTTACAAGTTTATCAGTGGGCAGTAAGTAAGATTTTTAAGTTGTAATCTTCATTTAACCGAAACAAGTGATTCACCATTTAGCTGCCGATCTAGTGAGCATTTGAGATTTTACTGCAGAAGACTACATCGATATAATATTGATAGTTTTCACTAACACCGTGGAGCACTATGTTTGCTTATCGTAGTTGGAAAGTACCAACTAGGTACCGAAACAGTTAATTTTTTCGGGTACAAATACAATCAATCAATTAGCCTTAACCTAAGATTCAATGTATCATGGGTAGGAGAGACGAAAATACTTTTAAATGTACATTTATGTTAAACACCCACTATTAGTGCGCCAAAAATGTCTTGAATAACCAGCTTACTGCTAAAAAGCCGCTACATCGCACGATGTAGACTCCCAACTGTTTGGATTAGTATATGCATATGCACAACCCTAATCCAATCAACCCTTGAGGGACAAGACAACTAAGAGTCAACCATACTATAAGGAACTAAAATTGTCAAATACGTGATCATTCACAGTGGTCGTGCAAACACAAAGCCGATTACTCATCGCGTGCGGAATCGTTTTTAACTGGTTCGAATGTTAATTATCTAGAAGCTCAGTACCTGGATTGGGCCAAAACTAAAGGATCGATTGATTCGGTAAGTGAATATAGAGACAGAACAAATAAATCGATCATAATCGGTTTTTGCGAGACTCGTACATTGCCTGTAGTGTCTTGGTCATATCTAGCTACGAACCCAGTCCGTCAGTAGCTGGAATAGCCCCTTAGGATACCAGCGATTGGGTAGAAAAAAAACTACGGAATGTTCACAACTATTACACCAACAGAAAAAAATCAAAGCTTATTTTTTTTTAATCTGTACCATGATGGTTGCGCGAACTCATTATGGGTAGACATAGAATATTAATTTAAATGTGAAAAACAAAATTAGGCGAAATATATTTATGCAAATATTTTTAATTACCAGGGGAATCCAGTAAAATTGCAGTTTTTACTGTTTTGTTTTATTGATGACTTAATTAATAATAAATGTTAGAGATACATAGCCAGATAACTACCTAAACCGGAGCCTTACCCATAATACCTTCGTCCTTTCATCTTTATTAATTCAGTCACAGTGTTTTGACTTGGAATAAATAATTTACGATTCCACTCAATGATTTCGCAGTCTTGGGACAATTTCTACGACAGCCTATCTGGGCCAGCGTTGCAAATAGAAGACATTCAAGATGAATTTAGTCCAACGACTGTCAGTAAGTCGTCATGTTTATGAACCAGCCAGTGTTCATTTGCTCTTTATTTTGAGATATCTTTATACTCTCTATTAGCTAATCGAAATTGAAATAAATCTGTACACTTTTTGTTTATGACCACGGGTAGACCTTACTCACACAATCGCATGACTTGCCCACTTTATTGTGTGCTAGTCCGCTACTGTGCGTTATAGAGAAGTAGTGGAAGTAGTAATAGAAGGACAAGGGGTGCAAAAAAGCCAAATTTTCCAGGGCCAAAGCCATTTCCAAGGCGAAAAAAAAACCCAATTAATAGCACTTTTAAACATGCGAACTTCGATTGTGCTAAAGAATCATGTGTGGCATCATGAGAACTGTGTCATATAGTGCTTTTATACTTTAATTAAATTAAAAAACTGTTTGTACTTTTTAAATCTGATATCTATAATTTATTTATTCGACTGTTTTTGATAAGAACACGCCCTCTAGGGTCCTTTAGACAAAATAATTAAAAGTAACAAAAGATTTCCTCTTTCAATCCTCCTCAACGACTAGTCGTTGCCTATTACTACCTTGTCACCTACCCATAGCGAATACATTGCAGAGCCAAAATCGAAACAAGATACCTCTAAAGACAAAGAAGCAATTACTGAGAAAATCAAATTACACTTAGCTGTACAGAATCTCATAAGAAGTTATCAGGTGAGAAAACAAGTTAGAAAATTTTTTTTTGCAAAAAAGTGTCACGACAGAAAGAAATACATAATGTTATCATTACCTTCCTGCGATGAAATTTTTCGAAGAACAAGATACCCGTGATTCCAATTAGGACTTCAGACCTCATTGTCTCAAGATGCATGGGCTCCAGTAACTTACGAACTGGAACGACGCTATAAGGACATCGCAAGACTGGTGTTTGTGAAAGACTGTGAAAGAGAAAACCCTATATTCACCTATAAATGACATTTTTCAGTTGATAACATTGATAAAATAGGCCATTTGCCGACTGAGATATGAAGTCGAAGCGTGCGCGCCTTTACAACCTATTACGTATTTATAAGATAGCCTGGTTTGTTTTTATTACACGTTGTCATACCATCACCGTAGACTGAAAATGCCGGTGCATCATTCTTTGATAACTCATTCATCATTCAGGCGGTTCGATCGTGGAATGCTCTGCCGGATGCAGTGAGAAGTGTTCTAACTTTAAACTGCTTTAAAAGAATGTTGGAGGAACATTACAGATCCGCCTAGTGTTATTTGCTTGTTTATGCTTTGTCCATACTGTTGATTTATGTGTATGTAAGCCTCTATTGGAGCCTCTGGGTCTGCGGAGGGACTTCGGTTCTATCTATCGGTCTCGGTCTATCTATTTTGTACCGCATGTTCCATGGGGAGTGCTCTGAGGAATTGTTCGAGATGATACCGGCATCTCGTTTTTACCATCGCACCGCCCGCCACCGGAGTAGAGTTCATCCATACTAGCTGGAGCCACTGCAGTCATCCACAGTGCGTTTCCAAAGGTCTTTTTTGCCACGTACCATCCGGCTATGGAATGAGCTCCCCTCCACGGTGTTTCCCGAGCGCTATGGCATGTCCTTCTTCAAACGAGGTTTGTGGAGAGTATTAAGCAGTAGGCAGCGGCTTGGCTCTGCCCCTGGCATTGCTGAAGTCCATGGGTGACGGTAACCATCAGGTGGGCCGTATGCTCGTCTGCCTACAAGGGCAATAAACAAAAAAAAGTATATTGGAATTTAAATCATGAAGTGATTTCATATTATATTTGACATTATATTTAATTTATCTATTTATTGTATGTATGAATTTTCTATAATAGTACACTGCATCCAGAATTTCAGGTAATTAAACGGTTGCCTGGAAAAAATCGCGCCTATTGTTCGAACGTATCTGCTTATTGACTACTTTCTAACGTAAATTGTGTTTTGGTGTGCAAAAAAGTATGTTCTCTGTCTCTCTTTCTCTCTCCCTTTCACCGTAAAAGCTCTTCGTAAACACATGCTAATCTTGACAAATTGGTACCCATCACAGCATTCAAACATCAGCGTAGGCGCAGCGCTCGATGTTAGTTGGTACTAGCGATTTACCCATGTATTCGAAAAGGTTAATAATAAATAATAATAAACATTTATCCCAAACATAAATTAGGTACAAAAAAAATAAAAAAGATAACAAAAATAACGAGGCTTGGAAACGGTTACCGGCTCAGCAATGCCTAACAGTAACGAAACAATCGGTACTACGACGCTGATCTTCCGCCGGCACCCGCGGAGTGACGTGCACACCAGCATCAGACCGACCAATCATTATGCACTTGAGTTTTTAAAATTGGAACGCATTATAATTTTTAAGGAGTCTAAATTTAAACAAACACATGTACACAACAATGTAAAATACATAAAAGAAAAAAAAAAAGAATAAAAAAAAAAATGTTACGAAAAGGACCACATAATGACATTATTACATTAATTAAATAAAAATTGCAGTTGCGATGCACAATAATAATTATAGTACGGAATAATTATATTTTATATTTTCGAATTTTACTTGTATATTCAAAAGATGTACTTTTCAAATTTAAAAGTATATCTTTTGAATATACAAGCAAAATTTTTTAAAGGATCTTAGCGTTAATATTTTATTAAACCATTCTCAGGCCAGAGGTCACCTCCTCGCCAAGACTGATCCTTTGGGCCTATCTCTAGCCGCTAGTTATATCATGAAGTCCAAGAACGCCACATTGGAAACCAAAGGACTTGAGTGTCGCATTGTATCTCGAGAAATCGGTAGAATATTGTGTTAGTATTAAATAATTTTATAATATAAAATTAACAATATATAAGGCACTGCCTATTTCGAAGTAAAAACACCTCCAGTAGACTTTGAATAGGAAAGCAGACTGAAGATTTGACACGTACACACAGAACCTTGCTTTTTTTTGGTCAGGAGGAAATTGCCGGACTCCCACCCTCCACTAGGGATGGTGGGCGGGGCATGTCGGAGTCGAACCGACTAAAACCTTCTGTCGCTCAACAACCCACGTCAGAGCCGGGGGAGAGGGGAGCTCTTAGTGCGGAGCACATCTCTCCCATCACCCTCCCCCTCGAGACGCCGGATCGGCGGTCGTCGCCGCCACGACCACCAGTCCTCTCGGTCGGCAGGCTATCCGAAGCCCGCCTAGATGGTGCCGATTACAGCAGAACCTTGCTTGAACTAATTTATATTTTTCACAGCTCTTTTAAGTTTTTTCTCGTCTGCCGCTGCATAGATACACTTAAGTCCGCTGTGAAGTTCAGCTATTCCCGTATAGCATAGCAGACTTCTCATTCTGATACTTATTCTATTCTAATACAACATCTTAATTATTATTGACGCAAACTCTTTCTATAAATACTGCGTTTACACCTCTTGTTTTTATAGACCTGTTATTATAGGAATTACTTCTTGTTTTACTGGCGGTAGGACCTCTTGTAAGTCCGTATGGGTAGGTACCACCACTCTGCCTATTTCTGCCGTGAAGCAGTAATGCGTTTCAGTTTGAAGGGCGGGGCAGCCGTTGTGACTATACTTGAGACCTTAAAACTTATATCTCGGGGCGGGTGGCACATTTACGTTGTAGATGTACCCACTTAACACCAGGTGGGCTGTGAGCTCGTCCACCCATCTAAGCAATAAAAAATAAAACGTTTTACAGGCGAGAAACACATGGATATGGTATTCAAGTTGCCCGACAGAACATGCATAGGCGGCACTGAAACCGAACTATCTCTAAGGTAGCTACGAGCTTACTTAACTTGTGTAGACCTTTGATGATGTATGGCGCTGTTGTTTTTATATTCGCTTTTGTTTTTGAAGTGAAACTTCTTTAGGCGCGTTGAAAGTAAAATTTAACTCGCGACACATTCGTTACGGCTAGAGAGAAAAGATTTCGTTACGGCTAGAGAGAAAAGATACAATTTAGGGCGAGCGAGAGTGAGAAAATCGATAGAGCGTCTCGCGAAACACTCGACCGTGGAGAGAGGGAGAGGACAAAGCGAGCTAAGTTGTTGCTCTTACACAGCATTCCCTATTACAAGAGAAATTTGGTTTAAACATGAAAAATGAAGAAAACTATAATACTACACACCAAGTTGGACGCACACCATTTTCTTTTTTTAATAAACATTTAAACTTACAATAAAGCGAACATACAAATATTGCTTTGATGAGTGGACGAGTTCACAGCCCACCTGGTGTTAAGTGGTTACTGGAGCCCATAGACATCTACAACGAAAATGCGCCACCCACCTTGAAATATAAGTTCTAAGGTACAGTTACAACGGCTGCCCCACCCTTCAAACCGAAACGCATTACTGCTTCACGGCAGAAATAGGCGGAGTGGTGGTACCTACCCGTGCGGGCTCACAAGAGGTTCTACCAACAGTAATTACGCAAATTATAATCTTGCGGGTTTGATTTTTATTACACGATGTTATTCCTTCACCGTGCAAGTCAATCGTGAACATTTGTTCAGTACGTATTTCATTAGAAAAATTGGTACCCGCCTGTGGGATTCGAACACCGTTGCATCGCTCGATACGAATGCACCGGACGTCTTATCCTTTAGGCCACGACGACGACGAATTAGCGGGTGTTTGATATTTAATAATTCGCTTGGAACCTCTGGGTCTACGGAGGGACTTCGGTTCTCTCTGTGTTTTATACCGTATGGTCTATGGAGAATGCTCTGAGGAATTATTCGAAATGATCCCCTCATCTCCTTTTTACCATCGCACCTCCCACCATCGGAGCAGGGTTCATCCATATTATCTGGAACCGCTGCGTTCATCGACAGTGCGTTTCCATAGATCTTTTTTTGCTACGTACCATCCGGCTTTGGAATGAACTCCCCTCCACGGTGTTTTCTGAGCACTATGACATGTCCTTCTTCAAACGAGGCTTGCGGAGAGTACTTTATGGTAGGCAGCGGCTTGGCTCTGCCCCTGGCATTGCTGACGTCCATGAGCGACGGTGGCCACTTACCATCAGATAGGCCGTATGCTCGTCTGCCTACAAAGGCAATAAAATAATAATAATAGTAATGGTATATTGTTCTGATACCCAGAGAAATAATACATCGTCTGGAGAACGTATACTGTCGGTCGATCGGCACCGAGTACTTGCATCTCTTTGACATTGACTGCATCAATTTCATCAGAGAACGAATGGAGACGCCCGGAGCTCTAGACAAATCGGTCGAAGAGAAACGTCTCATTATGCGGAGACTTACAAAGGCTGTGTTGTAAGATTATTAGATTTTAAACCATATTTTATGAGCTGTGATTAATTTGGCGTTAACCTAATTATATTACAAAGCCCACGGGAAGATATGACTAGAAGAATACTTCCACCTAGCTTGATTTAAGATCAAATTCTCAGATACATTATAATAAATAGCACAATGCCTCAAGAATTCCTTTGAAAATTTTTAAGCTGCCTTAATATTCAAACCTTCAATTTGCTTATTACCATCGAAGCCAACATACCATCTGTCTCATAGGTGTAGTAACCATCGCTCATGAAGATCAGAAATTCACGCGATAAAATATAGTTGAGCCGCGCATTTCGAAGAAGTTTGTGATCAAAAATCTAATAAAATTCTAGTTTAGAAAAATATTTTGCCACAAAATGGCCTGCGGAAAAACGGTTCGGACTGGAAGGCGGTGAGAGTATGGTCGTGATGCTGGAGGAGATCGTAGACACGAGCACTAAGCTTGGCGTTGAGTCAATTGTCATGGCCATGCAGCACAGAGGTAAAAAACAGCAAATAATCATAGGTACACTGAAAAATTGTTAAAAAAATTAGGTAAATAGTTTATTTACTGGTGGTAGGACTTCTTGTGAGTCCGCACGTGTAGGTTTTTTTTTATTGCTTAGATGGGTGGACGAGCTCACAGCCCACCTGGTGTTAAGTTGTTACTGGAGCCCATAGACATCTACAACGTAAATGCGCCACCCACCTTGAGATATAAGTTCTAAGGTCTCAGTATAGTTACAACGGCTACCCCACCCTTCAAATCGAAACGCATTATTGCTTCACGGCAGAAATAGGGAGGGTACCACCACCCTTTGTGGTGGTAGGTATTTCTAATGAAATACGTACTTAACAAATGTTCACGATTGATTTCCACGGTGAAGGAATAACATCGTGTAATAAAAATAAAACCCGCAAAATTATAATTTGCGTAATTACTGGTGGTAGGACCTCTTGTGAGTCTGCGCGGGTGGGTACCACCACCCCGCCTATTTCTGCCGTGAAGCAGTAATGCGTTTCGGTTTGAAGGGTGGGGCAGCCGTTCGGCGTGCACTGCGGTATCGTAAGTTTCGTGTAGTCGGTGTGGTGGAGCTCGATGGGGTTTAGTCGGTAGTCATTCTGCGGGGCAAGTTCTTCGCGCGCCTTTTTCAAGGCGTAGTCTCCTGTGAGAAACTGGGAGAGGTGAAGGACCTCGGCCCTTCTCTTCTCCCCTTCTTCCTCTCAGGAGGCGTCGAAGTCCGACATAACCCGGTCCGTTACCGCCCTCGACCGGGTATACGTAAATGGATTCCCCAGGGTTAAAAAAAAAAAGGGTAGGGCAGCTGTATAACTATACTTGAGACCTTAGAACTTATATCTCAAGGTGGGTGGCGCATTTACGTTGTGGATGTCTATGTGCTCCAGTAACCACTTAACACCAGGTGGGCTGTGAGCTCGTCCACCCATCTAAGCCATAAGAAATAAATAAAAAAAGATGTCTATGGGCTCCGGTAACCACTAAATACCAGGTGGGCTATGAACTTCACTACACATCTATGCAATAAATCATTGCGCAATGCCTATTTGCAGGTCGCTTGAACATGTTGGTGAACGTATGTCGCAAACAACTAACTGATATATTCGCTCAGTTCAAACCGATGGAACCGAAGGAGGCGGTTAGATATTTCAATAATTTTGCGCTTAAAATTTAAACGCCTTACTAATTTGGCCGGGTATACTCTATAGAGACCGTCGTACTGTCAAAACTGAGACCTTGAAACTCATGTCTCGAGGTGGGTGGCGGCATTTACGTTGTAGATGTCTATGGGCTTAGGTAACGCCATAGGTAAGGTGATGATACCTACCCGTGCGGGCTCAGAAGACGTCAACCACAAGTAAAAAAAGTGCATTGTGTTGATGTATAAAGAGTCCTCAAGTGTGGTAGGCGTCTTCTGAGCCCACACGGATAGGTATCAGCCGTTATCTATACTAATATATAAATCTACAGTGGTTTTTACGGATGTTCCGATATAACTACTGAACCGTGCATCCGATTGACTTGAAACTTGGTATCCATGTGAAAATACATGTACTTAATGGATAGGCTAACATTTATATGAGTGTTGGACTCCCTAATAATAATGACAATAAATAATATTGTTAATTTTAAATGCGGGCGAGTACGGCTAGTTTTTTATATGAATAGAGTTTTCTTGTTCTGATTCGCGTTAAGCTTTGAGAACTGCTTCCTTAGGAACAAAGGCGGATCCAGCTTTGGCGCCAGGAGGGGGTCACATAGTCAAATTTAGATGCGTTCGTTCCCAAGCGTTTGCCATTATACAAATTTATTATATTATTATATTAAATTAATTAAATATTGAAGGTATGTAGTTACATAAAATCTGTATGGTGACAAAATATATAAATAAAATCATTATATTCAATTAGTGATCCACCTAAGTCCTGGAACCAGCTCAGGGGGTGGTCATGACCCCCATGACCCCCCCCCTGGATCCGCCATTGCTTAGGAAACCAGTCTCAATTATTCCAGGGCTCCGGCGACATCAAATATCATCTCGGCACGTACATCCATCGTTTTATTCGGCGCACGAACAAATACATCAAGGTATCGATGAGCGCGAATCCTTCCCATCTCGAGGTGGTGTCCCCCGTGGTGGTCGGAAAGACCAGAGCCGAACAATACTGGAAAGGGGACAATAATGGTGACAAGGTTCTTATTTATTGATTACTAGCTGACCCGGCAGACTTCGTAGTACCTCAATCGATAAATAAACGACCTAAACTTTTGTATAAAATAAACTTAAAACAAACAAAAGGAATCCGTCCGACGGGGGACACATCAAAGGAAAAACAAATTGTTATTTTTATTTAATGCCGAGCATTTTCATATTTATCTACCTTTTCAACCTTCTCTGGACTTCCACAAATAATTCAAGACTGAAATTAGCCAAATCGGTCCAGCCGTTCTCGAGTTGTAGCGAAACTAACGAACAGCAATTAATTTTTATCTAAATAGATAGATATAATATAATATAATTGATTGATCATTACTATATGTTTTCGTTATTCGACAATAGATGGCATGACACTTCTCGAGCGTTCCCGATAGTACTAGTTCTTTTGATATTCGTTTCTGCTATTCGATGACAGATGGCGTTACTCGTACCGACATAACAGGAGGAATCTGGTGAAAATCCGAAACGCGCAACAACAATTTGAAGCAATCGTCCGTATTTAGCGGTAGGCAGCGACTTGGCTCTGCCCCTGGCATTGCTGAAGTCCATGGGCGACGGTAACCACTCATTCTCAGGTGGGCCGTAGGCTCGTCTGCCTACAAGGGCAATAAAAAAAAATTTGAAAAGTTCCAAACGCTAACATTCGGTCTATCTTTTTACATAACAAAGACGGTCGTTTGGTGTGAAATATTCCCTATGTAGCCGTCTCTTTATATTTGAAGTCTAGTGTCATTGCGAATTATTACCATTCCTATACAACCTATATAAGAATAATAAACGCTATGTATCGTCCCGCACAACATCATCAGCATCTATTTCTCAGCCGGTGTCTTCGGTAAATCTTTAATGTCCTCCGTTTCATTACCCAGCCTAGAACTGGTATTATAATTAGCTTCAATATTACTTTGATACTAGGTAATGGCGATAATAATGCACGGAGATGCAGCGTTCTCTGGCCAGGGCGTTGTGTATGAGACGATGCATCTTGGAAACCTTCCGGCTTTTACCACCCACGGCTCAATACACATTGTCTGCAACAACCAGATCGGGTACACGACGGATCCTAGGTTCGCGAGGAGCTCCCCTTACTGCTCTGGTAATTGGTACAAAAACTAAATAGATTTTATATTTAAAAAAAATATCAGTCTTTTTTCGTGGTGATCTTGGTCATTAAAATTATTGCATCGTCATTGGTTTTTAATACGTGTGCCAATTTTCAATTTAATCGCATTCAATTCAATTTGGTGAAACGATACTTATATAGTCAATACCTATATAGTCTATACCTATATGGTCTATACCTATATGGTCCATACCTATATGGTTAATACCTATATGGTCAATACCTATATGGTTAATACCTATATAGTCAATACCTATATACAAGTCAAACTAATAAAGGCTTGCTCAAAGTGGGTTGTACCTATATACCCAGACGTGGCGAAGTGCGTGGACGCTCCCGTGTTCCACGTGAACGCTGATGACGCAGAGGCCGTGGCGCACGTCGCGAGGGTCGCCATCGAGTACCGCTGCAAGTTCAAAAAGGACGTCGTGCTGGATCTGGTCTGCTATAGGCGCTTCGGGCACAGCGAGGAAGACGAGCCCATGTTCACTCAACCTTTCATGTACAAAAAGATTAAGAGCATGCAAACTGGTAATTAGAATGCGATTTAAGATGTCGCCAAAAATACACACTAAAAAACACATACACTTTGTAATCATGATCAAACAGCATGGAATTTATCGACTTATAATCGACCCCTGAGAATTGCGCAGAATTGAGCTCCATTTACAGAATGCTCGGAGTTTAATACGCCAACCTGTTGGTCGTAGATGGCGTTTTGACAAAGAACCAAAGTACGTAGTTTGGCCAATTTCTCCTCTAGAATACGGCATACAAACGACTTTTATTTGGCCAAGTGGGCTAGCCTTCCTGATAGAAATAGACTGAACGATCGTAACTAAGCATAGACTCACATCAAGACCTGTCACCAACGCTCACAATTTCGCTTAGTGGTTATTGAATTAGGGAGCTATAGAGGTACTACTGCCACTGATTACAGACCATTAAGCCCCTGTAAGCAAATGGCACGTTTTCTTGACTCATAGTTGATAAAATCTATGGCGAGAAATTGAAGTCAGAAGGTATAGTGACGGATGCCGATGTCAAGGGTTGGGAGAAAGAGTACATGGACACGTTAAATCGGCACTTTGAGCTCGCCAAGAAGGTCACCAAACTAAGCATTATGGATTGGATCGATACTCCATGGACTGGTTTCTTTGAGGCCAGAGATCCCAAGAAAGTAAGCTTTCAATCAAAATTGTTCATTCAACTTGTAAAATTAAAAAAAAGTATATTCGTTATACTAATGGAAACAAGAAAATTAAACAAGTCATCTAATTGATAATATTTGTTTATATATGTTTTTATATGTATATATTTGTGTATATCTATATATTTATGTATATGTATTTATTTAAGTACGAGTATTTGTATCTATAAATATTATGTATGTTATATATACACACATATGTTTAAGTAATATCACCTTCACACTACACCTACCAAGCTTCATCTCTGAACTCCCCTAAGGTAGACTGTTAGAGAATGCCTATGGCATTAAGTCCGCCTTTATACTTTCTAGTATAAGAAGTTATAAATAAAGAAATAAATAATAATAAAAATAAGGAAGGGAACCGAATTTGCTAAATAAACCCTTATATCATAATAGCTGCTTCTGAACAAGATAATTTTGTAAAACTAGTGATTAAAATCATGGTTTTGAATCTAAAGAACAATGTTCTAGGTTGAAGAAACAGGTATAAGCGAAACTTCAATAAATACAATCTCTCGACATTTCTGCAAGGCTCCCGAACCGTGGGCCTTTGAAGTTCATAAAGGTGTGAACAGAATTTTAGCTAATCGAGAGAAAATGGTAAGTTGCCTCTTGTTTTAATACTGCTAATAATAACTTTTGTAATTAAAACAAAGTAATGCGCCACCCACCTTGAGATATAAATTCTAAGGTCTCAAGTAATAGTTACAACGGCTGCCCCACCCTTCAAACCGAAACGCATTACTGCTTCACGGCAAAAATAGGCAGGGTGGTGGTACCTATCCGCGCGGACTCACAAGAGGTCCAACCACCAGTAATTACGCAAATTATAATTTTGCGGGTTTGATTTTTATTACACGATGTTGTTCCTTCACCATGGAAGTCAATCGTGAGCATTTGTTGAGTATGTATGTATGAGTAAAATTGGTACCCGCCTGAGATTCGAACACCGGTGCATCGCTAGATACGAATGCACCGGACATCTTATCCGTTAGGCCACGACGACTTCAAAAAGTTTAAAACATTAAAGTAGATGTAGCCTATTTCTTTCACATAATAGGAATTGACTCCGGACTTTATTAAAACATCTGATCGTTAAAAGGTTAATGAAGGGGTCGCTGATTGGGCCATGGGAGAAGCCCTGGCCTTCGGGTCTTTATTACGAGACAAAATACACATACGTTTCACTGGTGAAGATGTCGAACGTGGAACTATGGCACACAGGTTAAAATAGCTTTAGTTGAATAATATTACGGATTGGTTTTGTATTGCCCTAAAACAGAATTCCATTTGCTTGTAATCTTTTTTTAATTTTTTATTTTTATTGCTTAGATGGATGGACGAGCTCACAGCCCACCTGGTGTTAAGTGGTTACTTGAGCCCATGGAATTTCTAGCCGGACTTTCCAAGCAGTTTCAGTACCATCTCGATGGTAGATTCATTCGCGAAGCAGCTTCTCTTGAGCTGATAGGTTTCGGGCAGCTATCAATTCCAAGGCTAAACCCCCGAACTCGCCAACCCGTCCGTTGATTCCCCAAAAAGAAACACTTTTACTAACTTTTATTACCATGTATGCTTTATATCCGTTACGGCAATAGTATGTATTTATGATTATATCGTATTCATCACATTGTGTTAGACCTAATAAAATAACCTAATAAATATGTAGTTGAACATAATCCCCCGGCAGGCACCATGTTTACCACCATCAGGGTGTCGATGGCGCTACCTACAGAGTCCTAGATGTTTTATATCCGGACCAAGCAAATTACGCCTTGCACAACAGCTCCTTATCGGAATTTGGTAAGTTTTCATGAATATGATTTCTTCTTTAACGCAAAATTAAGCTGTGGGATGAATTACTCTTGATCTTGGCATCTCGAAAAGACTGCCATATTAATATAAATAGTGCTAGATACCCTTGACACAGTCAAGGTCAAATCACTATTTGTCGTAACACTCTTGTCAGAGCGGTCGTGGTCGTCATTCGATATCATAGCTGTGGGCAGATGTTATGCGCCTCACGAGCAATCGCGACTTCTTGCGGTTTGTGGTGAGCCTGGTACACTCATGCAAACAACTGCCAACTGCGAACTTGACTTGGTCGATCCATCACATGGGCAGCTTCCACGTAGTCTGGTGCTGTGGTCACTGAGGTCAAATCACAGTGATCATAAAAAAAGACAGATAATTAAATACAGAGTATTACAATCCTTCTTGAAAGCCAAGTCAAATAGCTTCCATAGTAAAGTAGGCAATGTCAAATCAGCTGTCTCAGAAAATATCAATGTTTACTAAACGATTTTTTATGGATAAGCCCATAGACAAACGACAAACGTGTATATATTAGTGTGTAGTGGAAATTATAATATTAGTAAATATCGTAGTGGCCATTATAATATTAATTAATGGCTATTCTCAAAGCTAGTATCTTCCTATTCGCTGGTAGCCTAAGAGGTTATTCCAGCTACGCCCCGACGTGTAGATGAGCTCACGGGCTCAAACTGAGAGAATTTGTTAACACCAGCCCTAGCATGAGCAGTACTTCGCAGAATCTACCACCGAATCGGAAACGCGACCCACTGAGAAGATTCGGCGAGAAACTTAGTGGGTTAGTTCGCAGGCCCAAAGGCCGCTTGAAAGGCCTAAAAGCACGAGTGAATCCGGGAGATCCGATAAGACATGTTTCAGGCGACGGCGGCTTTGCGTTGCCCCGTCGCGATCGTATTTATAAGAAACCTTTGAATTAACTATTATATAATTTATCGCAATCCAGGTATACTAGGATACGAAGTTGGCTATTCGTATTCAAGTCCTCAGCTGCTAACGATATGGGAAGCGCAGTACGGTGACTTTGCCGACACGGCCCAACCAGTTTTTGACACGTTCATCTGTAATGGGGAGAGCAAATGGGTTTGCCAATCTGGGATCGTGGTGCAGCTACCTCATGGGGTCGATGGCGCTGTGAGTACTGTAGCCGCACCAGCCGTGACGCTATTGTTTTATTTGCGTATATGAAATGAAGTTTGCTGCTCGCTTTATTTTTGTGCCAAGACTTGTGGAGAGTATTAAGCGGTAGGCAGCGGCTTGGCTCTGCCCCTGGCATTGCTGAAGTCCATGGGCGGCGGTAACCACTCACCAACAGGTGGGCCGTATGCTCGTCTGCCTACAAGGGCAATAATAAAAAAAAAAAACGCTGGAATTTTCATTGTCAAGAAGCCCAATTTAGTCTGCCATTAGTAAGTTCCGTATGTAAGATTTCGATCTGGCTGTGTAAAGTAAGTTGTTAGATTCGAGCTAGCACGATTCAAGTTAGCTAATACTATATAATAACTATAAAAGTAGAGACAGACCAGTGCACCTTAAGCATTGCTCATATTCCCTTTTTGCATGTAGTGTACTTAATAGCTAGAGGGTCACAGCATGCACATTCTTACGCCTCATTATGGAAATCTTTTGTAAACCTGTGTTAAGAAGATACGTATTTAGTAACATATTTTTAAATAGCCTATTTTTGGGATTCGAACACCAATACAATCACATCGCTCGATAAGAATGCGCCGAGCTCGTCTTATNGCATTGCTCATATTCCCTTTTTGCATGTAGTGTACTTAATAGCTAGAGGGTCACAGCATGCACATTCTTACGCCTCATTATGGAAATCTTTTGTAAACCTGTGTTAAGAAGATACGTATTTAGTAACATATTTTTAAATAGCCTATTTTTGGGATTCGAACACCAATACAATCACATCGCTCGATAAGAATGCGCCGAGCTCGTCTTATCCTTTAAGGTCACCACGGGCTCAAAATGTTCGGTTTTCAAAAATACAAAATCTAGGATAAACTCATTATGGTGTAATAAAACTTGCCGTTTGTAGGGTCAGTGTGTTTTCACCTATTACTTTTTATGTATAGGGACCGGAACACTCTTCCGGACGCGTCGAGAGATATTTGCAAGCTTGCGATGACGATGAAGATAACATTCCTGACTTGGACGACAAGGAAATGGCGTGTAAGTTTTATTAATATTATGTGACATTTAAGAAAATATTTTATCAAATTTAAATTAAAAAGGAAAATACGTATGGAATTCTTAAATAGATCTACCAGCAGCGGCGAGGCAAGAACTTAATCTGATGTAAGCAATCTACATTTCACTAGGTACTCTTTTCTCTTTTCCCAGCATGTATCGGTTAAATATTGACGGCTACTATTAGATTCATTGTTCGCTGTAAATTCCTTTTTTGCAATCATTTCGACCGTGTGATGGTTAAGTAAGTAACGAACAACAAACAGCAATTTTGCATTAGCAACTTCTTCTTTTTCTCCACCTTATCCCACTAGGTAGGGTCGGCGCAGCTAATTTTTCTCTTCCATTCTCTTCTATCAGCCGTCATCTCAACACTCACCCCTCTCTCTCTCTCATATCGTCATTCACACACTCCATCCATGTTTTCTTCGTTCGACCTATTACGCCTCAATCTTGCACTAAGCTACCATTTCCATACATCTCCTAGTCACATGCATCTTCTCTCTACGCATCACATGATCACACCACACTAACCGTCCGCTCTTTAATTTGTTGTTAACAGTAACATTTAAACTTAATTTTGTTTGCTTACAACTTATTCGTCACGTTTACGGCTCTTATCTAATACTAAATTTAGTATCGCTGAGGCACCGGCGCGAGGCCCTTGGTCTTTGAGGCCATGGTCCTATGGACCTTGTAGCCCTCCTTTACCCCCTCTCTGGGTAGGTACCAACGTTCCACCAACTGTACCAAATTGGGAACTTTGCAGTTGATGTGATTCCTTGGACCATATTATTCCATCATCACGGCAGTCATTCACACGACACTCACTTAATCCGCGTGGTATCTCTTTTTTTTTATATACTTCAAAAGGAATTTCTCCATGTGTTAATTGTTCAGTACCAAACACAGGATTTAAGGTCTAAGGATTATTTTGCAGTGAAGCAGTTACGTTCGGCCAATTGGATAGTATGCAATGTGACGACGCCAGCAAACTACTTTCATTTGATCCGGCGTCAGATCGCTTTGCCCTTCCGGAAGCCAGTGATATTGATGACGCCGAAGGTCGGCCTTAAACACCCGTTCTACAGATCGAAGTTTTCAGAGTTCTTACCTGGTACTTGTTTCCAGAGGTGAGGTTGTGACTACTAATATATTGTGTGGTTTCAAAGGTAAAGAAATAACTTAATTAATTAGGAAGTACCTACACTGTATAAGTACTTACATATCCTAAGCTTACCTGAGTACTATAGTAAATATAGAGGCAATGAGGTCTGAATTTACTTTTACACTGCTTCATATGCAAAAACAAAACGCGCCAAAATAATGTTGACCAAGCCATCTATTTCTATGGGCGAAACTAGGGATAGGCCGGTTTTTCATCAAAATTTCTTATTTTTTAAATAAATTGCAATATAGTAGAACTACGGATATGAAAATGTAGGATATGCCACATTTGTGCTGACGGCCTCATATATGTTTCTTTAAAAAAGTTTCTAAAGAGTCCCGATTATTGGTTATTGATGTTCGTGACACACCATCAGCTAAGCTGTGTGCTCGACTATTGGAGGCAAACAAACTTCAATCTGCAAACAACCTTTTTTATTTCAATCCATATAATTTTTTTATTGCTTAGAGGGGAGGACGAGCTCACGGCCCACCTGGTGTTAAGTGGTTACCGGAGCCCATAGACATCTATAACGTAAATGCCGCCACTCGTCTTGAGACATGGGTTGTAAGATCTCACTTTTAACAGTACAACGGCTGCCCCGCTTTTCAAACCGAAATGCATTACTGCTTCACGGCAGAAATAGACCTACCCGTGCGGACTCGCAAGACGTCCTACCACCAGTCTTTCGAGAGTAACGTAAATTGCTTAACGGCTAGAACAAGGAATTCACTCATATCATAGGTGATTCATTTAGAAAAGACTTTGCACCCACAGAGCGATACCAGAAACCGGTCCGGCGTCCAAGAAGCCGGAGTGCGTAAAGAAACTGCTCTTTTGTTCGGGCAAAGTTGCGATAACTATCGACGAACTACGGAAGGAGAAGAAACTCGAGGACCAAATAGCGATGTGCAGGATCGAGCAGCTGTTTCCGTTTCCTTACGACATCGTGCTCCAAGAGTTCTGCAAGTACGAGTGCGCGAAGGTCTACTTCTGTCAGGAGGAGCACAAGAACCAGGGGCCGTGGCTCTTCGCTAAAGTACGCCTCGAGAACTTGTTCGGAAAGAAGATTGAGTTAGTATTATATTTGTTATGAGTTTATATAAGCATGCAAAGTAAATGCTGCTTTCCCACCTGGGATTAACGTCGAAGTTTGAATTGCAACGCCACGTTAACTGGTCCCGTGATAAGTTCGTAAAGAACTTGTATTACAGGTACCAGATATCGGAAATAAATGTAAGATTTTTATTATACACATACATATATTTATATATTTAATATACATCCATAACCCTGGAAAACACATTTATATTTATCATACAAAAATCTTTCCTTGGCGGGATTCGAACCCGCGACCCCCTAGCGTAGTTACCATGTCACTTACCACTACACCAGACGGACGTTCCTTTATAATAGTTACACTCTTATTTTGGAAGCCGTTCTTGAATCCGTGGATTTCATGTAGATAATCTTTGGAAAGAAAGAAATACATTTGTGAAATCAAAAACAAAAATTATTATATTTTGCAAAAAAGAATACGCGAGCTCTCAAACCACCTAATGCTAAGTTCTAAGTTCATGCAGACTACAACGCGAAACTACCCTCGACCTTGACACATGGGTTGAATTCTCGATTGTATTATGCACCAGCTGTTCCACTGATTATAGTCGTCGTGAAGTCGTCGTGGCCTAAAGGATAAGACGCCCGATGAACTCGTATCAGGCGATGCGAGTGTGCTGATGTTCGAATCCCGCAGCTAGGTACCGCAGATATCCCTATCTTCTTTCTTTCTGGTGAAATATATACTTATCACTCGTTCACGAATTACTTTCACGGTGAAGGAACAACATCGTTTAATAAAAATCAAACACGAAAAAATTATAATTTGCGTAATTACTGGTGGTAAGGGTTACGTTTACGGGAAGATACCACCAAACTGTCTATTCCTGTCTTTTTTATTGCTGTGATCTGTGGACGAGCTCACCTCAGGTGTGTAGTGGTTGCTGGTGTCATCAGCTAATGATTTACGGACTAAATATATACTGTGTTTTATTTCAGATGTATTTCACGCCCGCCCAGTGCAGCATCAGCGACTGGTATAAAATGGATGCATGCTAAAGAATTGAAAGAACTCAAAGAGAAGATTATAAAAATATAATATCTACATAGTTTGAGTGTCTGTTACTTTTTGATTGTAAATTATAAAAGTTTTCATTAAATTAACATTCTGTTGTCTTTTTCAATTGTACTACAAATCTCGTTTGATTGCTTATTTGTTGTTACTAGAATTATTACGAAAATGTCGCGACATCAAAAATAGCCAAAAGTAGTCAAGCCTGATCGAGTTTCAATAGTAGTAGTACGTAATTCCCAAAGTCGTAGTCACAATAGTCTATGTGATTCGTAGGTTTCAATCGTGGGCTTAAATACCTATTATGTGAATCATCTATCATCGGTGTCCTGGCTGAACCTTTGGTCGCCCATCTGCCCTGGTAAAACTGAAAAGGCATTTCAGCAAACAGTAATCCTTCCTTCTTTCCTGATCGTGGGTAACGGCTAGATGTTCAGGAATCTTGAAAACGAAAAACTTTTCAGCTAGGTTTTATGACTCTCAGATCTGTGTTTTTCAACTTGTCAAATTTCCTAGTTGTCATTGAACAAAATTCAAAAAACAAACTGTCATTAACGATCAGCAACCAGCAATATCACCAGTCAAATTTAAACATTTTGTATATAAACATTAAGTGTATTATTGTCTACGCACTTTTGAAACTTATAACTATGTTTTTAACTTCTGTCCATTAATTCAGCTTTATAGAATATACGGTACTAACTACACTCTTCTACCAAGAATTCTGCTTAGCCCATAACAATGTCCTCGTATTTTGATTATTTTTGTACGCACATAGAAAAAAATTCGGATACTATTAGAGGAACTTGTAATTCTATGTGCCCAGATGAAGAGGTTATTTTGTAAGTTACTAGATAAAAATAAAATATTCAAATATAATTTAAATTAAACTTTATTTTAAGCAATTTTCTTTCTTCTGACTATTATACTATAAACATTTACTGATTATCACGTTTAGTTTAATCAATTTATAACTATATTCATCTCCAAAATTATAAATGTTTAAAGATTAAAAATGTACAAATGTTAAAAAAAAATACTTTTATGAATATTAAATAAGTCTTTACCAACGACGTTAACTTACAATTGAGATAATAATCACTTTTTAGAAGAGAAAGGGAGGATTTAGTTCATGTACTGGAGGTACTGGGACCAATAAGAAAATATGTGAAAAGCTACAGTAGATCAGCAGCTGACACCAACATCGCAAAACCGAACCTGCTTAGACCATATTCTGTACTGATTGATACCTTGCATTATCTACTGCTTGAGTAAGAAATTAAAAGAGTTATAATATATTTAACACTGAATCAAGTCAGTGGAGAGAGTTAATAAGGAAATTTTCCTTCTCCAGAGTAACAAAAAGAAGAGAAGTGTCCTCAGTGATGGTTTATGACTTTGTGAATGACAGACTAAGGGCTATAAGACAGGACATGACAATACAGAGATTACCTCCTGAACAATGTGTTAAATTATTGGAACCGATGATTCGTTTTTATGTTTACTATGGATACAAGTAAGATTTATTAGATTCATTAATTTATAATTATGTCTTTTGTAATATTAAGTTCTGTGTTGTTAAAATATTACAAATCTGTAGATGCTTGAATGTATTGCCATATATTTTTTCAGTTAAATATACTTTAAAATACATAGTAGAGTATTGTGAACCAACAGGGTTAGCTACTGACAAACTAAAATACCTAACTTTATATTGAGAATTGTTGAGTTAATATTGTTAGAGTTTTACTGGTGGTAGGACCTCTTGTGAGTCTGTGCAGGTAGGTACCACCGCCCTACCTATTTCTGCCGTAAAGCAGTAATGCGTTTCGGTTTGAAAGTGGCGCATTTACGTCGTAGATGTCTATGAGCTCCAGTAACCACTTAACACCAGGTGGGCTGTGAGCTAGTCCACCCATCTAAGCAAAAAAAAAAAGTTTGAGCCACAACATACTGTTTTTCTGATACTTTCTGTATGTGTCAAAAGCTCTCATAGACAGTCTCTGCTAACCGCATGTTTATAAGATTAATTTAATAATTGATTATGATGAATAATTGAATTTAGAAAGACAGTTCTAGTTTGAAGTGCCAAAGTGTTTTTATGAATGTTCATTAATATTTTTCTTATTTCAGATTTTCCAATCTTCCTACAAAAGGATTTGATTCTGACTTGAACAAAAAATATTTATTAGAGTGCATTAAATGGTTTCTAAGTTGCATTGACACAATGGATCTGTCCACTAACAGAAATATTGATTTACTCTCTGATTTTATTTCAAATTTAAACATAAAAAATGTAAGACGATACACATTGGGTTATGACAGAGTTTTAATGGAGTGTTTGTATATATTGTGTAATCTAGATGATGTCCACCCTTTATATAGATATTTGAAATTTTCAAAGGATTTGAAAAGGTAAATTTACAAACTATCCTACAATGTTCTTATGTTTGTAATCCCGTTAATGAATTAAAGAAATATATACATATATATATTATTATGCTTTCACTGAAGCGTAGAGACATGAATTGTCTTATGTTCACAAACAAGTTTTTGCTCTGTGACTGCTATACTACAAGTTCCAAGATTTTAATGATATTTTGTATTTGGTCTCTTAGTTCAGTTAATGTCTTGAAGGGGTCTACAACTGGTGCAAAAAACCCAGGAGAAACTCTTTCAGGATAACTGATAGAATCAAATTGTTAAATACACATTAACAAAATTTCAACCTTATCCTGAGAGATGATAAATATTGCCTCATTCAACTAAAATCAATATATTCAATTAAATTTTTTTCAGTGACCCAAGATTAAATTTGGCATTTAAAATTGCGATAGCAAATATGAAAGGAAATTATATTAAAATATTCAAATCAATGAACACCCTGTGTCCTCTGAGCTATTGTGCTTTGTGCACATATCTGCCGGTGCTGCAAAGGTAATTATTGTTTTTGTATAGTAACAAAGTCCTTAGAGGTTTATAACTTCTCAATTACCATTTACCTTTGTATTGTAACCTAAATGTTTACAAACTAGGGAAAATACTTATCATCATCATCAGCCTTTATCTGCGCACTGCTGGACATAGGCCTTCCCCAATGCTTTCACAGAATGCGGTCCACCGTCTTCCGCATCCAACGACTTTCCGCTGTGCGCACTAAGTTGTCATTTGTTGGAGGAAGCTCCACGCTCCTGGTCCTCCGTCCGCAGCCTCCGTTCGAGGACTTTTCTCCCCCACCTGGCGTCGCTGGCTCGACAGATGTGACCGGCCCATTGCCACTTTAGCCTGCTCACTTTAAGAGCTATGTCGTCAACTTAACTGGCCCATAAGTTAAAGAGTCGCACAGCGGGCGATGAAAAGAGCTATGCTCGGTATTTCCCTAAGTGACAAAATCCGGAACGAAGAAATTCGACGGATAACCAAAATACTTATAAGTCGAAAGTATTTTAGATTTAAAGCTTTTCTTTTCGTTACAGGAAAGCATTACTAACATTAGCCCATGCATATAACAGCAAAAAGTTTGTAGTGCCAATCGAAGTTATAACACGTTGGTTGAGGTTATCGAGCAATGGGGACACAATAAAGGTGTGCTCCCACTATGGAATAAAGACCGAAGGAAACAATATCCTCTTCAATAAGGGGGAGTTTAAAACTGATGCTTTTTTGGTAATTATTTTTTTGTTAGTAGTTCAGGTCACTTTAAGTTATGTTAACTTATTAAATTACTACCGGAGATAATTGTGACAATTTGAATCCTGATGACTGATACTGATATAAGGAAGTCTTGTGAGTCCGCACGGGTAGGTACAACCACCCTGCCTATTTCTGCCGTGAAGCAGCAATACGTTTCGGCTTGAAGGGTCGGTCGGCTGCTGTATTGTAAAAACGGAGACTTAAAACTCGTCTCTAGGTGGCATGTACGTTGGTGATGTCTATGGGCTCTGGTACCCAATTAACACCAGGTGGCTCATGAGCTCGTCCACCCATCTAACCAATAAAAAAAAAACACAACATCAGGGGAATTACTTAACATCAGTAACCAGACAGTCCAGAACGATCCAGACTTTGTAGAATCACGCCTTTACGGATCCATCAGATCCAATAACCTTTGCATTAGACGCCTTCAGCTCTAATACTAGGAACAGGCTTAGGGACCCCGGTAACCGTACTCGTCGAACTGGACAAAGACGTCGGCGTGCAACCTAACCCATGCATCAGCACACTGAGTTTCTTGCTGGATGTTCTCAGCGGATCGCGATTCCGATCCGGTAGTATTCGCTAAGCAATTGCTCTTGAGTTGTAAAGTCTCCATCGGAGGCGCTCGGGCAGTTAGCAAATCCCACCCCGCCTGGCAGAGCCTTTGCTCGCCCATCTGTCCTGGTGAAACTGGAAAGGCCTTCGGGCCACCAGTAATCTATCAATCATAAAAACTTTGTAGAATAGCCTCTAAAACAATAATAACACATCTGTTATTTTACAGCACCAAACCAGTTTAGAAGATGACACAATGAAGCATCTAGATTTAAGTATAGACAATATTTTTACATATAGTTCTTGAAGATCACATTGGAATCTTAAACTAGAATGTTAATAATAAATAATAAACATTAGACAACTGTACGATGAATGATATCGAAGCCCCACAGTGCGCAATGTATTTCTTTATAACAAGCCCCATGACATACCTAATGATTGACCTAAATAACTCTCACAATTTAAAGACTAGATGATTTAGGTAGAGTTCCCAGAAATCAAACTTGTATGTACATAATACCTATATGAGCTGGTAGTTTTGGTTATTCAAAACGAAGCTGTACCTAATTATTTCGTAGACTACCTGACTACTAATAAGACAAGTGTCTCTCTCTCTCTCCCTCTTCAATCGGTCCCTTATTGTTGAGGATCGTGACTCCGTTTGATTCCGTCAACTAGCTGTCTCCATCGATCTGTAGCTTGGTGGAGTACGTCGCTGACAGATATTTTTAGTTCCTTCGCTATTTGGCCCGACCATCGTTTAGGACCTTTAACCCTGGGCCTTTTCCCCTAGATTTTACCAATCACCATAAGGTGTAAGGAAACGGAAATCTACATTTCATGAACGCGCAATGTAAAGTGAATGCAACGCGAGAACGTTGACCCCGCGTCATCATCTGATTACATACTACAACTACCTCCCACAATTAAAAGATTAAACTTTTACGTTTCTTGTTAATTAATGTATTGTAGTTGCGGATTTAATGTAAGCACATCTTTAAATTTGTACTAACTAACTTTCGATTTACAACCGTAAAAGATTTAGAATTAAGCATAGACAATGTTAATGTTAATATCAAAATTAGAACCAAAGTGATTTTTATGAAAAATATTACTGATGATCTCAATATTTCTCACATAAGAAAAATAACTTCGGATATTGATGTGTTCAACTTTTCAAATTGAATATTTCAAATTTTTATTGGGTTATTATTATGAGATATATACTTATTGTCGGTGATATAATGATGATTACCATAAATAGATATATCTGTTGTATGTAAATAACTGATCTGAAAACAGGAGTCGAGTTCATAAGAAATATTAAAAAAAAACGTAAGTGCGCGCGGTCGGGGAATCCCCATCAGGACGGAAGTTCCTAAATTTTAAAGAAAATTTCGAATGTGAACAAAGTACTCGCATTTCGATTTTTAATTTTCGTCTTCAATGCTACTGAGATCAGATCATGACTTGTAAATGTAGTTATTATAGGTAACTAAAGTACTGAATTGCATTCAGTTTTTTTAATTTGTGTCTAGTTTAGATCGAAATTGTTCAATATTTTTTAGCTAACTTTTTAATCAATAATTAACATTGAAGTTGTTTTTCATAGCAAGACTTCCTGAAGAGTGTCGTGGTTAATAATTATGTAGATAAATATATAATTTTGCATTATTATTTAATTGAGTCAAGTTCCGGTTTCATCCCGCAGCGAGAAGCCGTCTATCAAATTGTTTTATGGAGAAAAATAAAACTATATTTTTTTTTTATAAAGGAAACCTTTATTTTCGTTTTATTTACATGAGAAAAAACAAATTCTCCTAAATAATGCTTTAGCTAAATTACATAATACAACAAAAACGAATATAACACATCGAGTACCTACTTAACATTATGGTTCCGTAATAAATATATTCATAATTTTTTATTTAACATACATTTTCACAATTCATACACATTCCTTTGGTTTCTATGAACGGTAGATAGAGTAAAGCAGGTCGCACAGCAGGCACACACTTGTATCTTGATAGTTGTGGCGCCACATGTGAAACGCGACACAGTAACGAATCCATATTGAGGGCGCACTATGCGGCGATACGTTGGCGGCGTTTTTTGTGTCGCGATAGTTTGCAAAAATGAAAAGACAACATTGAATTTTACGTTCAGTTTATTGCAGAGATTGAAAAGAACCCTGTATTATACAACCATTCGCTTACTGATTATAGCAACAGACGGATCACAGAAATTATTTAGACTAAGATTGGGGAAAAAATTTTGAAATTCCCGTAAATTATACAATTTTGCTTAAACGGATTTAACTCAATAACGTCTTTTTTCCTCATTAATCGCCACATTAAGAAATCGTCGTCAGACGATGATGTTGACATTCTCAAAGCGGTGCAAAGCTACAACTTTGCTTCTGATGTGCATGTATACAACTCATTTGTAGCAAGCTGAATGTAGCGCAATGGTTGTGGGGACGTAAGTGTACGATGCGTGTGGCGCTGGTGTGCGGCCTCCCTAAGTAAATACTGCGCAGACGAGCGGACTCCGTGCTCTTAACGAAGCGAGTGCAAATTATTTTTCGTCTACAAATTTCAAATACATCTTTTTTCAGTTCTGTACATTTATGCCATGTATATATTGAGTATGCTTTTACATTATTTCCAAAATGTCAAAAATGTATCTTTATCGGCAAACTGTCGGTCGACAGGGGCGGTTGGTTTTCTGACAACATCAAATCGTATGGTTCTATCAAATCTGTAATATTTTAAAATGATCCTATGAGTAATATGAAACTGAATATAATTTGAAGTTCTTAAAAATGAAAAATAAATACATTTCGTTGTGCAAAAATAGAATTCCTTTATTATATTGTTTATGGACTTCGATTGAATTTATTGACTTACTGACCGACTTCTTAAGACTAGTGTGACAAAACAGATACAAATCTATTCAAATACTAGGTCTTACTGTAAACAGATTGTGCTGAAATATTTTTTTGTTCAGTTTTTTATTTCGTATGAACTGGAAAAATGATACTGATGCCTGGAGTTGAACACGGAAGCTACAACACAGTTCGTAACTAGCTTTAAGCGAACAGATTTTCAAGCATTTAAGCATATACTAACAAATAAAATTTGAAATTCAAATCGTGCCGACATGGAGTCTGGGATTAAATAGTGAAAAAAAAAAAAAACTTTAGTTTATAATTACGTTTATCGTTGCACATTTAGTAGCAGCATTCAACAACAAGGTAACAATATGAGGAACCATAGTAAATCTACGTTTAAATTCTATCACTCAGAGAGCCTTCCATTGCCACTTCAGAGCAATACTAAAGTCACTGTCGTAGAAGGCATGCGATATAATAATCTATATAATCGTAAAAGCGTAAAATATAGCGTAAAAGTTAAGTCAAATTTGTATGCAGTTGGAACAGCGCCCCAAGCAGCAAAAGTAAGCAAACTTTCCCACTCCATAAAACAAACGAACGAAACGAATTTCTGTCCGAAATCCAGGATGCTGACGTGTTTATTTTTAGCATCATAATTATCTATACTAATAAATAAATCTACAGTGGTTTTTACGGATGTTACGTTATAACTACTGAACCATGCATCCGATTGATTTGAAACTTGGTATCCATGCAGAAAATACATGTACTTAATGGATAGGCTAATGTTTATATGAGTGTTGGACTCGCTAATAATAAAGACAATAAATAATAATGTTAATTTTAAATGCCTAGCGAAGCGAGTACGGCTAGTACTTAATAATTTTAGTAATGTTTTTTGTGTCAACGATTTAGGCGTTTTGGTGCAAACTGTAAGCCTGACTTTGTATTGAATTGAATAAATAAATACAAATTTGAGTTAACTTTTACGCTATCGAGAACGTTAAAAAACTCGCACTAAGCACACAGACTTCAGACTGCACCTGGTGTTTGTGCGGTAACTGGAGACTAAGAATACAACGTGAACGTCATTAATGACCTTGAGACGTGAGGTTGAATTCCAACTGTATTTGTCTCAATGTACCATTCTCATTTCGTTACGACCTGCGTCGAACTCTCAAATTACGACAAGCGAACTAAACTATAGACACAGCCCACTGACAGTTTCTCGCCGGATCTTCTCAGTGGGTCGCGATTCCAATCCGGTGGTATTATAAATTTTGCAGCACTGCTCTTGCTGGGGCTAGTGTTAGCAAATTCTCTCAGGTTGAGCCCGTGAGCTTACTTACCAATCCGGACGTAGCTGAAATAACCCCTCAAGCTACCAGCGAATAGGTAGAGAAAAAAGAAAAGTTTGACAACGTTACCTTATCACACCCTGTATAGCGAATGTAGACACACAAATAATCAGATATGGAATGAAGCCTACATGCCAGACTTATTATATAACTCTAATAGCAACAGTACGGACCCAGAAGTTAGTTAGCATCGACAAGGACAACCTACACTCGCACTTTAGGTAAACAACTTTACGTGCGATTATTCTCAACAAATTTTTCGTGACATCTAAAAAAAACATTTTTTTTTATTGCTTAGATGGGCGGACGAGCTTACAGCCCACCTGGTGTTAAGTGGTTACTGGAGCCCATAGACATTTACGACGTAAATGCGCCATCCACCTTGAGATATAAATTCTAAGGTCTTAAGTATAGTTACATACAGTGACATTAGTATTGCCAGAGGGAAAATATAGCTCAAAGAAACAACAACATATATCTTTTGACGTTTCGTCTTAGCTTGATCGATTAAATAAGTTTGAAAAAAAAATAATAACAAAATCACTAAATTACAATAATACATATTTGATCTAATTAAGAATAAAAATCACTGTACATACGCACAAAGATGTCGGAATAAATAAATAAATAATTACAAACAAACGTTACACAGATTATGCACGTGTATATTTTAAAGTAGCGTGCGTGTATTTTAATGTTGGTAACATAACATGCTTTAACAATAAGATCAAAGTAATACATGTTAAGAAATTGCCACGGATAATAAAATTTCAACCTTTCTTAACTGTGTGAACTGAGATTTTAACGACAAGTAACACTTTATATTCATAGACAACATAACCCTATATAATCTGTGGGGAGCCGTTGCATCGATTGTGATAAAATCAAGTATTTCATTCAATAACCTTAAAATATCAACGTGTATTTTCTATTAAAGGAGCCACACGGTAGCCTCGTACGAAGCAGCAATATTAACAGATCGAAATATATATTAAACGTTGAGTTAAAAATATTCAATTACGGTTTTTATTTCATTCGTTTTAAAATATCCGATATTTCATATTTCTCACATAACCATTAATGTTAATAAAAATGTTATGCCCCAGTAATAATTGAAGTAAACATCTTTAAAGATATCGCCTATGTACTGCGACCAAATGTCAAGTCCTTAAGAGAATAAATTGCTTCGCGAATTTGGTTGGATTAGAACACAATGAAAATTTGCTTCTATTAAAAAAAAAATCATTGTTAAGAAAAGATTAATATGAGAGAAAACACTTGTTTGAATCGCGTGACGCGTGCGTCGAGCGTTTTCAAAGGATACGCTGAAACTTAGAACCCGATTCTCAATATCTTTACCGAACTGTGACGTCACAAGCGCGTTAGTTCGAATGAACTTGAAACAAGAAGAAATGCACTCATTTTACCATTTAAACAGATCGCGTAAAAGTTAACTCAAATTTGTATGGAATTGGAACAGCGCCCCTAGCGGCAAACGAAGGGAAGCTGCTCCAAATCCATACAAATTTGAGTTAACTTTTACGCGATCGAGAAGTTAAAAAACTCTCTTTGAGCACACAGATGTTTACGTGGACCCGAAGATAGCAGTGTGCTTAATGCGAGTTTTTTAACGTTCTCGATAGCGTAAAAGTTATCTCATATTTGCATGGAATGGGATAGTTTGCCTACGTTCGCCGCTAGGGGCGCTGTTCCAACTGCATACAAAATTGGGTTAACTTTTACGCTATCGATAATGTTAAAGAACTCGCACTAAGCACACAGAGGGCTCGACCGCCAAACTACTCCACAAACTCCAAGGAAACGATGGGTTGTTTTCGTTTTTAAATAAGAGATTTATTCACAGCGATGCTCTTGTAAACTGCAGACTTCCTTATAAGATCGATTCCGCGAACTACCCGCCACTACACACGTCCAATACAACACGTACTGTTACACCGATTGAAATATTCGACATTTCTCTATCTCCTGCCTACAAATTTGAATGTAAGAGTCGAGTGAAATTATCGGCAAGGCAAAAAATGAAAACGCTATTCACGTAATAAATAAACACGTATAGATCCGACCTTTTAGCTTTACGGGCTTGTAATTATTTCATTAAAGCATTTTAGTTATTGAGATACATTCACAACCCCACACTCAACATTTGTTGTTGTGGCTCTAATAGAATCAAAATCGTGTTTTAAATTAGACAACACAAGTATTTAATTCATCTTTAATACATTATTTACGAAGCGGCCATTACTTGCGCCGCCGCGTGACGTCACGGCGACAGAACTCGAGATAGGCTGTCCCTTTCTCGTTTGACTGTTGAGTGTTGCCATATTAATCTATTTATTGAATAAATCGATTGGCATTATAACTATATGTACCTGTACTCTACTACCTTTGTATATATTTTGTGAAGCCGTTGCGTGTCGGCTGCGGAGTGCGTCTCGCCGGCCGCTGTCTTCAGTTCGACACGTCGTGTTAGCACACTACAATAAAAGATATTTGAAAATAGTACCGATAAATCTTGATTGGAAAAAAATGGTTGTTAATTTAAAAAAAATTGTTGTAATTTAACTTATTTGTAGAAAATTTAAGAGATTAATTTAAATAATTTTTAAATATTCAGTGTACTTATTTTTTTTTTAATAATAATTAATTGAAAATGTTATCGGTTTTCAATGTTGAAAAGTGGCATAAAGAAATCAGAGCCATTGCCATAAAAAAAAAACAGTGACAAAAAAAAAAGAATCCCAACTCTTTTCATTCTTCTAGCAATGTTACCCATACATTTAATAAGTATTTTCTTTTTATATTTAAAAATTGATTTACATATTATATTACATATATATTTTATTTGAGATCTACTTATTTAGTCCATAGACACAAACTAAGAAAAAATTCTTTCAAAACATATTCAGATTGTTACACACAGCATTGATATTTAACAGTGTTCAAATCATGACTACTTTCATGCATTGAGATGAAATTATTTTATAATAATATTATATTTTGAGGTTATCAATAAACAAGTTGACAAAGCTGATCTTCGAGTCAAACATACTTAAGTAAAGATATTGGTAAACAAAGATAATTTTTTATTCAATTTAGATTTTCTATAATCAGCTCGTAATGATTTATTACTCAAAAAATATTTAAAAAAGTCAATGCTCGTGTCTCGTTATACAACGGAGCCTTTACGAACGAACTGCATTTAACTGTCTTTTATATTAAAAAAAACAAGTTTTTTTTATTGCCCTTGTAGGCAGACGAGCATACGGCCCACCTGATGGTGAGTGGTTACCGTCGCCCATGGACTTTAGCAATGCCAGAGCCGCTGCCTACCGAAAGTTACCAAAATACAAGTTACCAAAATTAATTATTGTGCTTGAGGAAGGCCTCTTCGAACAGTTCGAGCTCGTGCGACAGATAGTTCGCCTTGTTCCGCAGCTTCTTCGCGGACGTGGAGGCGTCGTCCAGCATCTTGATGGCGTCCCGCACCCCGGACAGCTCGGCGTCCATCTCCGTGGTGGCCTCGTCAATGAGGCGGCACAGCCGGGCGAACATCGTGGACAGCTCCCTGCGGGCGGGCGGGGGCGGTTAGCCGAGCCGACTCAGCAGGGCGGGAGCGGGGGCCGACGCGCAACGGTTTCACAAAATATATATTTTTTTTTAAAGGGATTTTTTTATGACCTGATAACTAAGACCTTTAAGCCATGTCTTATTTTAATTTATATTTGAAATGAAATGAAGATGATTAATTTGAGACATTAATCAACTGAGATGAAATGAAGTTAAATGAGATGAGATGAAATATAATCTCAGTAAAATGGTGGCCATTTACTAAGATTTTTTCAGTGGACTTTTGGAGGATCCTGAATTTACGTCCAGCGGCTTTGTTTCATTTTCCCACATTTGTGCACTTACTTAGATATTAAGCAGTTAATAAACCACAGTTATTACACATTTAAACCTGAAGAAACACTAAATAGACAAAATAAAACAAATCACAGAACTTCACTCCTCGCGTTCCCGCCAAAAAGTCCACAAAATATATATGGAGGTAGTAGAGTACAGGCACATATAGGTGTAATGCCAATCGATTTATTCAATAAATAGATTGATATGGCAACACTCAACAGTCAAACGAGAAAGGGACAGCCTATCTAGAGTTCTGTCGTCGTGACGTCACGCGACGGCGCAAGTAATGGCCGCTTCGCCAACGTCCAGTCAAATAATGTATTAAAGATTAATTAAATACTTGTATTATCAAATTTAAAACACGAATTTGATTCTATTAGAGCAGCGGTCGGGGAACCGGGGTAAATTACCCCAAATTGGGTAAAATGAAAATTTGGGGGGTAAAAATGAAACTTTTGTGAGTAAAAAGTATACATTGAAGTGAAACTTCTTTAGAATCGTTAAATTTTTAGTTATTGTTTTCTTTTCAAAATTATCATGGGGGCTATAATATGAAAAATACTAAAAAGAAGCGATTTCGTTTTTTTTTGTTCTTCGCCATGGGCTAATATCAACTTACACAAAAATCTTTTTGGGTAATAATTAAAAAAGTTCCCCGACCGCTGTATTAGAACTACAACAACAAATGTTCAGTGTGGGGTTGTGAATGTATCTCAATAACTAAAATGCTTTAATGAAATAATTACAAGCCCGTAAAGCTAAAGAGGCGAGTCTATACGTTAGCGGGGTGGGGTACTCACTGCTGCACTTGGTGGCTGCAGTTGGCGGAGGTGAGGTCGACGATGAGGCGCAGCTTCTTGCCGGCGTGCGCGACGTACTGGCGCTTGAAGACGCGCTCCTGCGCCTTGGCCGTCCACGTGAGGCGCTCGTACGCGTACAGCGCGCCGTACGCCAGCCCCGTCACCGCCAGCACGCGCCACCCCACCGTCTTCAGCAGCTGCAACACACGCATAGCTAGGATTCACCCAACAGAGTACTAGTCGTTTTATTTTTCCAAATGGAAAGGCAAAGATATCACACCATACAGCCTAATTTTTTATATATATATTTTTTATGAAATATGAGATGAGATGATATGGGATGAAATGTAATCTCAGTAAAATGGTGGTCGTTTACTGAGATTTTTTCAGTGGAAACTCAGTAAACTACATTTCCGTAACTAAGTATTGAGAGTAGTACAGAGATGAACTAACCAATCCGGAGAGCAACAGGCCCCCCATAGTCCCCTGCGACGTGAGGGCCCCCAGCGCGAACTTGGAGAGCAGCCCCCACTCCTCCGCGCTGAGCACGGGCAGCGCGGCGCGGGGGGCGGGGGGCAGCGCCGACACCGGGGTGATGCTGGCCGGGATCTGGAACACAACAATGTGACCAAAATGAAACCCGCAAAATTATAATTTGCGCAATTACTGGTGGTAGTACCTCTTGTGAGTCTGCGCGGGTGGGTACCACCACCCTGCCTATTTCTGCCGTGAAGCAGTAATGCGTTTCGGTTTGAAGGGTGGGGCAACCGTTGTTACTATACTTGAGACCTTAGAACTTATATCTCAAGGTGGGTGGCGCATTTACGTTGTGGATGTCTATGGGCTCCAGTAACCACTTAACATCAGGTGAGCTGTGTAGGAGTGGGTAATATCGGTTTTGCCGCGTATCGAATCGTATCTATATATCGAGGATCAATATCGGATATTGAATCTATATATTTTCTGAATCTATATATTGATGGATGCTAGTAGATTTTCTCGATTCATGATATCTGAGATTTGAAACGATACGCTGATATAATATCGTAGTAGATATAGATTTAAGTCAACGTTATACGGTTGGTTTTCTGATATCAATTTATAATATGATCTTAAAGTAATAAAAAGAACATGAAAATAAAAATATCAAAAAAACTTTCCTTCATGCTTTTACCAGGCTTAGGACTGGCTACATTATTTTCAGTTTTTAGTATTTTGTGTCTTAATTTAAAATTACAAAATATACCAAAAGAGTGTAGATTTCAAAAGTTTAATACAAACACAAGAAATAAACTCAATTATTTGGATTCAACTAAAAATAGAAAAATGTGTACTTTAAAAATCAAACACAAAAAACTTTTAAGTATTTATAAACACTTGTCCAAAAATTCTAGTTCAAGGTCAAAGCGCGTGAAATTAAATTCAACGATGCAAATAGGCTATACTGCATTCAAGTTAGGGTCGAAAGTTGAAACTTCTTTCCTAAATTGTATCCTGCTGATACGCTAAGAATAATCTACAGACATATGGACTTAAATATAAGGTTTACAATTGTATGGATAATGCCTGTTTCTGTTTCATTCATCACATGATATCCCTATCGTGCGCTCACTCACTCTGGCCGATTCGATACGAACCAAACGAATATTGCTGATATTCACGAATCGGTACGATATGCCGATGCGCATCACATCGAGCAATATCGTGTATCGGCTGATATCGAAATATAGATTTCGATTCACGAATCGGTACGATATGCCGATGCGCATCACATCGAGCAATATCGTGTATCGGCTGATATCGATATATAGATTTCGTGCGGGGCGATATCGGATTCAACGATATTGCTGCGATATATAGATATTGAATCTATATACGATTTATATCACCCACTCCTAGAGCTGTGAACTCGTCCACCCACCTAAGCAATAAAATAAAAAAACGTGAAATGACAATCAATATGACGTGAACAATCACCGGGACCCACCTGAGTGTACTGTGGGGGGTTATTCAAAGCGATCCGATTAGTATTCTTTCCCTGGAACCGTTGGATGAGAGCCGTGATCCCGTACGAGAAGCGGAAAGACAAGTCTTCGTTGAAGTCGGCGCAGAGGTTGTCGCAGTTCAGCCGGTACAGCACCTCGAAGGGCTGCTGGTGAGGTATGATGTAGTTGGCTGCGGCGGCACGCTTGTTGGTGGGGAGGATGTTGTACATGCGTTCTGCGGAACATAAAATAATTCAATGAAAAAATTGCACACCATTCAATAATCTATACATATAAATAAAATTGGAGTGTCTGTTTGTAATATTGAAATAACCGCTTTTTACTACATGCATATGAATATACCTAGTCAGGTCATAAATTCTGTCACATGTTTAATGTAAAATAATTGAAACAAGTTTATTCATTATGTAACCATTCATATACCAAAATGAACTTAACAACACATAGATTCTTATGACACTAAAGTTTATTCAAAATGACCTCCGTGATTTTGAATACAGGCCTTCAATCTGCGCGGCCAGTCGTCTATCGCAGCACGAACGAGGTCCATGTCAATATCGGCGGCTGCCTTAATCAAGGATGTCTTGAGTGACTCCAAATTGGGATGAGGCTTTGAGCACGCCTTTTCCTCCAAGTGTTGCCATATCTTGTAATCTAACGGATTCAAATCTGGACTGGAGGAGGGCCAGTCTTCGTGCCGGATGAAGTCGATTTCACGCGCCGCCAGCCAGTCTTGTGTGCTCTTCGCTCTATGAGC